CAGTAACAAATCAACGACCAAAACTTAGATCCTGCCGACCAGAAGCACTGCCTGTAGGTTTCTGACAAACTTCTGTCCATCTTTTCGACCTTCTAGGGTGGGGGTCCTAAGAAGTGGGGTGGAAGTGGGTGGGATATGCATAGTCTAAGCTGTACCGGGTGAAGTTGAAGTCTAATGGACTTCTCTGGAACCTGTCGGTCCCCTAAGCCTTGAGAATGGGTCGCCAAGCCCGGCGTGTCTACCCCCGGCGAGGGACGGGTCGGGGGGAGAGGCCCAGAGTCCACCCTGTACCCTGTAGCCTGTCCTTCAATCCAGGCTAAAGTGGGTGTAACGTTCTAATTGACGGCATCTCTTATTCTGGTTCCTGACAACCGTCTCCCCAGTAAAAACGTTAGCGCACGGGACATAGCTGGATGCCACTTATGATGACACAAAAACAGCTTTCTGACAAACCTTGTTGCTGATGTCACTGATACGCCTGCCGCACATGACATTACATTCCATTCCAAAAAACAACAACGGGGGCTTCAACTCATAATCAGCGACTTCAACTCCGTTTCGGCAGATGATTTCGCATATTGGAAAGCTCACTTAGACATGAGCATATGATATAAATGCTCGCTACGATCGCGAATCATTCTCTCGCAGCAGTAGTATCTCCTGTAGAGTTGGTGACACTGACAGCGTCGCTCAACGCTCAGCAGCCGCGAGTAAACGATGACTTTGTTAATATACCGAATGGATGGGGAAAAGGCAAAGGGTTGACACTTGATAGTTGGTTCGAGGTCACTTTCAGAATGCAGTCGAAGGATTTCCAGCCGTCCTGATCCAAAGGTCTTGTTCAGCTCACAGACATTGGCTACTAATTCTGGGAAACATTGTTTGCCTTTGATAAATTATCAACTGTCAGAGATCTCGATCTTTACGGCGACACCGCGCGCTTCTTGATCGCAAACCTCCTCGATTAGTCGCCGGTCCGGCATTGTCCGGCGCGTCATTGATGTCAATTTAGTGGACGAGGGGGCTTTCTGGGTGCAGCTACACAATATTGATTGCTGTTGCGGAGACCATGATCAGATTTGTATTTGAGAGACATCAACGAAACTCGGGAGCGCAGATTACTCCCAAAAGCCCTCACATCGGGGCTCGAGATGCGTGGTATGAGTAAGGTAAAATCATGTCGGGGTAATTCTCGTCTTCCACCTGCATCCAGTTGAAAACTGTTCTTCCGCAGTTGAAAAATCGTACGATAGATATCTGTCAGAGAGAAAACCGACTGAATAAGCAACCATGTTTCCCCCATATTTTCTTAACGGCAGGCTGGTCTAACATGCACGAAGCGCCCACTTTTTACGCAAACTAGACACATGGACCCTTTGCGGGTCGAGGTCGAGCATTTAAACTCGTTTCAAACTCGTGGAGAAACATGACTAGTAGAAGCAACACCAAACAAGACAAGTCAGGTATAGAAGAACTGCCCGCAGCAAATCACTCGGGCTGGCTTCTCAGTCTTATAATGTGTCTTTGGCTGGCAACCTTGACAAACCTGTGTTCCTGCCGGTCAGTCTGCCCTTCACGTCACTCATATTGCAGTCCCAACTAACCTCCAAGGCGCTTTCCTGCTGAGGAAATTGCCAGATGTATATACCATCGGAGATGCTGTCATATCAGACTCTATGTCATTGCTACCTTCTGGCATTTGTTGGACACAATCCTGAAGCTGCCACAAGCGCGGTACCGGCCTTGTATTAGCGCACCCCAGGTGTTTTCAAGTTAATGAACATGTCTCACTGTTGGACCTGCCGCCGCGAAGTTTGTATGTAGAACGGTATATAAAACGGCACCATATCAATAAGACCTATTTTCATTAAGCAGCCATGGTTTGTCGAGCCGGAGCTGAGCGTCATGTGTAAAACCATATTAAGAGTGATTCTGTTGTGGAGGGCTTCCAGGAGCTCCATGTCTAAGTTCTTGATGAAGTGGCATGGGCTTGTAGCGTGTCTCTCTCGGTTAGAGTGCAGACAAGACCACCTGTACCTACTTTATTCTGTACAGTTCGGATCGGAAAGGCATGACTCATGGCTCCTTGCTGTGCTGGACCCCACAGTTCGGTAACCGGGACCATGCACGACAGGGGTTTGTGTGCTTGTCCGTTGTAAAGTAGCACAAAGGCACAATGAGACGGAAAAAATATCTCTTGCATTTATAAGCTGCGGCTGCACTAAGCTCGGCTTCAGCCCAGGTCCCGCACGGAGTTGGCTGCAGAATTACCTGGAAGGGCGGGGTATGTGGGTATTATATTATGGGTGCGTACGTAATCGGTACAGATCCATCATCGCTTTGGTCAACAAAGCCGCCTATCATTCTGCCTATTTGAACTGAATTTCCGGCGGCTATGTTTCTCTGTAAAAGTTACTTCATTCTGCAGTTGTATATTCAAAATAATGGCAGTGATATGTTCTTCATTTTCCCGAGGTGTTCCGATTCTAGGACTGTACCAGGCCGTAAGTTGCACAAAACGGCAGCGGGCTGGAAGGGTTGATTGGCTGGGGGACCCACCGATCCTTCCTTCGCCCACCGGCGCCATCGCGGTCAACACGCTCCATCCATGCAACGCTTGAGGTCTCTTCATCCACTTTCCAGCAAACCTCCTGAAATTTTCATGCCCAGGATTTATCGTTCTATACTCAGGGATACTTCATCTGGATTTTGCAGAAACTTGGCAGGCTAACAATTATAATCCGAAGTCGCAGAGAGCGCTGTGCACTCAGCGCTTCTAAGTCGAAAATTCAGACTTGCAGATGATGCAAATTCTGATAGCCCTCCCAATACAGGAACGCATTCATAACCGCTGATTCGGAGGACTTGATATTTTGCTTCCAATGAGGAGGGTTATGGAGTCCAAAGTCCATTGTATCTACGCTCTTCCTACTGGAGATGACTGATCTGCCACAGCCAAAGCCCCCAACAGCGCTACAACCGCCATACATTGATGTGTCTTAGGCCGTAATTCGTACGTGCATCCACAGCCAAAAGCGTCATCGCGCAATAGCTTGGCCTCCAGGTCAGAAGCACCAACCGCTGTCATAGAGACGGGGCGTTTCTCTCGTTTTCACACTGCCAAACCGGAGCACCAGGGCAGACTGGTTGTCCAGACGGCATCAATTCCGCCCCAGGCGTCCTTTTGGCTTAGCTCCACGGGTTGGGCATGCAATACCATGGGCAACGTTGAGGTGACTGCAATGTGAGCATGAAGCTGATACCGTTGAGTCATTTCGGCAGTAGCAAACATACAACTAACAAATCCAAAGCGTCCACTGGATCATGGCAAGTACCTGGAGTACGATGGAGTTGTTGTCAAATACTGCCGGCAGGTGAACACCAGAATGATACTCAAGAACCAGAAAGATGCGGTGTACCTATCCGGATTCTCATCCAGTACGTCTGCGACGGCATTGGTCTGCCTCAGTACACATTCCAGTCGGCCACTTCTCCAATATCACCAACATTAAACGAAGCTGTTATGGACCAACGCACATTCACCAGGAGTAGAAAAGTCATGAAATGGCATTCTTCTGGATCCAAATCATCACATGCCACAAGTGGTTGCTCAGAGATGGTAGTTGACCTTCTCCTGCTTGCGCAGGTAATCACCCTCTCTAAAATATCGAAGAGGAGAATTTGGACATATCCAGCAGCATGCGGGGGCAAACCGGCAGGAATGCGGCCGTTAGAGGCCGGAGATCTCAGGCCAAGCATATTAACATCACCGGACTGGTCGGATCAGTCATACTTCTACTTCACAAGTGGACACGAGTAGACAGATGCTCGGAGGTGAGCCATCAATGTCCCATCCAATGCTTCGATCGGAGGATTGCACTCAGAACATCTCACTCCGCTTGGATCCAAACCCCTTAACACACCGACAAACAACACACACGAGGCGAGAAATGACTGCTGTTCAACTCTCAACATGTCATATTCGATCGATCAGCTGGTGATGTGGCTGGAGTTCTGTTTACGAAACTCCTATGAGCATCGTTGACGATTCGAAACATGCTGAATATATCCCAGACAACATGCCAGTCAGGAGTCAGGGGCAAATGCATATCAGGCAACACCTCAATATCAATCACCATATCACCACCGTTCTCTTGTCACGCCAGATATGGCCGTAGAAGGCATTAAACGCAGTCATTGGATATGCTTTGCTCAATAATTGGTACAGTATACAATGCAATACAGAGTAGCTTCATCCTTCTTCATCATCACCTCCCTGTACCATCACAATCTTCCCTCCCAGCTGATCAACCCAGAGAAGAGTCCAGGTCCGACCATCCATCCATAGTAGTTCCAAAACCTCTTTGGCTACCTGCTCCCAATATCTCCGACCTCTAGTATCAGTCAACCAATCCACCAAACCCAAACCAAACCAATCAACCCACGATCGCACAATTCATCTTCTGTCCCAACTTCAACTGGCAGGAAGTAAGACAAAGGAAGCAGAAAGACGATAACGGTCTTGCCGTAACCAATCTGGTATAGACCGCGAGCTTGTCAACACCAAGGCATCGCTTGGCGTGGAGTGGCATGTAAAGTATCTTCTGTTAAGTGACCGGGAAAGGATATTCGGGGAATGCATGAGGTCTAAAACGGAAAATCATGATTTTGTTGTGATATGATTGCTCCCTTCTATCAAATCATTATGTGACGGGAGTAGATGAATGCTGAAAGGGAAGAAAAGAACACAGGCAAACCCAAACCCGCTATAGAATTGGTACTATACTGCCACCAAACCCAGGTCCGGAGAGAGTGCACCCTCCATCTATGGATTACTGGCCTATGGCGCTGTGAATCACACGCTCATATCCTTCTTCCGCAAGGCGCAGGTTTGTCTTGCGGAGCTGCGCAAAAATATAATGCGCACGCCTTCTCTACACATCCCTTCTTGCCTGGCCCATCATCGAAAACATAAAAACCCGGAGCTCAGATCGAGTTCCTTAATCGTTCTGCGGAGAGGTAGGGGAACTGTATTACCAGGTTAACTGACTGCCAATGTACCATATAAAGACATGAAGACTCACTATTGATCACCGCTGGATGGGCCCCGACCCGGCGTCCTTGGAGAGAAGGCGGGGGAAGTGGGTGAGTAACCCGGGCTAGTGGGAGATGCCTGCTGTCCAGGCGAGCGATGGAAGGACGGGCTTGTAGGCGAGTAGGCATCGGGAGATGTGGGTGACCAAGTTGGTGACGCAGGTGAGTAGGATGGTGATGTGGCATGCAGGTTCGGCGATGCCGGGCTGTATGTGGGGCTGGTCGGAGAGTACGAGGGTGACGTCGGTGACGCGAACTGCTGGGGCGAAGTAGGAGAGTAGTGCCTTGTAGCAGCAGGCGAAGCCGGTGAGTAGCTCGGTGATGTCGGGCTGTAGTTGGGGCTGGTTGGGCTGCCGGGCCGCAGCATGGGAGACGTGGGCGAGAATGATGGAGATGAAGGGCTGAACTGTGGGCTTGACACGTAGCGACCGCCAGCATCGATAAGCGGCGACGTCGGAGAGTACCCAGCTGCAGGAGAGGATGGGGAGTAGCCACCATAACCGCCAAATGGCGAGGTAGGCGACGTCGAGAAGGGACTGGTAGCACGAGGACTGGTCGCATATGGGTTGACTGTGCTTGAGCCGAAGCCGCCATACTCCGTGCCAAAGCCAGTTGGGCTGTCGGAACCAGCACCCTGGATGGGCGAGAAGTTGCCCATGGTCGGAGAATAGCTGCCAAGGTAACCGTTGTCTGCCATCGGGGAGCCGGTGTCGTACGGAGTTGCGGCACCCTCCAACTCACCGCCTTTGATCGTCATGCCAGGCATCAGGCCCATACGAGAGTTGTCGGAGATGACGGTCTCCAACATCTTCGGATCCAGAAGGACATCGAAGTGACCGGTACCCATGGGAGCCATCTGGCCAAGCATAACATTCTCAGAGATGCCACGGCAGTCGTCGAGCTCGCCGACAGCGGCAGCCTCGAGAAGAATCTCGACGGTCTCTTCGAACGAGCACCGCATCAAGGCACCAGTGTCAGCGCGGTTGATGCCGTGACGAGTAACAGCTGCAATGCTGCCACGGTAGGTCATTACGTCGACCAGCAGAGCCAAGTGACGGTGGTTGACGTAAGAACCGTCGAACGCAAGCACCTGGGTCAATTCCTGCAGAAGAGCTGCGCGAGCGGCCTCGATGCCGAAGACATCAACGATCTGATACAGGTCGTTGGTTGAAGTACGCCTTGTATCAACGCCCTCGATCTGCAAAACCTCACGAAGGGCAGTACCCTGCGTATCCAGATACCACTCCTGGCACGCGGGATGGTCCTTATTGGCAATCTGTGAGCCATCAGGGAGGACAGCTAGCTTGGTGCCCTTGTTCAAGAAGGCACGCTCGATACCTGGTACGCCACGCAGCGTCAGGTTATCAAGGAGATGTTTCTCGAGACGCTTCAGCATGACGTCGTCCTCGATGATCTTGTGGCCGTCCTCATCCTTATCGTCCTCCTGGCGAACAACGCGGATACGAATAACCATTTCTTCGGCGTTGTTGTCGCTGAAAATGATAGCAACGTCCTTCTTGTATTCCTCCTTGATCTTGTGCGCAACGTCCTCGACGCGGAGACCCTTGTCGAGCATCTTCTGACGATCAAGGGTAATCCTGAGCAGCCAACGAGATTGATTCTCGATAGATTCCTGATCTGATGAATCAGGGATGAGGAAGTAAGACTCGACCATATCGAAGTCCTCAGGAATGACCGTCGAAGTGATGTCGGGATCATAGTAGATCTCCGTTACCGCAGTAACAGAACGCAGGCTGGTGTGCTCAACTTTGTTACGCATCTTCTTGGCATCCTCCTGAGTGGCGTTCTCAGCATCCAGGTAGACCACCATGGACGGGGTCTTAATATCCTTTGCAACGTTGAGAATTTCCTTGAGACGAGGAACACCAAGGGTGACGTTCTTAGACGACACACCAGCGAAGTGGAAGGTATTCAGTGTCATCTGCGTAGCGGGCTCACCGATGGATTGGGCAGCCAGAACACCGACCATCTCACCAGGGTTGACCATGGATCGAGCCCACCTGTTCTCCAGTTCACCCAAAATGTGCTCAAAGGCCAACTTGTTGATTCTCTGCTCGCAAGCCAGCCGCTTGAAAGCAAGCCGGGATCTCAGGAGGATCTTGAACAAGATGGTAGAGTTGTAATCGGCCTCCTTCGAGATGGGATCGTCACCGCGAACAACAACCATGCGCTCGAGGAGAGCACGAACAGCCGGGATAACATCCTTAGGCGTCAGGTCGCTGCGGGAGGTATCGTCAACCTTGAAGAGCTTCTTTGCGTTCTCGATGATGCGAGCAACATTGAGGGGAAGCTGAATATTTTCTTCGCCCATCTTGCGGCGTTGAATTTGACGAACCAACTGGCGATCGGCCAAGAGCTGTTCATATTCCTGATCCAGGAGCGACTGAACTTCCGGATCGCTGGCCATTTCACGGCCATACTCGAGGGCATCGAGGGCACGACCCGAGTGCTCCAGATCCATGACGTCCAGGCGGAATCTCTTGTCAAAGGCCTTATCGGACATGTTGATGTGATCGACGCGCTGCTTTTCGATAGCAATACCATCGAGGCCGTCCTCGCCATACACAAACTGAATGACATCACCAAGAGAATTCCGAACTGTCCCGTCGTAGTGCGCCTCAGCATCTTCGAGGGCTTTAACCAACCTACGCTGGATGTAACCGGTTTCGGCGGTCTTGACCGCAGTATCGATCAGACCTTCTCTACCGGCCATGGCATGGAAGAAGAACTCGGACGGCGTCAAGCCACGGAGATACGAGTTCTCAACGAAACCACGAGCCTCGGGCGAGTAATCGTCTTTGGTGAAGTGAGGGAGCGTCCGATACTTGAAGCCGAACGGGATACGCTTGCCTTCAACGATCTGTTGACCAACCAGGGCCGTCATCTGAGAGATGTTGATGGAAGAACCCTTGGAACCCGAGCGCGCCATCGTCACGGCGTTGTTGAGGTCCTTCAAACTCTTTTCTGTCGTGGTGCCAGCCTTATCGCGGGCCATGTTAAGGGCCGTCGAGACCTTGTTCTCGAAGGTCTCGCGGATGTTCATACCGGGCAAGGGCTCAAGCTCGTTGTTAGTGGCCATCTTGGTCAGCCGCTCGACTTCGGCCTTCTCATCATTGATGTGTTTCTGAACCAGCTCGATGGTCTTGGGATCTGGGATCGTGTCACCAATTCCTATGCTGTGACCGTTGTGCAGAAGCCAATAATTAACCACTCGCTGGCAGCCATTGAGGAAATCCATGGCCCCTTGGGGGCCGAGCTCGTTGTAGCAGAGATGGACGATGCCGCCGCCGGAAGCACCAACACTCTTCTTGGAGAGCAGACCATACATGATCTCTCCCTGCTGGATGAGAAGACCATCGTCCTTAAACGGATGGTTCTTATCCGGTGAATCCGAACCCATATGAAGGTTGATGATCTTTGGGATGATCATGCTGACAATCTGCTTGCCAGTCCAGCGCGGACGAGGCTTCAAGATCGCGGGAATGGGAATGATACCATCCCAATCAGGTACCCAAAGCATGAGATTCATGACCTGCTCTTTGGTGAGGAAGACGTCACGGCGACACATCTTGTAGACGCCGGCCAGGGTGTCTTGAACGATACCCATCAAAGGGCCGTTGCGCTGGGGAGAGACGATGTTCAAAGGCACCATACAAAGCTCCTTGACCTCAGCTCGAGTTTCCTCAGTCTGAGGGACATGCAAGTTCATCTCATCACCATCGAAATCGGCATTGTACGGGGACGTGACAGAGAGATTGAGGCGGAAAGTCGAATAAGGCATGACGCGGACCCTGTGACCCATCATGGACTCCTTGTGCAAAGAGGGCTGACGATTGAAAATGACATAATCGCCGTCGATGAGGTGGCGCTCGACCTTCCAACCGTACTCGAGCTGAATCGAGCTGGCACGGCGGTGATGACGAAGGTCGATGCGAGTACCATCAGAACGGACAACAAACCTGGCACCAGGGTGCTCATTCGGGCCATTCTGAACATATTGTGTGAGCCTCTCTATGTTGAAAGGCGTAACAGTTTCGGGATAGGTCAGAGTCCGGGCAATGCTTCGCGGCACGCCGACCTCGTCCAAGGAAATGTTCGCATCTCCAGTAATGACAGTACGCGCCGAGAAGTCGACACGCTTTCCCATTAAGTTACCGCGCAAGCGACCTTCCTTGCCCTTCAAACGGGCACGAATGGCCTTGACAGGACGGCCGCTCTTTTGGAGTGCTTGAGGCTGGCCAGCGATGTCATTGTCCATGTAAGTAGCAACATGGTACTGAAGAAGATTCTCAAAGTCGTTGATGATGTGTTGCGGCGAACCCTCGGCGATGGCCTGGCGGACGTTACCGTTGGCGCGGATAATATCGCCAAGCTTGTACGTCAAGTCGTCCTCGTTGCGCAGGCCTGTTCCAGTACCATCCATCGAGATGCTAGGGCGAACCGGCGGAGGAGGGACAGGCAGAACCGTGATAATCATCCACTCCGGGCGGGCTTGAGAGATGTTGAGGCCAATATCGATCATCTCCTCATCGCGCATGCGGCGGAAGATGTTGAGGGCCATTTCAGGGGTGATGATTTTCTTCTCTTTAGTTTTAACACCATCATCATCCCGGTGCTCGTAGTGGGCCCACAATGTGAGAGCCTGCTGGCGAATGACGGGCTGGGCGTTGCCACAACCTCCGTGGCCACCGACGGGTGCTTCCTGAGCGTTGCCGTTGGGGTTGTAGTCGCCGTCCTCGGCCTGTTTGGGAATATCGTTCTCACAACGTCGCTTGCTCTTACAGATATCCCAGACGCGCTTGAAGCGGATCTTGGGGTCGCGGATCTTCATAGCAGCAGCATACTGCGGGTCAGACTGGAGGTGGGTCAGCATCATCCAGTTCACAAACTGCCCCGCGAAGTTTAGGAGGAACTAACGCGATCAGCCAACACCCTACTACAGTTGTGGCAGACAATCTCGAGCAATTTCTTTGTGCGCTTGATGAACCCGGGGTGGTAAACAGGCCGGGCAAGCTCAATATGACCGAAGTGACCGGGACACTCGGACATGTTTTCAGTGCACGTCTTGCACTTGAACTGCCGGTCGACAGAGCCAAGAAGAGGATCGTTGAGACCACCGTCGCGGGGCTTCGTCCTCGTCTCGTCCATCGTCTCGGGGTAGAGGATGTGGCACACGCTCATCGCCTTGATTTCCTCAGGCGACAGGAGTCCGAACTGGATCTCCTTGATTGTACGAAGCGGCGCACTCGAGTGCGCGAAGATGAGGTTCGCCATTCTGTGAGAGTAGATGTCGAAATCGGTATTTGCAAATTTATTTCGCGGGTTCTGTGGATTAAGAACGCTGGCTGGGGACTTGGTAAAGAGAGCGAAAGTCGCGATTGCGGCGCGTCAGTGGAAAGCAGCTCGGGCGGGGTCGTTATAGGAAAGGAAAAGGCAAAGGGAGAAAGAAGGAAATTTTATTATAAGGCGAGGGAAAATAAATTTAGATGATTTGGGTGACGCCGACTGCTCGAAGCGATGACTTTCAGATGTCGGATTTCGGACTGTTGTTGGCCTCCTCGACAACGCTTTCAGGCCAGCGGCCTGAAGGGGCGATGATCAATTGCCGCCGCTAACTCCAGGCTGCCTGCGGGTTGGAGAAATCGATGGGTATCGAGTATCGCGATCGATAATTTCGAAATTCTTGTCGAGGAATGGCCGGCGACAAGAATTCGTGGAGTTGCGAACGCGATGCGCGATGTCGGTCGTCGTGTTGTTTGAGGGTGAGTTTGGTGTGGAGGCAGCGAGCACTCAGCGACCTGAAAAGTTCGACCTGACAAAGCAGCGCGGGAGGCGCTGCGCAAGGCTAGTCCAATTGTGGGAAAGGGATCCACTTTTCCGTGGATAAATAGCAGCCTACTGTTCGAATACTGTGTAAGTGCCAGCAACACCGGTGGTCACTCGGCAATAGGAACGGGCAGGATGGCACAATACGGTAAGTTGAGGAGAATAGGGATCATGTAGGAAATTTTTCAAATGCGAAATGGGTATCTAGCTATAGTAGATGAGGTATAGCAGTTAATGTCACGTGTATGGCATATTCAAAACACACAGATACCAAGCACTCTTCCGGCGCAATGACATCGGAGTATCTGTACCATGCACGTGCTCATGCTGTTGTTTTGGATAATTGCAGGGGCAAGCGCCGAGGACAACTCTCTAGCCCTCTTGGATGCCCTTCCACACCATGAACTTCATTTTGGCACCGTGATGAACAGTAGCGGTAGGGAAATCGAGCAAGTCTTTGAATTGAGGTATTCATGTCATAGTCGTCATGTTTTCCTCCCCCCAGTCCTTCCGGCCCTGCCCGTGCCAGAAGATTGTGTTTGTTTGCTAGCTCCAATGTCTTCCCCAGTCAACTCCCCATCGACGTCGTCCTGATCACCTGGGCTTTTCCTCCGTAAGGTCCCAAGTGATACATTCACAAATTCTTCTTCGCTGTCCGACTCTCCAAGGTTGAACAGGATCGGCATGCGGAATTCATCCAACTCCTCTCCTAACCCGCCCCCATTATCGACAGCAAGAACGTCAATGTCTTCATCTTCCTGATCAAGCCGCCTCTTCTGGATCTCCTCCTGCGGCTTGATATCGAACTCGTCCTCCCGCTCAATGTATTCAACATTCTCTTCGACCTCCACAAAATCCGGCGCAAGTGCGGACCACTTTTGGGGACTTGTGACCGACCAAATGTTAATTCTGCCGGTCTCGAGACCACATGCAGCCAACAGAGGTCGATGCGGGTGCCATTCAATAACACCCTGTTCCTCCTTGGGCCCTTCCAACATGCGCACCAAGCTCCCGTGATTCCTCTCCCAAATATAGAGCTCGTGGTTATTGTAAGTCGATGCAGCAACGTACTCGCCTGTGGCACTGAATGCTACGTGGTTCCACGACAGCCGGTTGACTACATCTTGAAATTTGTGCTCGAGAGGAATTTGTATTGTATCTGTATCCAGATCTGGAGCTGAAAGATTTGGTACGTGGAAGGTCCGTATGATGCGGTCCTGAGCATTCACTAAGAGATCCTTTCCTGCTTCTGTTAGCCTGAGGGTGGTAATTACACCGCTGGCTATCTTCTCTGAGTATATGATCTCTCGTGTTCTCGCATCAATAATATTTAGGCGGCCTTTTGTTGTCCCAGCGAGGAGGTGGTCTCCGGTAGCTGTATATATAATCGCCGTTGTCATATTTTTTGCATCCTCTTTTGCTTGTTTCTCTTTCAAAGCGGGATCGGTTGCAATCTCTGTCCGTTTCGGTACAGAAGGCAGGACATATTGCACATCAACAGGTTCTGTGACATCAACGAGTACTGGCTGCTCCTCAAATAGGGCAGCAGCAAACTGGTGACTGCAGACCATTAGCCTCAGGGATCCAGAAAGAAAAACATGGGCGGGACAGACTGGTTCCATGGATGAAGCTCCGCACCATAAATTGGAGCACGGAATCGCACTTCGCGATACCGCGATCCGTCCTGCAAATCCCACAGAATTGCTTTCCAGCCTTGACATGCCGAGAGCAAGTATCTCCCACAGCGTGACCAGCTGAGGGAAGTGATGTTCTTGCTGTGACCTCGTAACTTCCGAGCAACACCCATCGTCTCTAAGTCCCAGACAACCACGGTGCCATCAACACGGCCTGAGGCGAGGAAGTCTCCTTTGCGGTTGAATCGCACACATGTTGCGTGACCTGACCGAATGGTATTGGTAATAAGCTCGGGATAGTCTTGCAATAGATAGTCGTCTGAAAGGAGGAGATTCATTGCCACGTTTAGTGTTTTGAAAACGGGGTGCCCTTCGTTAGCTTCGCCCCAGATGATGTTCGCGACGCGACGAGGCTCTCATCCGTGCTTCGCTGCAAGGCTGACGGAATAATGGTATCCACAAGTCTTGGCTCTTTAAAAGGGCCAATGTTACAGAGCCACATACCAAAGTCCAAGTACGGTAACTCGGGGAGGTAACTGGATGGTGTTTGAACGCTCGCCAGGTCTTTTGAATTATGAATATATAGCATCAGGTGTTCGTAGACATCGACATAACTCTGTAAACTAGACCAATTTCCCTTTGCTTCAATAAGCTTGGGTAAAATACCGGTGTCTTCTGAAGGTACAACTTACCGTGTGGCACGTACTCCCACCATTCCATCCCAGAAGCTGACCAAGAGCCTGAGCGAAAAGATCTGCTGTGAGTTACCCCGCCATCTTGGAATCAAGATCGGCTGCGTCCGCACCACCATGTAGCATACCGGGATCTTTCAACTTCAGAATGAGCGAAGCATGTTAATCTCTTTTCTGTGATACTCAAATTCGACAAGATAGACAACCAAGTCCGCACAGCCCCGAAATTCTCGAGAACCCACGTCCCAGTCTATCGAATCCTTTTGTCAATCTCAAGATGGCAAATTCCAAGTACGGAATTCCTCCTGAGTGGTCAAATATTATCATCGATACTGACAGTCCGAGATTCGAATACGTGAAACAGTTTGAGCAAGCAGATAATCTGCTTCCAAACACGTGGATTGTGATTCGTATTGACGGAAGAGGGTTTACCAAGTACAATTTACTTTTCATCAGTCGTCATAACGCCGACTACTAATGTAATGGCAGATTTGCAAATAAATATGGGTTCCAAAAGCCCAATGACAGGAGGGCATTGGATCTTATGAATGCCGCCGCCAAGGCTGTTATGGCAGACATACCCGACATTACTATTGCATATGGCGTCAGCGACGAATACAGGCAAGTCTCTATGTCGTTCCTCATTTCTTGGGTTATGTCGCTGACTAGATCATCAGTTTTGTCTTTCACAAGTCCTGCGTGCTTTTTGAGCGTCGGTCAAGGTATGCCATGAAATTCCGTTCTGCAACGACCATGGCTAAGTGTCAACAGCAAATTGATCTCGACCATCGTTTCTACCTTTACCGCTTACTATGTGCACTACTGGCCAACTTACTTCCCGGATAACCCTCTGTCTCCTCCGTTACCCAGTTTCGACGGACGAGCGGTTTGCTACCCTAGTGTGCAGAATCTGCGAGATTATATGAGCTGGCGGCAGGTTGACTGTAAGGAGAAAATCATGCTTGGCTTTTCACGGACTGTCGCTCACCAACATTTATAGGCCATATCAACAATCTTTACAATACCACATTCTGGGCTCTGATCCAGAAGGGAGGAATGGACGCTACCGAAGCAGAAAAGACCTTGAAGGCAAGCACAGGATCCAGGACTACCTTCAAGAACCCTCTGTCTAAGCAAACTGCAGGGCACATACTCCTCTGATAAGAACGAGATTCTTTTCTCAAGATTTGGTATCAATTACAACAATGAGCCGGAGATGTACAAGAAGGGAAGTGTAGTTTTTCGAGAGGTGAGTCTGTTCAGGGTCATGTCTGGCTTCTGTCCTGGAAACTAAAATGTTCAGTATGAGCTTGTGGAGCCTGGCACACACAACGCAACCAGCGAGGCAGACCAAGAGGCAGAACTGGTCAAACAATCCAAGTCACAGGCCGAGAAGGACAGGAAGAAACGAGCAAAGGCACGGATCGTGGTGGAGCATCTTGATATTATCAAAGACGACTTCTGGGATCGTCGACCATGGCTGCTATCGAACAAGCCTGGTAAGCTCCCAGGGGAGATATGAGGCCAACTGGGTATGCAGTCTATACCATTATCTGGCAGCTGCTTGAAGTTTGGCTCTGTTAGGACCACCTCTTGCTGCCACCAATGGCCGAAGCTTCAAATCCAGTGCGGGCCTACGACCAGATGCGACAACGTCTTTGGTGGGTTCTCTAGGTCCTTGAGTCCCTACCAGAAGGCAGTCATGGTGCGACGGTCTGATACCTGTATGGACAAAAAAAGCGGCTTATAACTCGGGCTACCTCCTTTTCTCAGCCTGCTTCGGTTCTCTGAGCCGCCTCCAACTGTCTCCTTCTCTTGGCCTCCTTCTTTGCTCTCCTTTCTGCCTTTCTCGCACGTCTCTCCTCCTTCGTTTCCATCGATTTCCGCGCCTTCTTAGTGCCCTTCTTGGCTTGCTTCCCTGCCTCTTTTTTTGCTTCCTTCCTCGTCGCTTTTAGGGCTGCTTTTTCCGCTGCTTTTTTCGCAGCCTCCCTCTGAGCCTTACGAAGCTTCTTTGCAGCCTTCCTCGCCTCCTTCTCTGCTTTCGTCTCTTCCTTTTTCTCTTTCCTCGACAGGGACCCTTCGCTATCGTCTGAAGTTGCGGGTGTTGCGTCTGTCGAATCTGTCTTCGTCGAGGAATCTATTTGGATAGTGCCCTCCAACATCCCACCGCGGACGAACGAAGCATATAGGCCGTTCGCACCTGTGTATTTCCCGGATCGCTGATTGTTCGGCGCAATGGCGTCCAACTTGCCCTGCTTGACGGTCTGGACAACACCGTTCTTGGAGGTTTCAAGCCCCTTGAGCTTCTGATCGAAGGCATTGAGCCACCACTGATCGCTCGTGTAGTGTGCTTTGTTGCCTATACCGCGACCGTCCGTGTTTCGAGATATCAAGAGGGGCTTCGCAAGCCCGATGGAGTTATCGGTCGGGTGAAGGGTGTAGCCCTTGCCCCGCCACCCTTGGGCCTTGAGCAGAGCAGCTGCGTTCATGGCTTGTTTGCGATTTAGCGGTTGCGGTGGCGGGGCACTGTCATGTATCAAGATGTTGAAGCCGAACTCTGAGCGCGCATCGCATGCGGGTTGGCAGCGCTAGAGCAACAGAAAAAAAAGTTCCAGCGATAAAAATTCAGACCCACATTCATTGCCAAGCAGGACAAAGCGGGACTCTGTGGAACAGAGCTCCATTATATAATCAACCCAGGCGAATGTAAGTACACGTAGACGGTACATACCCATACGGCTTTGTGTAAAAATGAAATGAAAGACTGTTGGAGAGCAAACTGCACAGAACATACCTGGTGACGGATATGCTGGGCAAGGCCTTGGAGCGGTACGAGGTCGGCGAATTGCTGTTTTAGGCAGATAAATGTTAGAAGATCTTGTAGGCGTAGGATGAATGATCCAATTCGAAGGCAAGATGATGAGAAAGTTTCCAACAACACCCCTAGAAGATAACAGGCGTGTTTTCCGACAAGGGACGATAGGATACCATCTCACCAAGCTGCGCGCTGAAACTGGCCGGTCTCTTCTCGCGGGACAAACTCCAACACCGGACTTTTGGCCCAGCGTCGATTGGCTTACCTACCAACTAACAAAAGGATTCTTGCCGCTGATTCGGATTATGGGCAAGAAGTTTTCCAAGAGCTGAAGCAAGTCGCTGCGTGAGTTTTACCAGACACTCTTCAACCTTATAGCACGTGCAGGCTTTAACCAACTGCATTCGTCGGTCAATGGATATTTTCCGTTTCACAATGCCGACCCCCGGGCAACCATGGGTGCTCGACCAAGAGCACGTCGACGACAAAATATATACAGAGCCAGATGGTGTCGCAGAGAACTTCGATCGACTGCTCTACAAGCACCAACTTGCCGAAAGCTGTGAGTACCAGAATCTCTCGGCTCTAGGCGGAATCTGGAGCGTGTCTGGTTTTGGGCTGCAACAAGAGCCACATCACCGCTCAGGAAAAGCCGGGACATGACAGACAAGTTGGCAATAATGGCATTCCTAACAATCTGAAGTGTCTTGCCAAGGACGAGTGCTCTCAACTAAGCTGTTGAATCCCCAGTGAACTTAAGACCACATAAAAGTCTTGTGAACAAGATAGAGGTCATGGTTGGTATTTTGACTTCACATCAAACTGTAAACACAGTTGTGGGTAATGCCTCGGCTCTCCAATATGCGGTGCATCTTTTTACTTACCATCTTTTTTTATCGCAACGGAGCCACAGATTGCATCACCTCTGTCCCACCTTCCACAACGGCTATCCTGCTTCGCGACCTCCTTCACGAGCCATCTAAATGGCTTCGAGAACCCATCCACCCACAAGCTCGTACTTCCTTGCTTTTTGATATTTCCATACCCAAAAATGCCCGAGAAATGCGATGTGCCTGCTCAAAGAGAGCCTTGCACTCCATCTCGAACCACTTCGTCGGAGTTGCTCCCGAGGATTCCTCTGGTGGTTGCATCGTCTCAATTCGCTTTGGCCTGGCAGGTTTTCAATTGTCTCGTCTTCCAGCATCAACCTCTGCAAGCTTACAAATTTGACATTCCTTCCAAGCTTGCTGTTCGTCGGCCCAGTGCCGGACGTGCTGCTTCATACTGCCGCTGATGGCGGATATCGGCTGGTGCGGCAAACGGAAACGACGACGAGTTTGACATCACGGGCTGTCCTCAGTATTCCAGATTGTTTTAGCTGGAGGGATTTCAGCGCATGATTCTGTTTTTGCTGATGTTGCTCTCTTTTTCTCGGAAATATCTTCAGCGACGCTCCCATATATGGGGTATAGAAAGTCCGACTTGCTCAGGGGAACAGTTGTGCTACTCACTCGCTGACTGTAACGCAGTGGCGCAGAGGTAGGGTTTTTCTCGGGAAGACTTCTAGCATAGTAATAGTGAGCACGAATCTCAGGAGCCATTGGAGCAAATCTGGCTGTATATACACCGCATAAGCAGGGTTGAGAAGTGTACTCAACAACAGCCATTGTGTTGTGTCAACAGTTGTGTGAAAATGAGATCAGCCAAGGCTTTAATGATCTGATAATAGCAGGTATCTTTGGAGTTACTTCGCTGGAGGTCAAGCTTGGAGGAACTTTATGGCCCCATTCACTACTCGTCTCCTTGCTTAACTGAAGGGCTGGGAGTCATTGAAGCCTTGTTAGCTTGATGTATGTCAGGAAAGAGGATAACGTTGTTCAGTGTTTATGGAGAGAGATAAGAAACCTTCCAATAATGGAAGGAATGGCCGATTGCGATATCATGTGGCTGTGCGATTCACAATGGATTTGGCAAAGGGCTCATGACAGAGATATAAAGCAATGAGGAAGGACAGGGATAAACACCTGTACAAGTGCAGGCAAAGAAGGTGCCCGGACAAGGAAACACTATACCATGAGGGCCAAAAGCAGGTTAAGGAGATTTGAATTTCTGTTTTCCGTAGATTGGTAGCAATCAGCAAAATCTTCATTGCTATGCGATAGCCACCCATAGAGACCTACAAAAGTACCTAATGTGCCTCACAACCGAAACCGTCCAAGTAACTCCCTACAGAGGGACATAACTTATAACAGACAAACACCTAGCCTGAGCCTTCCAAGACGCCTTTTCGCGGATAAGAGTAGTGTGCTCATTTTTCGCTCCTCAGAAGCCAAACCACAGAATAACGGCTAGCCCCAACCCAACTCTCGTTGACAACAAGACAATTACATTGTAAACAGAATAGACCATCTAGTAACCCCTCATTAGCTGAGCGTAGATAGTCATCCTCTCCACTTCGCAGTCGGCGCCATTAGGCAGCTTCTGCCCTTTGGGCAAGCTGGCAACCACCGTAACTGCGATAATGTTGGTAGTAAGACCCAGCCCGATTTCGAAGACCATGGCATCTCGGGGAAGAGGGTCGTCGGGGATGGGCAGAGGGGTAGCTCGTCCCACCATCTGACCGTTGATGGTCACAAAAACACGATATGCGCGACCTTGCTGTTCAAAAGGAGGCAGCCGAGGGATGAGCTGCAGTCGATGGTGAGCAGCTGGGATATGTAACGAGATGTTCTGTTGCGCTTCTTTTGGATGCGCCGGCAGCTCAACACGGAACCGGCGGTCCATAACAACGCCGGGATGTGTCCGGATCAGAACGCTCGGCAACAGGGAATCCGCAAGGCCTGATGACACTGTTAGCGAGGATGACCTAACTCAAGTAACACTCGAGTAGAACCTACCTCTGCCCGGGGCACGATACTTAGAATCATACAGGAGCGGTCCAGTAGAGGATGCAGATTGGCCATTTTGAAGCTGTGCTTGCCCAGATGGCATCCCATTGGCGCCATTTATCGTGGCTGGAGTACTGCCATTCAGTCGCGGAGTCACTGCCGGAGATGGCTGACCAGCGGTGCCGGGAGCGGGACTTGGGGATGGTGCGGCCCCAGTGAGCTTGCCCTTGTCAAAGCTCGCCCCGGCTGTCGAGCCAGCAGGAGTGCCGGAGCGATCAATGGAACCATCAACCGAAGAGGCTGTCTGGGGAGCTGGCGAGGCGGTTGCGCTGCCCCTCGACCCTCCAACATGGATGGTAATCTTCTTTGAGGTACCCGTGGAACCATCCTGACCTGGGGCCATCTTTAACTTGATCTTGGGCTGCGGTGGCTCCTGTACAACAGCCTTGGCTTCATTGAGCTCTTTATAGAAGCACTCCTAAAATCACGGTTAGCTCAGCAAGATGCGGTAAAATCAACCGTTGAAACTTGCCTTCAGCTCAGTAGCCAGCTTATGGATGACACTCCCCTCCTCGTTGTAGAAATGCGCATTCTCCCACAGCAAACTGGCCTTCTCCTCAAACTGTGCCCAGGTCTTAAAGTCGCTGATACCAGTTGCCGGCTGCCGGCCATGAATGCCCTTCACTAACTTCTGTAAACCCTTGAGAGATAAGGGATTTTGGATGACAGCGAAATAATCTTTATAAGAGCGTGGGGGAAGGTTGATGAAATCCAAGAAATAGGGATCCCTACAAGCATGATCAGCCATTCTGACACAATGGAGAACCCGGCATAACAGGCGAAACTTACGGTCCGTCAGGCTTTCGGATCAGCTCTTCAACTATCTTTTCTTGCGCCTGCTGGAAGGTGAGGCCTTTGTATGGGACACCTTCGTACTCGTGATCGGCCCTAACTCTGCCGGCTTTGTCATGCTTCTTAGATGGCTCAGTGCTGCCTCGCGTGGGCCTGCCAGTACCTCTGCGCCTGATCACGATCTTTCTGGGACCGTCATCTTCTTCCTCACCATCGTTGCTGTCACCACCGGCCTGCTCTTCGTCGCCTTGAGCGTCTTCGTCGCCCTCAGCATCCTCCTCCTGGGCTTCTGGCTCTTTTTTCACTTTGCTATTGGTGGGTCGGCTTTTGCCGTTTGTCCCGCTGGAGGATTGCGTCCTGCCAATAGCGGCTGGTGCATGTGCATCGGAGGCAAGATCATCGGGAATGGGAGCAGCCTGACAACTGTATCCCGGATTAAGCTTGTAGGCAGGGTTGGTCTTCGTCATGTAATTGCTCAAGGCCTTCCTGACGCGCTCTGCGTCTTCGTATATTTCAGAGTTCTTAGGGTAAAACTCTTTGGCATTGGTCACCATGCGCTTGAAGTAGCTCTCAAGCTCGGACAGGTTCTTGAATTCTTGGTTGTGAAGCTTTTGCTCGATGATCTTGAGCGAAAGAGGCATGCGGATTCGGCGGTAGTATTCTTCATTGCCCTCGTGAGGAATAAGGTCCTCGAAGTAGCTAGCAACGAGACGGCCACTGTATGATGGGGTAAGTATGTGCTTGAAGTAGGCATTTCATTCTGCTTGAAGCAGCATGCACAACCGGACGCAAAAAAGGCAAGGATGTAGCGAACCTTTTATCCTTGGTTCTGCGAATTGTTTCCAGGAAGTGAAGGCCATAGGCAGTGGTAGACTCAGGAGTTTCTCCCTCTAAAAGGTTGTAATCAGAGGGAGGCTGCAACTGCTGTTAGCATGATCCCTTTCTTTGCGCTGATCCGCATGGCATTGATGTGCTACAATGGATAGGAAATAGATAGGAAAAAGCTGGCACAAAAGTCAAACAACGCGTGCATGCGACTTGCGCAAAGACCAAACCATCTCTGCGCGCGAATGAGAAAAGTATGTGAAGATTTTGAACCTTGTGACCATTGGAATGCTCCACGATGTTTACTTACTCCTGGCACCTTGCGCCTCTTGCTTGCTCTATCATCGCCGTCACCATCGATGTCGGCCCCGGCAGCACCGGTCGCCTTTCGCTTATTGTCCATCGCTGTGTGTCGCAGACCGTTTGCAATCCAATTTTTGTATCAAAAATAATGTGAAAATATGTCGTCGAATTGATTTCAGGGAAATAACGGAGCTGGGATGGACTGCGGGTTGTCGCCGAGAGGTGGGATGTCGCCTTTGAGAACGCGTCTAGGATCGCGTTTCGGTTTGCGCTAAAAGGTTGGCAGCGGCAGATATAAAGCAAGATCTGGTTGGTGCGAAGCAGACGCACGATTAAAATGTATTGAATAGCGACAAAGAAGCTGAAAAGCCCCAGGACTGACCGCAAGACCTGGTGCGCAAAGAGGTGGATGGTTTTGCGATGGGAGCTGGGAATCTCCTCGCCGCCTATCCAGTCAACCGCAGTGAATTGCACTTTGCATGAGGTGCAGCGGGCGCAGTGGAGCAGAGGTCCTTGCCTACAACTTGCAAGCGCAGCCATTTCCGGAACCCGCCGTGCCAAGTTGACCCACTTACCAAGCCATCGGCCCGGGTGTTGCAGGTTAAGGCCTAAAATTGCCTTAGATTTCAGGCATTATTTCGATCTGATCTCGCGTTTATTTATGCAAAGGCCTTATCGATACGACAGCTGGTTGCGGAGTGGAAGCGCATACCCAATGCCCCGCCAAGCCAGTATTGCGCTCGCGCCAACTGAAACCGAATAAACCTTCCGATCTGCGGGAACATCTCCAGGTTTCTACCAACAACCTTTCCTACCACACCGCCTCGCGCAACGATCCTCGACTTTTGCCGCACTTTCGTTAGTCTACAAACTCCATCGCTCATTTACTTCACGCGCAGAGCTTCACTTACTAGTATTCAACAAGATGCCCGCCGGTCAGTCTCTTGCGGAACAGATGGGCATCGACATCAGTCGGCGCAACCCGCAGCCGCGCCCGCTGACTGAGGAGGAGCGCGCGCGTCTGGACGAGTTTATCGACTCGATCCACTACTCGACGAGGTAAGTGACAATGACAGGCGCTGTGAAAGTGTACTGCTTGGTTGATTTGGGGCAGTAAACTAACCCAACGCGCTCCACGCAGATACTCGGACAGCGAGTACGAATACCGCCACGTGCAACTGCCCAAGGCCATGCTCAAGGCCATCCCGCCCGAGTACCACGATAAGTCTAAGGGCACCCTCAAGCTTTTGTGGGAGGAGGAATGGAGGGGCATGGGCATCACTCAGGTGCGCATTCTTGCCTTCGGGTGCTTCGAAGAGACGTCCTAAAGACTTGATGCTGATTTCTGATTGCAGAGTCTGGGCTGGGAGCACTACGAGGTCCATGAGCCTGAGCCCCACATCCTGCTTTTCAAGTAAGCGATCTTCGAGGAAGACGACTTTGAGTACACGACCATGGCCAAGCTAACAACTACTCTAGGAGGCCCCTCAATTACCAGCCCCCGCAGCAGTGAGCAGCCACTGGGGGCGAGGCGATGAGGATGACGCGATGACGGGGACGGTTCTACGATATCTTGCATCATCAACCACGACACTCATGACTGCATAGCGATCTCTCCTTGACTGTATGACTAGGCGCATTGGGTTCGACGATTTCAGGGAGCAGTGAGCGGAGGGCAAGTCTCTCTTCGCATGGCCCGACTCCGGTCCAAGCAACGCACACGCACACAACACCCTCGCCTCATGGGCATGGAAGTGAGAAACAAACACTCAGACGGCTGCCGGTAATTTTAGTAGTACTAGAGAGCTGCGATCATAATTTCTTGGGAAGCCGCAATGGGTGAATGGCAGTGCTGGCGTTGAGGTAATTGCGCGTGGGCATAGAATTTAGCACATTGGTCATGTGCTCTCACGGCTTGCGATGCTGGATCGTTGGTTATGCGTGCAATCACGTACATTACTTCGTACACTAGATAATACTACCGACTAGTTTGTCTAAGATACTGTTATCCCTTGGAGTTTTGCGAATAGTGTCCTTAGGAACCTGACCGACAGAGGATCCTCCACCTGGAAAGCCAGAGTATGCAATGTCGGACCCTTTTCTCGGAACTTCGGATGTTAGCAATGATTGGTGTTACGAGTCATCTCAAACTAAGAAGCTTATTGCAACCCTGAACTTCCGTTTTCCATCTGTCTTACAACGTATGTAGCATGTCTCGGCGAGATTGATGCACTCCGCTCAAATCCATCCGCTATGTGGCCCTTGAGACGTGCCAGAGGTCTTTGTGAAAGACACAACAACATCTATGCATTTATTTGTCCCGAGTGGGCGGGAAGGCTTAAGACCATATTCCGAGACAAATATCGTCGAGCACCAACCATCTCAATCAAAAGGCAACAGATCTATTGAGCATGCAGAGAATCCTGTCACGTCTTGGCATCAAGGGACAGTGGCAATGTGTTTTGGCATCCTGAAGAAGGCTCTCCATAGTGTTCAATAGCATAGGAAGGCTGTAGCGATATCGAACAGTTCATATCCCGTTAGAATTTATCTGACAATCTACATTGCGAAGACATTCGATCGATCTTGCTGGGATCTACCCCGGAAAGAACAGCACGGAATGCTACGCCACCTCGAGGTTCGGAGCCAGGGTGCTTTAATCTGGTTCAATGATTTCCAAGCAAATCAGGTCACAGCAGCACCCTTCGGCATCTTAGCATCTGCTGATTTTCCTTTTGGACACATTTCCTCTTTGTTCCAGGTAGGTCCGCCCTGGCTGTTCCACACTTCTTTTAATGGCGAGAACATCCATTCATATGTATGAATGAAAATGCCTACAATTTCCTTCTCTGTTTTCATGTTCGAGAATCTCTTGGTCCCCAAACGTTGACCTGCAAGTTGTAAGACCGGTTGGGACGACTTTGCCAAGGTCCCAAACCCCTGGATTGCACGATCACGTCCCTGGCATCCCTGTGCATCCCCTGATTCAACATTTGCGATAAGATTGCGATAAGAGCTCTTATCGGCTGACACTGACGTCGCCCTCCTCCATACGGACGCCTTTTTGGTTTCGGTTTCAGACCACCAAACGGGCCGCGGGCAACATTGCCGGGCCGCGCCCAAATTCGAAACTTCCACGTATCACCGACCATACCACAGACCCGGCCGAAGTTCGCGACCATGAAGTCGGCTGCTCGGCTCTTCTACCTGTCGGTGTTCGCTCTCTGGACACCCCAGGTTAAGTGTCAAAACCCTGGGTCATCATCAACTTCGGCTTATTCCTCTTCGTCACAAGATGCGTGCGCGGTATGGCATCTTCCACCCATTCGATGTCAACTGTCCCTTATTTCCCTTTCAACAGCTCTGCGCCCCACCTTTTTTTTGGCTCAACTTCTAACCCATCCGTTTGGCAGATCTCGCCCCAAGCCATTGTTGGCGATGCTTGCGCTTCGTATTCGACTCTTGAGCAGCTGAACAGCGCCGTCAAGCCGGTTCTTGACGACCTGGTGCAAACAACGGACTTCTTTTCCCACTATCGCCTCAATCTCTTTCACAAGAAATGTCCATTTTGGAATGACGAGAACGGCATGTGTGGCAACGTCGCCTGCGCCGTCGAGACGCTCGACAACGAAGAGGACATCCCGCTCGCATGGCGCGCCAGTGAGCTGGGCAAACTTGAGGGCCCAAGAGCGCGCCATCCTGGCAAGAGTGTGCAGAGACAAGAACTCCAGCGGCCTCTCCGTGGCGGCCTAGGAGAACATGTCGGAGAATCATGCGTTGTGGAATACGACGACGAGTGCGACGATCGGGATTATTGCGTGCCGGAGGACGAGAGCTCCACTTCGAAGGGTGATTATGTGAGCTTGTTGCGGAATCCGGAGCGCTTCACAGGCTATGCTGGAGATGGTGCTAAGCAGGTGTGGGATGCCATCTACCGTGAAAACTGCTTTCAGCGCAGCTCGTTCCCGAACTCGGCCGACCTTGGGCAAGGTATGACGCCTCGTAACCCCGCGGCCATGGACTTTCGGGCCATTATTGAGGCGGCTGGCAGACAACAAGCACTGGCAAAGCAGCGTGAGCAAAATCCGAATACTCCATTCGTCGCTAAGACCGGGCTCGAGTTCGAGGATGACTGCTTGGAGAAGCGCGTCTTCTACCGCGTTATTTCGGGTATGCATGCCAGCATTTCGACGCACCTTTGCTGGAACTTCCTCAACCAGACTACGGGCCAGTGGCATCCTAATCTTGGCTGCTACATGGGCCGTCTTCATAAGCATCCCGAGCGCATCAGCAACCTCTACTTCAACTATGCTCTTCTTACCCGTGCGATTGCCAAGATCGGCCCCTACCTGGAGGACTACTCCTACTGTCTGGGTGATCGAAACCAGGACGAAGTCACCCGCGCCAAGGTCCGGGCAGTAACAGAGAAAGTGATCAGCGTCCCGCCAACCCTGGACGAAAGCCTCATGTTCAAAAACGGCGAGGGTCCGTCGCTCAAGGAGGACTTCCGCAACCGGTTCCGGAACGTCAGTCGGTTGATGGATTGCGTTGGCTGTGACAAGTGCCGTCTCTGGGGCAAGCTCCAGACCGCTGGCTACGGCACTGCCTTGAAGATCCTCTTTGAGTTTGACAACAACGAGCAGCCCGAGATTCCGGTGCTCAAGCGCACTGAGCTAGTGGCTCTGTTCAACACGTATGCTCGTCTGGGCAACAGCATGTATGCTATCACGCAGTTCAGGGAAATGGCTCAGAAGGCCCAGTCTGGCGCAAACCAGGCGTCGCAGGCAGCGTCCGCGTCAAGTATATCGTCGGCAGCGTCAATGTCATCAGTTGCTAGCGCACCCCCATCCGCATCTGCACAGTCTAGCGCCTCATCATCGTCTTCGCCGGAAACAGGTCCATCCAAAGCTGTCGAAAATGCAGAGGCGAAACGAGAGGAAAAAACCGAGCAGCAGGACGATACAGACAATGAAAATTCGACCATCAGCGAAGACTTCAATGCCGAACTTGCAAATGTCTTGAAAGTCCTGAAGTTCGTATTAAAGAGCTGGGTCTCCTTCCCAGTGGCATTGTAAGTTTGCCTGACATCATAGTCCAGCCGCTCTTGGATATGTGCTGACAATTCTTTAGTTACCACATTGCCAGATCAGAGCTTAGACGGCTTTGGCAGTTCTACATTGGTCTGCCAGTTGAGCCAAGATCCTGGAGTTTCAGCTTCCCAAGAGTAGATGAACTATAGAGCGAAGACTAGTATCAAGTGTTCCTTGTTGTTAGAACTTTGGCTCATGGTATGATTCGGCGTTTTTGGGCATCTTCGGGACGGCTGCATTGTTCTTTAAGTACGAGCACTTGTGTACATTGAACGTATTCATTGGTTGCGTATATACAGACGGCCCCTTTTGGTTTCCTGAGATCCATCGTACGGGCACATGCATATACACCGGTACTAGGAGTTGAATAATCACTTGTTTCTAAACCCAATGCCCGCGTCATATGCCAAAGATGTTCTTCCCATCTTTCTTCCCATCCGCTTTCAGGCCTGGTTGTCGTAGTGCGACATTGTTGACCACATTTCCGATCTTTACCTTGACTCTGTCCACTGGAACAATAACCCGACGAATATTTTCTTTTGCTTCAGGTGCCTCAAACACATCCTTTGTTACCCTCACCAGCTCATCAGTTGGCTCTGCGAATGTCCACGCAATCGATAAGTGGAAGGCTTCCCCGACTTCCCAGGAGCCATTGTTACCTCCGTTCTCTTCGGTCCATTTATACAATTGCGGCTGATTGAATCGTTCCGCGACAGAATTGCACCTCCGAAGAAGTTCTGTTAACTGTGGGTTGTGGTTTACTTTCCGCTCCACTGTGCTCTCCCGGTTGACCCCGGGTCTCTCGCTTTCTAATACTCCTCCGTTGTCTTCACTCGAAGAGCCAGACCCTACCCGCAAACTCTCCACACGTAGCACCAAAAACGAGCGACCACTCTCGTACGTGCGGTGCCACTCTACCCTCGTACAACGAAGCTTGAATGCTGCGCCGTCGTTTCCATTGACCTTACTATCTGAGGTGGTAGAGCTACACTTAAGCGCAGCGGACGCGCCCTTCTCAATCTCCTCTTTTAACTCCTTCAGGAACTGCTCGCGCTCCCACTCCTTCAGGACAATAGGTCGCGACAGACTGATATGAAGCGGTAATGGCGTTGAGAGCTCGCTCTCCAGGAGGGTGGTGACCTCCACGCCTTGGTCGTTCCCTTTACCCCCCGTCCCTGAAGAGGATGGAATCCCTCTCGCTTTCTCCCTCAACTTCTTAACCAGCCCGCTCAACAGTTCATGCACTTCCCGTGGCGGATGCCACTCTACATAGACATGAGTTGGCCAGTTTCCGGGAATGTGGGGGATTTGGCGGGTGCGACCCTGGTGGAGAGAAGGGTCGTCGCAGGGCGCGGTGCGGACGGTGCCGGCGTAGAGGTCATGAAAGGAAGCTGGGAGTGGAGGAGGTGGTGAAGATGGTGCTGTTTTGGCTTTCTTTTTTGGAGGGGACATGCTCCGGGTCTCATGGTCAGAGTCGGAGTCGGAGGAGTAGGAGACCAGAGGTGACATTGGTGAGAATTGGGTTCCTTTTTGGGTTGGCCGGAGAGACTGTGCGCGTTTGCACTGTTGCTCTTGTTGTCGTGCTGTAAAACTTATAGTATATTCGAGACGTAACTCGGATGTTATCGAACGTTGCGTTGCAGAGGTCGATGATAGTCTGGAGAGGTTTGATTTGGTTGGCAACCGACTCCCGTGCCAAAATTGGACTGGTGATGACAGAACCTTCCCCTGTCGGTCCACGGGCCGAACCGCCCTTTTGTTGGAGAATTTTGGGCAGAAATAAGGGTTGTGGCTGAGGCTGAAGTTCAGACGGTGTCTGAAGACTCGATTTGTCGAGGAAACTGCGGTGGAAGGATTCAGGCCGCCTATCTTGTGTCTTTTAAAAGGTTCAGGTGACCACAGTACGAAGACCCGGAGCCTTCCGCTTTTTCTGAACTCCGACTACCGACAAAATCATCCATTCATTAAATTGTCAGTTCTGCACGACTTTCGTCTCAAATTCTAACCTTTGTCTTGGGAGTTGAAGGGGCAGAACACAACTGATTAGAGAGACCAATTCCCACAGTGTCACTTCTCTGACCGTGTCACCAACCCCACCGCCGTCATGGATGACAGGGATTACCACGATCTTGCTAATGACAAAGACTGGGTATGTTTACATTCCAAGCACACCTCTAGCCTTTCATTACTGTTCATAATAGGACCTGTTTTGATGTTCTTTTCGTCGATTCGAGGAAGCTGTTGTGCTGCTTCGAACTTGTTGAAACATGGCTTCCTTGGGGCTTGAGTGGCGTACATTGCGATGATTCGAGCTACTTACACGCAAAATATGGACCCGTTTGAGACAATGTTGAAGTTACTTGTCGATTTGGGGCTTCGACGTATATCCATGTCTTTGGGTCAATGAAGAACGAAGCCCCAAATCTCTTTTGCTCTCAAGTTGCTCGATTAATCTCGATCCAGGGAGCATCAGAACTGTACCATCTCCATGCCGATACAAAGCAATGCTGACCATTTATAGGCCTCCAAGTATATCCTGGGGCCTTTATATGACCCCGAGCCAAACCAAGTTTGCGCATCAAGTGCTCCACAAAATGTCTCTGCTTCTTCAGCCTCAGTCCGTGCCCCTAGCACTCCCCGGTGGGCTCGAGGGTCTAGGTTCAGTGGACACGGAGATCAACCTCTCGTGCTCGATGATGACGACAGTGGCCAGGAGCCCAGCCTAATCCGACGACTCATGAGCCGCTCCAAAGGAGACTCTCAACCACAACCCCCCCCCCGTGCTTATCAACCCATGTCCTCCACCCGTGCCTGGAATCAAGGCACAATCATGGCCCGGGAAGACAGCACTCGGACATCAATGCTTTTCCACAAGCATCGCCGGACTGTCTCCCTTCCGGAACGCTTTCCCGGCGATGAGTCAAATCGTCCACTGGCTATCCTAACGCGGGAGTACCAAGCAGCCGAGGAACGGCCCCTGTCACGGAAACGGATCAGTGATCACCCGCCTGCCGTTCATGAAGTACAAGAGGATCAGGTCACTGAAGTCGTGGACCCGGATAAAATCGATTACCTCGACATGTCAGCGCCGATCCCTGGGCTGTTTTATCACCATGGAGGGCCGTATGATGCTGCGCAGGTGGCTAGGAAGAGAAGCCACGGGGTTGCTGTTCATCAGCGGAGCGTGAGCTATGCTGGACCGGAGCTAGAAGATTTGCTTAATGGCGAAAGCGCGGTTCTTGGTTGGCGGGATGATTTGATCGTGGAGGAAGAGGAGGATGATAAGCTTGAAGGGGAAAAGAGGCCTGGTCCACGCAAAAGGAAGGGGTCTTCGGGGAGAGGGAAAACATTAAAGGAGAAGATAAAGAGACGGCTGAATGTTTTACGGAGGAAGACGCTCTGAGCAATTGGGCACCACGGCTTATACTGAGTGGAGGTTAATGTAGCAACTAGGATGTTCTGCGCTCCTAATTGTGCTGGGTTCTGGCAGGCATTATTCGTGGTTGTGGCCTACATGTCGATGGATACAGCTCAAGAATGCTGTCCAACCGTCACTTGGCATTGCAGTGGTTAAAGACTAGGAATAGTTTCACAGCATCAATTCCATGCATTATTTATTCCCTTTAGAACCGAACAGCAAACAAAACCACAGATACACGGTCTACAATTCTTCCCCAAGTCAACCCAACTAGTTATACCCCCCGCACCCATCAATCAACCTCAGAAATACCCTAATCCAGCCCATCCCAACACACCCTCCAACTCAGCCCTGACCTCCCCAATCCCCGCATACCCAGCCCTACCAGCCAACTCTGCCCTACGGGCCATTCCCAACTCGGTAAACCTCTCCAAGACCGTTCCGTCCACAATATTCCTACCCACGCTTGCGTCGACACCGGCAGGTGGGCAATCCGCGCTTGGCATGCGATACCCTTTGGGGTTGAGGCCTGCTGCGTGTGGCAAGGAGTTGACGAGCTGTGCGGCGAGGGAGGAGAGGCGACGGTAGGAAGATTCAGAGAGGGGACGGAGTGCAGCAATGAGGCCGGTTGGAGAGCAGAGGAGGAGGATGTGGGGACGTTCGGTTGCGTCGTAGGGGGCTAGATTTGAGGCATTGGGAGTGCCGTTGGTGTTGTTGGTGTTAGGATTGGAGCCGTCGATAGTTGAGGGGGTGTCCGTAGGGAGGGTAGATGGGAGGAGAAGGGATTTAGTTGGGTTGTGGGCGCCTGTATTGAAGGAGGTGCGGTGCAGGAGGAGGTGGCCCTGGAGGGACTTGGGATCTGGAAGGGGTCAGCGCCTTGGTTTCTTTATAGATGAATTGAAGGCACTTACGCTCAGGATCGAACTGGAGGATGTGAATATGCCCATCAGCATCGCACGCCACAATAAAGAGCTCTTTCCCATCCGGCAAGAAGTCAGCGGTGAGAACTTCGAGTTTGGTTGAGCTTTTCCCGAATAGCATCATCTTGTATGGCTCCTCGGTGTAACCGACAAACCAGACGCCCTTAAAGGCATCTGCCATCAGGCACAATCCAGTCCCCGGCAGCTCCTTTGCCGCTGTGACGTAGCAGCTCATGTCCATGAATGCGACCGGCAAGAGGGTACCATCCTCCTTGAGACCCCGAACCATGCACTTCTGACCCTGGGCCACAAGCATCAAACCCTGAGTGCCGATCTCCGACAGAGCAGTCACCGCTCCTCTGGGGATGTCCTCCTTGGCAATGAGCTTGAGCTTCTTGCTCGTCTCGGGCTTGCCCGGCTCGGGGATGACGTCGGCGATGTCGTAAACGTGGACTCGTCCTCTAGTGGGCAAGTCTTCGCCCTTGGTCAGGGCCGTCCCAACGGCAATGAGCTGCCTTCTCTCGTTGGTAGATTCGGAGACTTCGAGGTTCAGGGTCTCGACGCAGAGAACTGTCTCGCATGGCTCCAACTGTACCGTGTCAATGACCGTCCAGGTAATGGGGCTAATCAATTTGAGCAGACCACGGTCAAGGGTAGGTTTGAACACGAGGTTCTCGCGCGCCCATTCCTTGTGGTAATCATCGTCCTTGGGCAGCTCGAATGGTTCAGAAGCGTTGCAACCAACGACGTAGCACTGCTGTGGGGGATGGTATGCCACAGCTGCAATATCCTCTCCAATGGGGACTTTTTTGACCGCAAGACCAAGCTCGGCATAACTCCAGTCTTCCGGTATTTGTGTTACTCGAGCGATATTGTGGGAATCGGCGTAGATGAAGCCATGATCACAGCCCTCGGTGTGGAAGGGGCTCATCGCGATCACACCAGCACCCTGCAGTGGGACCACCCGTGGCATGGACTTAGCTGATTTCAAGATGAAGCTCGGCGAATGTCCAGGAAGGAAAACTGTGCTATATCCTGCAATATTGTTGCACCTGCGCATCGAGAGGAGACGGGGTTGTGGCGGGACATCGTCCTGCTCTGTTTCTTCTGGAGCTCTTGCGAAGGATGGGTTCGGCAGCTTCTGGAAGAACAAAGTTTTGGAAAAGACCTGTCCAGTCCCAAGCTTGTAGCGGTATGGCTGGTATATTGTCAAATCGTCGTTGGAGTGGCGAAGCTTGTAGGGAATTAGTCCAACACAATTCTGAAAATAAGGTGGATGAGAGACTGACAATGAGGTAAGGCGATTTATGCGTGGTATCACCGAGGTCAGCCACCATGATTTCAGTGATCGCTTCTTTGGGCGTCCCTTTCCTGACCGTGAAGTCAGACGAAAGAGCTGGTGGTATATATGCCAGGCCATCAGTGACATATATTGGTTTTGAGAGATCGGGCAGACGGTAGATCTAAGTGCGTTAGCTGAGCACGCTGAGACTGAAGGGAGCTCGGAGCCATGAACATACGTAGAGAGCACCGCTGGAGCTCAGAAGGAAGAGAAGAATGCTTTGAGTGGGTTTCGAGCTCTTGGCAGTTTCTTCTGCAAAGATCGCTGTGCTGTCATTGTAGAGACAACCGCTTAACCACTTGCTAGAGACGAGAACCTTGTCCTCTTTCCGGAGCTCCTCGAGCTCATTGCTACTGTCGATGCCGGCAATGAACGCGCTCGAGTCGTCCCGGATAATTAGGAGATATGGGTCAGCGATACTAGCAGTGACGGCACGCGGCTCAGCACCAGTTTCTTCATCCATCATGGGAACGATCTGGCTGAGTCCAAAGTCTGATGCAATCCGTCAGCGCGCAAAGTTAAGAGGTGGTTCAGGATGGTCAAAGTTATACCTCCGTCATAAGACCGAACTTCAGACTTGAGAATCTGGACAATTCGACTTCCCTTGCCCATGGTACCCGCTTCTATCGTGATGCCGGCTGCAGGATCGAACTCCGTGCCGCACAGACCCTCAAACCCGGCCGCAGTCAGAGCATACACGTCGGACTTCTCGTACCCATCCAGGTCAACCTTGGCGACAATCATGAACCTGTCATACTGTCCTCCCGTATCATAGTCATTGCCGCCAAGGACACTCACTCCCTTATCGCTCTGGAGGGACTTGGGAATGGGCTTCTTTGCGCACATTGTCCAGAAGCCCCTCGCCTCGGAAAACTCGAACTGGCCAATGACTTTGGGTTGAATAGCCAGGTTCATTGTCGCGAGGCACGAAGATTTATCTCGGCCGACAGCGCATACCAACTGCAAATCGGCATGAACACCAATAGAGTTGCGTTCCTCCTCGCTGCCTGGCATCCAGACTGGCTGGCCATATGTCATGGACTGGATAGGAGCAATGCTAATCAACCGATCATGGATACGGAAGCTCAGGTCGCCGCTAAGCAGGCTGCTGGCCGCTGATACGGGTTGGTGATGAGATGTGGTCTCCTCGCCATACAAGTCATCCTCATCCACCTCTTCTTCCTCCTCTTCATAGTCATCCATGTAGAAGTCGTCATCTCTCGGTTTAGACTTTCTACGTCCAGCCTGGGTCTGCTTCTTGGTCCAACCAAACACCAAAGAGTCACCCTCTTCAGAGCCGGCGAACATAACGTTCTTGCCAATCCTCGAAAGGGTAGAGATGCGACCCGGGATGATGGTACCACCGGAGGCTGGGGGAACTAGCCTCAGCTCGAGACCTGAGACTGTGCGGCCATCGATGCGGAATGTTATCAAGACCATCCGACCATCGTTCAGGATCATGAGAAATTCACCCAAATCAGGAGTCAACACATCGATGATGCAGCCCTCAAGGCGAATATTAAGATCAGATTGGTCAGCGAGACCGAAGGACGTGCACTGTTTTGTCATTGGATTAACAGCAACTCCATTGGGCTTGCCGGACTGGTCGATATGAATCAGCTCGTTACAGCCGACGAGTAGGGCACCACCAACAGGAGCTGGCAGAGGCACAACGCGATAGAGGTCTTGGGGCAGGCCGCTGACGGAGAGGATGGTGGTAGAAGCCTTTTGTTGCAAGTCTAAGGTAAAGACCATGTATGTGTAATGGTCCTTTCGGCCGAGGGCGTTTGAAGCGCTGCTGGTAGAGGCGAGAATACCAAAGGTGGGTTCTCGATATTCATGCAAGAAGGCCAGGTGCACAGGATGGAGTAGGCTTGGGTCAAGATTGGAGAGTCGCAAGACAAATGAAGGTGAATATGGTGTGTCTTCTATGTTGCTAGCTCCATTACTGACGGCAGCATTCGACACATCCTTCTGCGGCCGTGGGCCATCTAGCTCCTCATCCCAGTCTCCCATGTCGATGTCCTCGTCGACCTGCCTGAAGGGCAGGATGGCCAGGTTCCTGGCGGCGAACTTGAGTGCGGCACACCTGCTGCCCGGATCGGCGACCAAGAAGTTGACGTAGTGGCTCAAAGGGGCGGCCCATGGGCTCCCCTGCAGTTCCTCTTGTTCGTAGTAGTGAATCGACACAGTTCCCAGTGCATTGCGTTCTGCATCCCACTCGACCAGACTAAGCTTTGCATCGCGAAAGGCCAGTAGCAGCGATTCGCAACCGGAGCGCGACGTCGACGTTTTGATCTTGGAGAGTCCAATTACCGTCCCGGCCAACGGGGTCTCGTAGACGAGGACCAGCTTCGTGTTAGTCGTGCGATCGGCTCGAAAGCCCAGGCTGTCGCCGCCCAGGAAAGAGGCTTCGAGGCCGTCGTCGTCGTTCGCTAGTCGGTTCTCGTACCGGGCGGCGCTTCGACCTTTGCTCGCGCCATTTGTCTGCAACGTGTCGATTTCGGTCGTAACAGTCTTCGTGCGAAACACCTGGAGCAGCGACGACTTTGCGACAACGAGGTTGGTGCCCTGCCCGGGGATCAGTTGCAGGGTGATGGAGTGCGTCACGCCCGTCGGCGGCGTCAGCTCTGTGTAGCACTGCATTGCCAACCTGATAATTGCATGTCTTTCTCGTCTGTCGGCAAAAAGGCTGGTCGAACGAAGGCGAAACGCTCGCTTATCAGTTGGAGCTGGTCGAGGAAATGTGAAGCTTCTCTCAACTTCGGAATTCAAGCTTCCACGCGAACGCGCTGCGCTGCAAGTCGCGGATTGGCCCTGCTAGGAACAGACCCTAGCCAAGCAAATTCCGTTGCGCCCACGATCTTGGCACAGATCTATGTGGGGCAGCGGGGTTGAAGCTCAGACCAAGTGGGGCAGTGGGAACCTGACGTATGGCAGGGTCCACACCGGAAGAGAGCTTCGCCCGTGGGACTGTGTTGGCGTGGTGTTCCTGTTGGAATCTAGTCCCTGCGTCATTGCGTCACAGTAGAATTACGCGCCTACCAGGCCACCTGAGGCATGAAATGCTCATGTACGGGTCATGATTTTAGGATGAAGGGAATTTTGGTGATGAACTCTTGATGTCCTAAAACCAATTCCAAATTCCAACCAGTTTCAGAGCGGGCTTGCCCGACTTTCCAACATTTTGACACTGACATTGAATGCCACACCCGTTGCATCCTTCGCTTACACATCGAATATATCCCTTTCGTGAATTCTGCCTCCATCGCCATCATTTCAGCATCAAGTTGAAAAGTTCGACGGCACTTTCCTTCCCAAAGGAACCATGAAGGCCGACGTCCTGCAGACAAGCCTGATCTGGACCGCCTATGGCGTTGCCGTGGTATTGGTCTTGCTTGTCGCCGTCATCACGACTTACACCTGGCAAAGCCCTCATGAGCGCTCCATCGTCACCAACCTCGTTTCGACTGTCAGTATAACTGCTCTTCTTGCGACCGTCTTCCTGCTTCCCGTGGATATTGCACTCGTCTCTTCAACAGGGTCGGTGCATCTCGGCGCTAAGAAAGAATGGGCTACTCCTGAACGAGTTGAAGGCATTCTTCGTACCCTCGAGATTGTGTACTATACACTGTACAGTTTCGATGCGCTTTTATGTCTCATCTTTATCCCCTTTGCCTACTTCTGGTACGAAGAGCATGACGAAGTTGAAGAAGAAGAGGGCACAACCACTAAGGTTACTCGTTTCTGGCATGCCTTGAGGTACACGCTTGCCTTCGCGTTCATGGTCGTCATCCTCTTCCTTATCGGCTTCTTCGTCCCCGCCGCTGGCAACAGTCATCGTCCGCACATGGACCTTGATTACTTCAAGCGCTTGCTTGCCGCCAACAATGGTGAGAAGGCATTGACCTTTGGAGTCGGCTTGCTCATGACGCTTGGCACGCTCCTCTACATCCTCTACACGGGTGCAGGAATGGCTCTGCTGCCCGTTTCAGCTATCAAGTCTGCCCCCTCCATATCAGCACCGCAGCTCTCAGCAACGACGGCGACTGCTCTGGAGCGAAACCGTGAGCGACAGAGACAGCTCGAGATGCGCAACACCGGCCGTCCTGGAGGCATGTCATCCAAGGATCGGCGTGAGTTGGACGCGCTCCTCCGTGAAGAGAGAACTCTTGTTCGTCGCCAGCGTCTCGCAGCCGAAGCTCGAGGAGACGGTCGTGGCTATATCTATTGGGTCTGGACCAAGCTCGAAGCCGTCTTCCGACCCCTGAAGCTTCTTGGAGGCATCCTTCTGCTCCTCGTTGCGCTTGTGGTTTGGGTTTCTATGCTCATCACTGCTATCGACAAGGCAGCTAACTCTGTCTGTAAACAACACTGCGGCTATATCCTCGGCCATCTGAACGTCTTCCAGCCCGTCAACTGGATTTTTGTCCAGGCAGCTAAGGTCTTCCCGGTCGACTACATCCTAATGGCGTTCATTATCCTCCTCTTCTTCAGCAGCTCTATCACCGGCCTCGCCTCAATCGGCATCCGCTTCCTCTGGGTACGCATCTTCCAAATCCGTAAAGGCCGAACCGCCCCTCAGGCCCTCCTCATGGCAACCATCATGCTCGCCTTGATTATCCTCGCAATAAACTACGCTGTAGCGATGCTAGCCGCTCCCCAATATGCGATCTACGGCACACAAACCTTCTGCGTCAACCGGCCCGCCCTCCCCGGTCTGCAGCCCGATTGCCGCAAACTCCGGGAAATGGTTCGCCCTTGCTCCGAGGTGTTCAGCCAGCCGGCAGCCAAGGACGTATGCACGCCAACGGTCATGTCGACCTTCCTGAACCGCGTGACGCTCAATTGGCCCGTGTTTGGTGCCATCGACTTTTGGGCACAGTTCGTCTTTCTCGGAGTGTTCTTGATTGTCTTCCTCACCACGCTGTTCCGCACGCCAAGGCTCGACATGAGCGAGATTGATGCGGCGGCTGATGCGGAGGATGAAGGGTTGTTGGCTAGTACGGGGAGGAGGTTCGGCGCGACGTGGCAGGATATCACTGGGAGGGTGAACCAAGGCCATGGTCACAGTCATGAGGGGTATGGGACGGGTACAGAAGGCTCGTCCGCTTTGAGAGTTTGAGCTACGTGGGCTATTCAGAGAGGGAAGGTTGGGAAGGAGAATGATTTGCAATGACCGTATTAGTTTATTTTGTTTCATATCTTGTTCTGTATCTGTAGGGCCACGGGTTGTTACGGTGTGGTAATAGGACGTTGGGACTCCGGATATGCATTACCTGAATTTTACTTGTGGGTTTGCAACAGGTGTATGGGAATTTGTCATAAGACTGTTTGAAAGGACTACGGAAAAGCTCATGGGTCTGGTTTCGGGATGGTATGAAGAGTTGTCAAGGCGACGAGTGATTTTCATCTTTGACTGGCTCAAATTGAGCGAATAGTTGTACCGAATGTGCGGCATGTATCTAAAAACTCTGGTTGTGGCCGGCTTATATCCAATTATGAGAACTTCTCCGGGCACAGCCACAATGATGTTGCTGACAGAAGAGGAGATTTTCAATACCACGTGTCCAAGTTGATTTGCGAAGACGTGGGAAAGAGAGCGTTGATGACTTCGATTGGACACTGTCGCTTAGCAGAAGTTTATGGAAGAGACGACCATAACACAGGCAGTTGCCCTGCTTCAATTCTCACCCGTCTTTCCAAGTTTCACCCACCGGTGTCCGCGGTCATCATAGCTTGCTCTCGGTCCGACATGCATTTCACCCCAGCACCGGTCGCAATACACGTCACTGTTGCACCCAAGACATCGGATCGTAGCATCCTCTAGGCAGACAATGCACCAAGTCTTCAAGTCTTCGTCCGAATACTTGGATCGAAGCAGCCCGGTGCCCTTTGTACTGCTCTTAGACGCCGGACTGTGTTTCAGAGGGTCGAAGGTCGGGGCAATCGGCATCCCAAAGGCGTCGTAGCCAATTCCTTTAAGCGAGAATAACCTGAGGGCAATATCTTGGTCGACGTCTTCCTCTTTCTGCTGATGATGGGCTATTTCGTGGCTAGGGACTGGGTCGACTAGCCGAGAAGGCACGGAAGGAAGGTTCAGGAAAGTAACATCAGCATCAGCTGTCTTAGTGATTGACTTCGAGGGCTCGACTCCGGCTTGGTCTGACTGGATCTGGGGCTGTTGATCATCTATCCCGTGTTGGGCCTTTTCTGAAGTTGCTGACGCCGAGGGGAGTGGTAATCTCTTAAGTTCCTCTGTGATCTCAGTAAGGATCGACTCTACCGCTTGGTCCATCTGCTCTCCGTCGGAGTTATCATCGTTAACTGCCTCCGATATGGTAGGTTCTCTTCGTGTCGACTGTAGGTGGCTGACCGTTTTATCCTCGTCGACCCTTGTGTTGTTTCCTGGCAAAAGAATCGAGCCGACTTCGGCAGCAGTAAGGTCGAAATCTTCATCCGCAAGACTTTCAAGAAGCTGGTCAACAACCTCCTCATCATCTTCTGCCAGTCCAGCCCCAGAGAACCCAGTAGAGACTGAATACTCCTTGCGAGTGGAGACTAACGCAACTTTCTGTTTTGACACCACCGGTTCCTCAGGGGGCTGGCTTGCTCCAGACTTATCGCTTCTAGCAGGCTCTGTCTGGCTTTTAGAAGTATTATTTGGCAAGATACCCTGCAACGGTTGAGACTCTCCTTTTGCTGGTCCTGGGGCAAGATCGTGGCTGTTCGTTCGATTTCGAAGCTCACGCAACCGCGCGGCTAGGGTGTCTTCAATTCTCTTCAGGGAGGGTGATGGTTGTGTCTGGCTGTCCGGCGTGGTTGTTGTGCTTCTTTTGCATACCTTTTAGTTCCTGGGTGTCTACACAATGAATGAAAATTTCTTGCCTTATGGATAGAGGCATGATTGGAATGAGTAGGTAGGCTGTGTTACTTTATGGTTAACGGCTTGTCAAGCGTAACGCTTGACGCGGGATGTACCGATTTGAGCTTGTTCCACAGGGCTTGGTCATCCGGCTGGGTAGAAGGCATGTTGGTAAAAAGAGAGGCAGTATTGTGTGATGATTCGGCTCGACCTCGGAAAAGTAGGTGATTTAGCAACAACAGCTTGGGTGTCGTGGACTCGTAAGCGAGAGCATCTGTGTTGAAGGTGGGGAGGAGGGGAACAGGCAAGGCTTATTAGAAGGCGTACAGAGTAGGCAGTGTAATGCATGGATGGTATGAATCCGTTATCCCCCCACAATTCGGTAGATTACATGTATTATTGTAACAATAACAGTGGCTTGTTGATCAGTTTATGAGCCCAAGACATCAAACAGAGCTCTGTATTCTATGATACCGGCTTCAATAATATTTGACAGCCTGCTCTCAAGATTGAAGTGTGGGAACAGATTTTGAAATAGGTCGCTGTTCTTTGTCGCTATTTTCGTCATACTAGTGCCTTTGTAGGCGACAAGGTGTTCCTGCAGAAAGCTGCTGATTGCTTGGTATGTGAACCATGCAGCCGGAATGCTTCCAAAACCCCGACACGGTGTAACCCAGGGCCCACACAGCCACCGTAACTGCTCCTCAGTGTGGTACCATTCATCACGCCTTATTACCTACAGTGGTTGTATTTCGAAGGAGGGGCAGGGCATGCTGCCTTACACCACTTCATGACCTGTTCCAGTGATGGGCGAGAGCCTTGAGCCTTTTATGTCTTATCAGCGCCTGGAATCAGCAGTTGAGAGAAAAAATTGCCATTGATATGCAAAGGTTCAGACGCCAGCGGATGCCCAGCGCCCAACTGGTTAAACAAGTCACAACAATCAGGCCTTGTTTCAAGCAAGCATCACACTTAAAGATTGTGGCTTTTTAAGATTGTGGACAGAGCTGCCCTTGGACTTACGGAACCCCCTGCAATCCTTGGTCAACGAGCCAGCGTTTTCGACTAAAACAATTGGGCTGAGAGAGCGTGCTGCCAAGCAAGTGAGGAGAAACCCAGCACAACATATGTGAGCAAATGGACCGCGACTGTGCTAACTCTCTTTTTTTCCTGTCTCTTTAGCGCGTCACGCGCCAGCTGACTTTCCTTTCGGTGGTGTCACGTTAGCCCTCGGCTTGCTTGATTTCAAACTCCAGATCAGACTTTTTAAGAGGCTTGGCAAGTGGAAAGCATTACATTCGCCCGGAGCATTCAGCCTTATCTTCGAAGGGGGCGTTTGCAGCCAACCACTCCCCGACTTGCAGATTCCTTCTTGTTACAATCGCGCATCCATTTAAATCATAATCGCGATCATAGGTTCAAGAATCTTGATCGCCTTGCCTATTACCAGTTGCCCATACATTGGAACTCTGATTAACACTTTCCTGGTTCGCAGCTCATTATGCGGTTGTTACAAGTCTCCATTGCTATCGCGGCCATTTCGGCAGCGGTAGCGCAGCTCTCACCTCCATCCTTAGAGGTCGCTGCACACCAATTGACACGAAATGGCAAGCGCGACATCTCCAAGAACGAACTCTGGAAGCGCAAGGGAGGCGGTGGCGGTGGTGGTCGCGGAGGAGGCGGTGGAGGTGGTGGACGTGGCAGCAGCTCTTCCAGCAGCAGCTCCTCAGGGTACGCTTTCCTCTTCCGAAGCGCACTTCATTCCACTCCTTTAACCGAGTCGCATACTGACGCGCATGCTAATCGATCCCAATCATAGTGGGCGCACGTCCTCCTCATCCAATGTCGGCGGCCAAACGAAGAGTGGCAGTGGACCGCGCCCGGTGTACGGCAGCGCTCCATACGGCGGTGGAGCCTACTATGGCGGCGGCGGCGCGATTCCGTACAAGTCGGGTGAGAAGTCCAAACACGCGGGTCTTGTGCCCATCTTCCTAGGCGCTTCTGTGCTCGCCTTCTGGCCTGGAGTCTGGCTCTATGGCGCTTACCTGTATCCACATCCCGAGCCTTGGGTCTTCTTCAACGAGACAAGCAACCAGGAAGAGTCAAGGCCCGTCATCTGCGCTTGCGAACCCTATCTAGTCTGCGGCTGCGACTGGGATGATAGCGACCAGTTCAAGCAATATATGACTCTCTTAATCGGCAACGGCGACTATGATTCGCTTAACCACACCCTCGTTACGATTGCTGAGGTCAACGGCACGGTCACCATCTTGATTAATGGCACGCTTCCCAATGGTACGACAGCCTCAGGTGGTGAGGAAGATGCCGGTGTTGGAACCCAGACTTTGTTGATTCATGCAGGCTGGTGGCCAGTTCTTGCAGCTGTTTGCGCCATGGTTTTTTCGGTCTGAATTTCCAAGCCAAAAGAGGACTGTAAATTCACTAGGTCAGGCACATTCAAAACTGGCCATTTCCACTGCTCAGTAGAGGTCTTGTTAATACCGTTTTTGTTTGCTTGCTCGGGCAGTTAATATGTTGGATTTTTATGTGATTTCGAGGTCCATACTTCAATATCTTTCTAGTTCAGAGGGGTATCAGATTGTACCAAGATTAGGTGGTTTCGCGACCATGCCTAAATTTTGTAATCTGTCAGGATCTGTCTGCCGCTGCTACTCGCTCTGCCCGTCGTTTGACGACCCAGTCTCCCAATTCTTTCCAGATCGCCTCCTTCTCCTTGGGTTTCAACGTAGCTGCCAACCCACTCGTGCTTGTCGCCACAAAGACCCTCGCCCCCTTCCAGTCCGGTGAGTACTCCACTCCCTCCTCCTTCTCCTCTTCTTTCTGCCCTTGGGGACCTACCACGCCCATATTCTCCGTCTCATCTTGCCATCCATACCGGAATTCGGCAGGCTTTATAGCCTTTCCATGCTTGACTCTCCAAATACTCTCCCAGATACTTTTCCCAACAATACACACTACCTCTGGCCTCCATATCCTGGTTTTTTTCTCCAATATGTCCACGCCAGCATCCATTTCTTGTTTACTCAGCTCGGCGCCATTCCGACTGGGCCTTGAGACGATATTTGTCAGCCCCAACGAGTACAGCGCTGGCATTTGCCGGTCTTCGGTGGGTGAGCATAGTCGAGGCGTGACGCCCGACGAGTAGAGAAGCCTCCAGAAAAGGTTGGTTGGATGGGCGTAGGCGTGTCCCGAGCGAGCTGTTTCAATGCCCGGGTTTAAGCCAACGAAGAGGACTAAGAGGTTGGGCCCGAGAGAGTCAGGAAGAGGAGGGAGATGGGCATAGGTAGATGGAGGGGCGTAAGAGGATGGCTGGCGGACACGCTTGCGTTTGGCTTGAGAATTGCTGGCAGAGGAGGAAGAGGAAGTACCGTTGCCATCGCCGTCGCTGGCTCCATCCTGTGAGTTCTGTGATGGTGGCTCTTTGCGCTTGGACGACAAATTGGGTTGAGCCGCTGACGGAGTCGGAGGTGCGCTGTATGACAAGGCTCCAGAGAGACGGGGGCTTCTCCGCAATCCGCTACCGTTATACATGAAGCTTTCGAGCTGGAGACGGCCCTTAAAGCTGGGAGGGGGTCGAGTCTCTTCTGTCGTCTCGGATGCCATGGTGTTCGTCTGTTATCGTCGTACTCGTCCGCGCCGAGCAATTTCAACTTCGATCACTCTTTGTCACTTCAAGGCTTGGTCAGAAAGAGGTTAGGTCTCCGAACGCAGCGCTGTGTGTGGCAAGCTCGCGATGATGGCTTTAAATATACAAAGAGTTGCAAGTTAAACCCATCCGTGCTGTGGCTCAATGGCTTGTTGCCTGCTGCCGCTGCAACATTCTGACCCTGGCACTTTAAGCCACAGGCAGTAGCGCCCCACAATTGACCAGAGCCTGGCGCGTCGTCCCGATTCATGTCATACACTACCCCAGCTTTTGAATCCTGACGGGTTGCTGAAAGAGTCAGCGAACTTCATGAAAGCCTTCAGTGTCACGATGGCAAAGGTGGGGCGGTGCTGTCTAGCCAGTCCCAATATTTGTGGATTTCTCTTTTGCTTGGCCATGTCATCTGCAGCCAAAACCGCCAACGCAGCTTGGCAAAAACATGTCAATACATGTAACTTACCCATATTTGCGGACCCTAAAATCATGTCCCAAACCGAACCCTAACCGCTAATCCAACCTAACCACTGATCATAACACTAGGTAACCATGCACTTTGGGGTGCTTTGTTGGGTGTTGTTGTGATGTTAAAAGTTTGTATGATCGTGGGGCGAAGGTGAGCCGCCAAACACTGAAACTCGATAGCCGGGCTCTTCTGGGGAACGGGAAGCTATGGGCAAGGCCCTGGCCGCCGGCAGATGGAGTGAGTCTCGAAATGGAATCCACACCGACAATCTGAAGTCCAGCGAATACGAGGCCTGGAAAGCGGAGGGAAGACCCACTATCAGCTCCACAGTGTCTCGATCGGTATTTCTGAGTGGGGCCCGCTGGGTCAAGGGCCTATCCAGCGGGGGCGGGGCCAGCGATGGGTGGTGTGTGGTTGCTGAGGATGCCTAAGTGTTGGGGTTATTTTAAGGACTTCTTGTACCTGGCTTCTAACAGCTTCATAAGAATTACTAACCTCTCATTTCGAGCTTATGTTTCGCATGCTCCGTGTCTCTTACTCCATCGTTCGTCGGTTTTGTGTATTATCAGGTCGGGACTACTTCTTTTAATCTGGTTTTTTTGGAATAGAGAGTTCGGACGATCTCCATTCGAGCACCCCGAGTTTAGACCCTGCGATCAACATGGCCATCACTACTCCTCAGGAGCCGACCCCCGAGCAGTTCCAGGAACTTAAGAATAAGTACACTGCCGCAAACCAGGGACATGTTTTCAACTTTTGGGACTCTCTGTCCAGCGAAGAGAAGGCGTCCCTCTACCAACAACTCACCCTCTTCGACCCCGAGTACATCAACACCATCGCCGCTAAGGCCCTTGCTCCACCCAAGGCAGACGCTGTTCCGCCATCACTCGAGCCCCTCCCGGATTCGGCCCGCGCTAGCATCTTAGATTCCAAGAAAGATGAAATCGACCGCTGGTATTCGGCCGGTCTCGACCTGATCGCCGCCAACAAGGTCGCCGTCGTGCTCATGGCCGGTGGCCAGGGCACCCGGTTGGGCAGCTCAGCGCCCAAGGGTTGCTTCGATATCGGTCTGCCCTCGAAAAAGTCCCTCTTCCAAATCCAGGCCGAGCGTATTCGAAAGGTTGAGGAGCTGGCTGCCAAAAAGGCCGGCGCCAACGTCACCGTTCCGTGGTACGTGATGACGTCCGGCCCGACTCGTGGGCCCACGGAGACTTTCTTCAAGGAGCACCACTACTTCGGGCTGAAACCCGAAAACGTCTTCATCTTTGAGCAGGGCGTTCTGCCTTGCATTTCCAACGATGGCAAAATCCTGCTCGAGAGCAAGAGCAAGGTGGCTGTTGCCCCTGACGGCAACGGCGGCATCTACCTGGCTCTGGTCCAGTCTGGCGTGCTTGCGGATATGAAGAAGCGCGGTATCGAGCATGTCCATGCCTACTGCGTCGACAACTGCCTGGTTAAGGTTGCCGACCCTGTCTTTATTGGTTTCTCCGCGGAAGCCAACGTCGATATTGCTACCAAGGTCGTGCGCAAGCGCAATGCCGCCGAGAGCGTTGGCCTGATCGTGAGCAAGAACGGAAAGCCCGACGTTGTTGAGTACAGCGAGATTGACCCCGCTATTGCGGCCGAGGAGGAGCCCAACCAGCCGGGAGTCCTCAAGTTCCGTGCCGCCAACATTGTCAACCACTACTACTCCATCCGCTTCCTCGAGACCATCCCCCAGTGGGCTAAGACCCTCCCTCATCACATTGCCCGCAAGAAGATCCCCTATGCTGATGCTGAGACTGGAGAGACTATCAAGCCGAACAAGCCCAACGGTATCAAGCTGGAGCAGTTTGTGTTTGACGTGTTCCCCATGTTGGATATGTCCAAGTTTGCCTGCCTGGAGGTCCGCCGCGAGGACGAGTTCAGCCCTCTGAAGAATGCTCGCGGTACCGGTGAGGATGACCCCGATACCAGCAGGCGGGATATCATGGCCCAAGGAAGGCGCTGGATTGAGGCTGCTGGTGCCAAGGTTGAGGGTAATGAGGGCGTCGAAGTGAGCCCACTGTTGAGCTATGTAAGGACCCCTGACTAGGAAGCCATAGATATTGGGACAATTGCTAACTTCGCTCCAGGGTGGTGAGGGTCTGGAGCAATTTGCAGGAAAGACAATTCCTGCCGATAGCCAGCTGGATGCTTAATTAGCGAAGCAGCTTGGCGGGGCCTGAGAAAACAGGGGACAATGTCTAAACAAGGCGGTGCTCAATAGACAATATCAGTATTGGCATTTGCGTGCTTTATGAAGTGAGCATGGTGCCAACTTCACTTTAGACAGCCAAAAAAAATCCTATCAAGAAAGCAAATAAGCCTCCAAATGGAGCAAAGAGGCGTCAAAACGAAGACTCATGAACTCCACCAAACGCCCAGGTTTGACGTGACCCTCTGAGTCCTTAAGCGCCCCTCCTATCTAAACTTTTCCATCCGTATCCTCCGTCAAGCCAATGCCTGCTTCTCTTCCACCCCCTTTGTCTTCGAACTGTTCAGAAAACTCAAATATGAATTCCACCCGATACTCACCACATTAACAAACAGTAAGCGATACTGCAGTGGCACGAGCTTAAAATTCGCTAGTTGCACAAACGGCCAAATCATCCAGTTGGTTGCGAGTGCCTGCCAGTAGCTCGTGCGTAACCGTTCCACGGGCGACGCCCCCTCCAGCATCGCCATACTGCTCAGAAATATGCAGATGAAGGTCGGCGCGAACAGGCCCTGGTCGCAAGCCACTCGTGCCAAGATCGTACTGTTGGGGCGATTAGGGATGTTAACGTGCCGCTGGAGGATGCGGAACCAGGTTGCTGCGCAGGGGCCGAAGACGACTGTTGGGTGTTAATGACGGAGCCTGTGAGAAAGATAACTTACAGGTAGGGGAAGTAACACGTACCACCACCGTAGAGGAGCATGCGACTCGTGCGAATGAAATCATGCTTTTCGAGACCCTTTCTCTCAACCAATTGTTGAGCTGTGATGTCGCCCACGCCGAAGAGGAATGATGTGGTAATGGCCTGGGTAAGGAGTGGTCGGGCAGCCAGGCGGGCTTGGTACCTCGGGTGCAATGTCAGTATATTAGCGGCTATTCAAAACATTCCTTGCATACTTACCACTTCAGCATTATGTTATGGCGTCGTGGAAGGTGCGGTTGAAGATCTGTGAAGCAGGCGTCGAGCGAGCGGTGAATTGGTGAGTTGGTGAAATCTCAAGCCGCAAACTGCAAGTTGGGAGATAAAGATCTAAAGATAGTAACAAAATGTTATGGGAAAAATTAGCTAACGTTTCAGATGTAGCAAAAAAATGAGATGGAAGTCCAATAGTCCTTACAAGTACAGAGTTTTAAGGCTTCAAGATCTTGAGGCACTTTGGGGACTTGGTTTGGTCAAAAAGTTCTGGCTGCATGAAACAAGGAGGTTTGACTCTCGACGAAATCTGCGGGCTGGTGCTTGTCCCACCCGTTTCCCCGTACAACTGACAAAATCCCGTCCCCGAGCCTACATATGGATTAGGACTTAACGCCTGCACTGCTACACCTGTAGCGAGCCTTCATAGGGTCTTAGCCCTGGCTCTGCTGCGTCGCGGTGGGATTCTGAAGGAGACGCAGTGGTGGGAGAGTTTGCTCATGGGTTCAAAGGCGGCTTTGTTATCCAAGAATGCAAAATCACAAGAGCTTAAATTCAACTTCATAACAAACTCGCTTGAAAATGTTATTGCGATGTCTGTTTCCTAACTACTGCACCGCTAAACAACTACAAGACGACAATGTCATCAAATAGGGTGCGGAGATAAAAGATGTACGGTTCCAAGCCTGTAAAGGGAGTCATGTTTTGCCTCAGACCGCGCATCCTGGATATCGCACCAACCGTAGTGCATGCCTGATAAGCCTGAAATTACTTGTCGACCATAGGTGGCCTTGCTATGGTCAGAATAAAACTGCTGGACTTAACTATCTCAAAGGTAAAAAAAAAAAAAAAAATCTCGCTCCCCGAGACTGCAATTATGGGTTGGAGAGGAGATACTCAATAGCGCCCTGGACACTGCCGCCGCTGCGGCGCAAGGCTGCCACGTTCCGTTCAAAGTCGAAGAAGCCCATATCGTTCAGTTGCCGCAACTGCTCAGCATATCGTTCCTCTGGTGGCCTGTTATCCTGCGGGGCTACAGCGGGAGGGGCAAAACCCCAGGCCTGAGCCATTTGCTGGAAAGTCTCAGGAGGGATTGGGGGTAACGGAAGGCCAAAAGGATTTGGGAGACTGGCACCGCCCTGATTGTTTGCTTGATTGGCGCCACCAAAGAGTGCGGCGAAAGGGTTAAAAGGCGGGGCAGTTCCAGCCGGTTGGTTTGGAGTGTTTGCACTGCTCCCACTTGAACCACTTCCGCCTTGAACTGATGCCGCAGGTTGACTCGATGTCGACGACGTCGCGCCAGCTGCTGTGCCGCCTGTATTGCTCGCTGGAGGAGGGGCGCCAAAAAGAGCAGCGAAGGGATTTGAGGCATCCGAACCAAGGGGCGCGCCGAACAGACCGGGCATTCCGAATAAGCTCCTCAACGGATCGTTAGCGTTATTGGCGCTGTTCGCGTTGCCGCCGGATGTTGGGGATCCAGCGGGCTGGCCAGAGGACGCATTATCGACCGCCCCGGGAGCTGGGAAGTTAGCACCAGCACTTTCCTGGAGCACCCTACGGAGCCTAGCCGCCATCCGAATAGCTTCTGGGTTGGTCATAAGGGCGCGGAACTGTGGTGAATTGAGAACTTCGCGAGCATTCGGCATGCTAGCAAGCATGGGGTTCATCTGGATCATGTAATCGACAAAGTTCGGGTTATTGAGAGCTGCTTGCATTGACTGGGCAACCGCTGGGTTCGAGAGCATATCGGCAATTTGTTCATCACTAGGGGGAGCACCCATCTGTGCAAAATGTGAGCATTACTGCACTGTCGGGAACTAATCAAATAACTTGTTAGACTGGACTTACTCCTCCGTCTGCACCAAAAAGGTCAAAGCTCGGCAGGTTTGCGAGACCAGCATATCTAGCGCCGGTTAGGGCTGCAAGCGGATCGCCTGCGCTGGTGCCAGCGGCCATGTTCTGAGGCACAGCTGGCGTTGGCGTGGAGGATGAGGCAGAGGTAGAAGCCGGTGTGCTCGCAGCAGCAGTTTGGTTGCTCCGAGCACTCTTGACCAAGTGGATAGTATTGTTAGGCTTGATTTTGTAGACACTCAGGGTATCGGAGTCCTTCATGATGCGTCCAGAATAGATCAGGCGCTGTCGGTCGACCGGGATATCTTCGAAGTCAGGGCCGCTCAGCTTCGTCTTGAGGTCTAGGACAGTAGCTGACTCATCCATGGTGATGGTGTGTGTCTTGTCATTAGAGCTCTTCACCTTGAAGGTAATCTGCTGCGACTGGGCTTCGCCGCCCGCTTCGGCACTGTCGGCCATGGTTGCGCAAGACTGGTTTCGATCTTGATGACGTGTGGCAATAGTAGGGAGCTGCGCGCTCAGGATGTCAAATGTCGGTAGATTCTGAGTGAAGAGCCAGAGAATCACAACGTGTTAGACAAGCCGCCGCTTGTCCAGTTAATCACGGTGACGATACTGACACCGCGACACCGCAGCCTGGTGGATGGATGGAAGTGGGATGAATGCACAAAAATGCCAAGCCAAAGGGGGGGGAGGAGGAAGGCCAGGTATGATGCGCCTGAGCAGGCAAGCTTCAGCATGCCTGCCAAGTGGGGCAGGATGTGGATTAGATAAAAGCAGGGGCTCAAGCAGCAACCATTATGACAGTTCGGTAACCACATACCAGGTATTAAAGACCTACCGGTAACCTGGCTATATGGTGGTTCACATAATCATTTGAGCCAAAAACGAAAAAAAAAAGTAATATCCAATAGTTTCTGGCCCATAGAGGCATCATCCTGCTCTCTATGAAATATGGTCTGGATTGTGATGAAACGGATCGACTAACAGTCAAGGTATCTTGATACAAAGGGTCCTTGTGGGTTATTTGCTGTTATGGTTAGATAGCTACATAAAAGCGGGATGCAAACAAAAAATCACGTACAATTTCGTACAGCATAATGCGGTTCTGCCCACAGCGCGCCCAGGACGTGATATGCTTATTAACTCTTCAACTTTGACAGTTCTTGCTTCTAGAACACACCATGTCGTTGACAATTGAGACAACATTGTTTGCAACCGTACTACGCCAATGTTGTTTATCTACTTTTTTCTGGTTTTCTTTCAACCACTCGTAGGTGCTGCATCCTCACTTGAAGAACCTTTGCTCCATCGCCAGCTCCATCCCTCTCATTGTAGATTGACAGCCCATGGCTCAGAACTATTCAGACCGCAGTGTTGAGAGACCTGGCCGCCATGATGATTCCGATACATCAACATAAGCGCCACCAAATTGACTGTACAAGTATATCCCAATACTTCTGGTGATCGGCGTCACCGGCCTGTTCTAGTCCCCAGATCAACCCGACAGAGGCTGCTAGCCATGTGACCCGGCCTTCTCGTTGGACTGCAGCAGAGTTGTGCAGTTCACGTCCGTGAACACCTCCCATTGTTATGCACGCTCACCTGGCATTGGGGAGACAGTTCCTTTCACCTTTCACCTAAGCCTGTTCCCTCAACGAGCTTGACCAACAGGAAGCGCTGGCCTTGGATCGGAAACCCACATCTCCCGGCCTGGTGCGCTTCATTCATGATGAAGAAGAGGGAACAGATCTGGCTTCCTGCCCGAATATGATAGTCGGCCTTCTCGTTTGGCAGTGAACTGGCTGCTAGAGCAGAGGTACTTAAGGGCCACTGCTTCTCCCAAATGATGACAAAACGATGACATTCTCACCCATCGGGTTCAAAGGGTACCCAAACCCCTGGCTGCCCGGCCACGTGGAGCAACATTGACGGCAGTTGCCGTGGTCCTGTCAACAGGGTTTTGAGCACCATGCAGAGCCCGAACTGGTTATGCAAGCCACGTCCATCAAGGCTTATTGGTTTCTCGCTCTTATTGGATGATCTGGGTGGCTTGGGATGGGACAGATGGTGTGCCGTTACATCTTCCGGATGTTCAGCATACTTGCCGGCCCGGAGTCGGTGCCCAGCCGGTGACTCTTAGGGTCACCGAGCCGAGCGAACCGGGTTGGCTGCAACCGCTCCTCTCGACACCCGACCCGACCCACGGCTGCCCCATTGAACGGTTTGGTCCCCGGTGAGAGTGCCCAACCCTGGACGGCTGTGGCGCCAAACCAGAATGCAAATTTTTTTCCTGTCCAAAGCTGCCCAAAAGCTTCCAGGCAGTGCAGGCACCTACCTATGCTAAATCTCTGGGCTACATTCCCGGAATCATGATTATTAGTCACGGCCCTCATCTTCACCTTTTGTTTATTTGTCTAAGTACGACGTTGAAGTTTATGCCAGGGCATTCGGGGGACGAAGGGCCATCCCCCACCCTATCACTCTTCAAGAGCCCCTGCGTTGGAGATGACTTGCAGGCCAAGACAGCTTCGTTGTCGCACCGAGTTGGGCCGGACGAAAATCTTGCGTAGTTGGGCGGTCGAATAGTCTCTGTCAAAGCTCGAAGTACCTACTCGGCTGAGTGGCAATTGCCAGATGGTATGTTTTCCTCTGATCCAATGTTTATCTCAACAACCCAAACGGTAAGAGGCCAAGGCAGACTCGAGTGAGGCCGCCCATGAGTTTGCGTTCTTGTCACTTGGATTAGAACCTTGGAAGCTATTCACAGAGAGCACAACAAGCGTTCAGTCAATGTTGTCATCACCAAACTTTGGGCCGGACGTCGTCATGAAGGCTCAACATCTGCCATGTGGATGGCAAAGCTGCGACAGAGGATGAGTTGGCAACTTACGCCAGCTGTACTCAGCCGTCTATGCCTTTCTCTCTGTTTCCAATGTGAGCTTACTTTGGGCCCTGCGTCTCCAAAGCCCGAGCATGTTTCTTTGATCCACCTCGATGCATTGGCACGCATAACAAAAGATGCTGAGGCAAGGCCTGTCGTCCCACATCATGGCTCTCAACACGGACGACGTCCACAATCATTGGGCGAACACAGAAAGCTCGATGAATTGAATTTTAAGTTTTTACATGCAGACAGGAGGAAAGCAAGGCGTTTTTTTCTGCCTTCGTTTCCAAGCCCAATTGTTCTCTATCCCGCTCCCTTTGCCCGCATGCTGTCAACAGAGCAGCCTTTGCCCTTATCCTGGGTGTCCATTAGTCAGGCGTTTCAGTATCTTTGATCAGTCGGGTTTCCCAAATTTGGAACAGAACTCGTTCGTCCGTTCGTCTCCTTATCATGTTTAGGTATTTGAGCCTGCAAGTGATGTGCGACAGAGCGGCCAGTCGCCGACAAACCGGCCCGCTTTTGAGGCTCGGGAAGAATTGGCCGATGCCCTAATGTCAACTTTGGTGTCAATAGCACGGGGTTCCTGTTCCACAATGGCCCACAGCGTACGTTGTGCCCTTGAGGTTCGGAAGAGCGCAGGTAGTTCGAGCCCATACAGACACCTCATCGTCCTTACCTTCAACGCTCCAGGAACATGTTCGGTCTCCACCATATCGTCCTCGGCTGCAGAGTTGGAGAAGTGCTTGATTGGGCCCCAACATCAGCAAACGGGCGAATCGCTGATGCCACCACTCTATCGGAACGGCCTCGATGATAAACACGGCCAAGTGCTCCTTGGCAAGAACAGCGAACATTCCAAGGCGACGTTGATCGCACAGCCGCAAAGTCTGGTAAATATCATGCTGGAATCAACTTCTCTGACGTTGCTAGTTGCTCTCTTCCATCTAGTAAATCGCTGACACGATAAAACATTGTACATCCAATACACACCGACTTCTATGTTTTGACCCCTGCACTCTCCGGTCGATGCCGGGCCACGAAGGTATGCGTGGTCATCCGATGGTCTGTTGTCATTTGGTCAATCATGCCTCTGCCGTCCCCGAATGTTTGTCCCCGACGCATATGCTGTGTCCATGCCATCCTCGGGGGGCTCGATCATGTTCCTTACCATGACAGCATCATTGGGCTCCACACCACATGGTAGGGTGTATGCTGCTGCTCATCGCTCCCAAGATACCTTGGTGAACCTTCGGAAAGCAATATAAAGCCGAATGCCCTGCGAGATTGCTGGACCTTTGCTCCTTTCTTGCTGCCCGACCCTCATCTGAGATTTCGTCAGTCAACTATGTGCTGGCCCTGATTTGACTTGAAAAGTAGAAGGCCCTTTATCAGACAATAGCATTCTGAGCTTTCTCCATCCCCGATCCAGGGACTCGTTGCCCTACGCTTTTTTTTTTTTGAATTCCTAAACGATCCACTTTCTTGTCATATTGGAAGTCGATATTCAGCACAATGGCGTCTTCATTCCGCAAAACACGCATAGCTGCGTCTCCTGTCATGTACACCAATGCCGTGTACTGGCCGAATTACCGGATATATAACAATGACACGCCCGGGCAGCTAAACTACAGCTGCATCAACCGCGTCTATTACGCCTACGCCAGCGTGGCAGCAGACGGAGGTGTATTTGTGAGTTTCTGCCTAGACTGTCCTTCGAGCCCTAACCACAGTTACATCCAGCACTACTAACACGCAGCTCTAGCTTAGCGACGAGTGGGCCGATGCCAAAGCTCCCTGTGACGGCGTCAATGGCGCCCTGGGCTCCTTGATGTATTTGAAGAGCAGATATCCGCATCTTCAAGTGTTGCTGTCTATTGGTGGGCCAGGTTCTGAGAGGATATTCCCTATCGTGGCTTCTGATCCCATTCTGAGGGACAATTTTGCACGCTCTGCCCGAAGCTTGGTTGATGCCCCTGAGTTCGATGGCATTGACAGTGAGCTTACTCCCAGAATCGACTTTCCAAGCGATGTCTGCTGACAACTTCTCTACCAGTCGTCTGGGAATATCCCGCCAACCCTCAACAAGGCAGCGACTTCCTGTCCCTCCTGGCCGCCGTGCGCATCCACATGCCCGAGGACCGCTACATTGTGACCGCTGCCCTCCCCGCCAACAAGCACATCCTGCAAAACATCGACCTCCACCGCTCCTCCGAGTACCTCGACGCCATCAACCTTCTGACCTACGACTTTTACGGGCCCTGGTCCTCCCGCAGCGGCCACCAATCCCAGCTCTACGCCATGAGCAAGGATGAACCTTCGGGGGCCGGTGCCGTCTCTTACGTCATGGGCTGCGGCGTACCAGGCAGGAAGATCTTGTTTGGAATCCCGCTGTTTGGGCGGAGCTTCTTGCACGTGGCTGGGCCGGGACACAAGAATAGGGGCTTTGGTGGGAACGCGGACGGGGCGTTTGATTACTCCCTGCTACCGAGGAAAGGAACCAAGGAGCAGGTAGATAAGAGGGCCGTCGCGGCGCAGTGTGTGGGGGGTGATGGGGGCTTCGTGACGTATGATAACCCGGATACGGTTAAGATTAAGGCTGCGTTTTGTAAGGAGAAAGGGCTTGGGGTGAGTTCATTCGTACCTTTGTGTGGGATTCTTGTTTTGGCTGACACGTATACTGACATGACGTTCTCAACAGGGCCTGTTTTACTGGAGCGCTCCGTCTGATGCGAAGGACAGTAAGAGAAGTCTTATCATGACCGGCTTCAAGATGTTACACAGCTCTTGAGCCTCATCACAGACACCCACTTACAGTTTTCGAGAGCGTTCCCTCTGCGCTCGTGTCTACAGATGTTCGCTCACTTGTATCATTTCCTTTGTACTGGGCATCGTTGATACCTTGGTTCAGTTTCATATTAGTTTCTGGCGTACGGCGGTGACACAAGGAGACTGTGCACGGTTGGCTGGGGCTACGGGCAAAAACGGGATTGGGAGACCAACGCTCAGGGTCACACACCTTACGATCTTTTCACAATTTCCTTTGTCATCATCTGTGTTGTTTCTATTTTATTTTGTTGTTTAGGGTCTTTCGGTTTCCTTTCTTGGGCATTTAGAGGGCATGGTTACTGGACGAAAAGGACGGAAAGCAAATGGTTGGACTGCTGTAATGTAAAGATACCACATATACCCGGGTTGGAGGGATGTAAGGTCATAGGATAGAATGCCACGCTCTCGTCGAGCTCAAAACATTACTGGTTACCGCCGATGCTTTGTTTTGCGATGACGTGTATCAGCTTCCGGTACATGTTCCCGCCCTTGAGCCTGAGGAAGATCTAAGACGTCGAGCCACGTAGGAAAAACAATCTAGACCCCAAGATCATGGATGTGGCAAACAAAGAAGACAGGCGGTGAAAGAACAACATCATAAATCTGATCCACAGAATCGGAAGTGCTAAGGTGAACTGGAAAACATAAGCCCAATCGCTACGACCTGTCTGGCAGTGGCAGTCGGAGATCTCGATCTGTCCTCCCGTCACAGCGACGCAGGATGCATCACTGGGCAGTGCATTAGCTACCCAATCGGGTCATCCAATTCAAGAATTTGCCACAAATACACTGCCGACAAAAAATCACCTTACTTTTTCGCTGCCCAAGCCGCACTTCTTACCCCCAAAAGGGACTAGATAAGGAATGAAACTCCCGCGCTCGAGAGAATGCCACGTTGGAAGAATGCTACTGTACAATCGAGGACTTTTCGTGCTGCCATTGTTATGGGGCAATGAGTGATGGATATGATCTAGTGCTGTGGGTGGAAGTCCAAGCTGGGACAAAGTTGACAGATAGGGCTGGTTAGGAGACAGTGGAACGAGGAAGAGGAAGACTTGGTAGGCATGTGTTGGCTTGAAATTCAGCCAGTTGTGTACATATTCGTGACTTGGAGTCAGCCTCGAGTCAGGAAAAAGGGGCTGTAAACATTCCATTGGGTGAGAAGAGTCAGGAGTGGACTGGCCGGGAAACGTGGTTCGCGCGGAAGAGTAAGGAGTCAGAAGGTAGGACAGCGGGTTAGGGTTAGAGCAGCTGTCGCAACTTAGCCCTTTTACTCAACCCCTAAGGCAGATAGATGTGCAAAGTCGTGTACATTTTAAGTCAAGAGTGCTAATATTTACCAGAAGGGTCAGGGTCCTAGAGCATAACTAAAAGCGTTGAATTTAGTCATTAAATAACATATACACAACTACCCAAAAAGATTAGACTTTCAAGATGACAGCACAAACCCAAGTTCATCCCTGTTGTCATTAGTCACCCTCCCCCATTCCAGCAGTAGCCGAAACAAATAGATTTGTTCATCCTCTTTTCTGATGGCTCTGCTTGCCCAGCGCCGTCCTTCTTCAGCAATCCACTTGCCGTCTCCTGGCCGACCCTCCATCAGAACCTTTCTCCCGTTCACTATAGGTGCAGCGTTTTTCTTGTCATTATGTTGATCTTTGTCATTGCCCTCGCTCTTGTCCTTTTTTGTATGCGTACCGTCTAGGCTCTGCAACCCAGTAAAGTATGCCAGTGTGCTGTGCAGTGCATGGAACCGTAGATCGATGGGCACAAAGTGCACCCATGGCATCAGCCTGTCGCTGTACCATTCTTTGAAGATAGACGCAACGAATGGCGCACTGCTGGACCTGAGTACTCGCAGAAAGTCGCGCGGGGGACCATTGTCTGTATCCATGACCATAACATACTGGTACCGCAGAACTTCCAGGTCTGGCTTGCTTTGTGGCTCGCTTTCAGGGGTAACCTCGCATCCACCTTTGTCCTTCGAGTTGCATGCCTTGTACTCGACGAAACCAACATCCGTCGGGAGAAAGGAGTTGACCTCGGTTGTGGGCATATCTTCGAAGCCGTACCGTTTGTCATCGACCGGCAACATTATTCTTGTGCGGTCGGATTTGCTGGCCCCAGTGAAAATGTGCACCAGCCGCTCTTGGTGACCGCCATGGAGATGGTCCCGACTAGACTCATGACGGTTCACCTTGCCACGCCATGCAAGTCCTTTCCATTTCATGTTGAATCCGTCTGAAGGGAGGTTAGAATTCTCGCTGATGCGCCGTAGGGGCAGCAGAATGTCGCTGTAACTATTGGTCTTGGCTCGACTGAATACAGGAAGGAGCTGTTGCAAAGGCTTGAGCTCAGGAGGCGTCATGTAGAAGCTATGGAGCCGGAAAAGATCGGGCTGATGGCAGATATCTTGAGCAATATCCCAATCGAGGAGGAAATGATAAACTGATTGGGGCCTAGTGCATTCGATACAAAGATCGCGGGTGTCCCAGTAAGTTCCTGCGCGAGCCGCAGTTCCAGGTGGGCATGCGAGAGCAGTCATTTCGCGAAGGGCTTTTGCTGAAGTAAAATTACCATTCGCTTGAGGATCCCCGAGCAAAGAAGGTTGAGGTTTGGTCATTTCCCCAAGAACGTCGACATCTCTTGGCAATAAACGATGCAGCCAGCCTCGTTTTGCTGCTTTTATTCGTCGATTGACCTCTTCCCACGGAACCAGAACTCGTGGTCGTTCGTCCATATTGACGGCTAACTCCATGTCAGGAAGGTGCTCTGCGAAAGCCTTTATCGCTTCGACTAGGTCGTCCATCACCGCTTTGTAGGGGTTTGCCGAAGGAAGGTTGTGCTGTGGTTGACCATTCTTGATCTGGAGAATGGCAATGTCTGGTTCTTGGGCAGCACGGCGGACACCCTCTCGAATCTCGGAAGGGGACATGCCCCAAAAAGGAAGTATGTCATTTTCGATCTGAGGAAAGTGGTCGATGATGGCTGAACGATGCTTGTTGGCGTAGTTGAACCACAGATCGAAGCCTTTCGGCGGGTCTCTTCCGTGATTGCGTTCCTTGTACACCTCTATAGCGACTCGAAGTGAGTCGCTCATGGCAGCATTTATCCGAAAGCGATCGGATGCTTTTCTAGAGTCAAAGATGATGTCCCGCAGAGGATGGGCCTCCTCCAGCTCATATGAGAGCGGAATGTAAATCGTCGCTGAGATAGTGAGCGAGATAAGAGCAAATACGAGCAGAAGACGGGGAATAAAGAGGACAGATCGTATGCCATATGTGAAAAGGAAGCTGGAAAAGCCCACGCAGACAAGATTAAATGCTAACCATGTGGTAAAGGGGGAAATAGCTTCCCACGTTCCTGTCCGTAATATCTGCTGAATGACGGCTGATAATCCAGTTATAAAGGTGATGGTGGCCACAAGGGACAGAGGTGTGCTTTCCTCGACAACAAGCGTGGTGGAGATGAGAAAAGCGGATAAGACAAGCCCGTCGACAATGATGTCAAAAAGATACAACGACCCCAGGCCCTTGAAGTCGTATGTGGCTGCCTTAGTATGAACGTAGGGAGAAGTCCAGGATATCAGGCCGGTCAGTATGGCAGCCCCAAGCAAGATAGCAGTCACAGTCTGTAGCCTGGACTTGATAGTGCGAGCCCAGGCAATGATGCGCCATGCTGTGGTGATGATGACAGCGTCCAGAAGGATTCCAATCCACTGGAGGAGGGTGACAACCTTGCTTCCCTGACCTCTACAGAAGAATGTTGATTTGGGCTCCTGTGTTAATGACCAGTAGGCGCCAAGTGCTAGTAAACTGACGGGGAAGAGGTGAGAAGCTTGAGAACTCGTAAGCCAGCTGCCGATAGCATCCCACATGGTGGCCCCGGGGTCGTTATCGTCGTCTTGGTCATCTGGTTTTGATAATTGCTTTTGGAATGAGAGAAATTCGTAAACGGCCAGAAGTAAGACCAAATATGCCTGAAAACTCCCCTGGATGTTAAAGAACTGAAAACTGAATGAGTGAGTTAAATGGGACTTACCTCGATCCCTGGGGTTGAACACTGGAGATCCTGGGATACACGGTAAAAGACCTCAATCCTCAAGACAATACACAGAATTAAAACAGGAAGAGAGAATTTTCGAGGCTTGTTGAGCACCCGAGCCCGAACGCGGACACCCTTGAAGGGCTCCCGGTCATTGTCTAGGGTATGAAGGCTTAGCGAAAAGACCTGAGAAAGAAGTGAGGATATTGGTCTTTGAACTTACGGCTAAACCTCCCATTTGCTCCCGGAAACCAACGGGTGCCAAAACTAGCGGCATATGAAGCAACAGCCGCGGTGAAGAACACACCAAAGAAGGAAAGTTTTGGTTGCTCTACAGAACATCAATACTCCGAAAAAACTCAGTTCTACTTGAGATTAACTTACCTATGACCTGGTGTCCTTCCAAGTTATGTAGAAGCCAGAAAAAGCAGGCGACAGCACTGGAGGGAAGCTGTGAATAACCGCGCAAGATGGAGAAACAAGAGCAAAATTCAACATGCATGTCTCACTCACATAAGAGCTGGTAGCTGATTGGGGCTTGGCATGGTCGAGAATGCTATGGTTGTGATTTCTCTGCCTGACTTCGTGTCCGTAACTGCCCCAATCTCAGAGCAGGTACCCGGCCTGGCGTGCTTGCTTCTTCAAAGCATCAACCCGAAAACTTCGGATATTACCTAAGTAATTCTGCACTTTCGGAAGTTTGTCAAAAACAAAAGAATAACGCCACAGGCTGAACATCAGAGTATTTCCAAAACCATGCCACGAAGTGAGTGTGGTTTCGATATGGGTGTTGGATCTTCCGTCATGGATCATCGGTAATGGTGTTGCTTTGGGGACAGAATGCAAGCATCAGTCCCCTGAATTAGGCTCTTAAGAAGGTACTCCAATGTCTGTTCAATATTGGCGGTCAAGCGAGGTACCCTACTAAGAGACCCACTCTCGCCCGTTGGTGGGATGCCGCAACGCGCTCCCAACCAAGCACACGCGTCCAAACAATTTCTTGGTTTCTTGGTTCATCTGTCATCCGACATGGATACCACTATTGATCGAGCCCGAACTTCGTTGCACAAATTAATAGAGCCATAAGACAGCAACACCTAACCGTCTAAACTTCCAAAGTAACTTACCAGCTATGACATCAAACTACCAGATGCTGCCGCCCCAGATAGCATAACTACCGAAATATCTTTGTTTCATGGGCTTCATCGGAAATCCATCACCATCATGACGTCCCCAATAACAGGCCCGCTCGCGCCGGGCTTGCACCGCCTCTACATACCCGCTGTCTGTCTCTTGATCTCCTTTCAAGGCTACTACTCCCAATACCTCTTCAACACCGAGCCCGACCTTGCCCCCGGCCCCTTAACCCGCCGCGAAACGATCACCTTCAATACCCTCCTCCTCTGTCTCTGGTATACCTACTACCGCGCCTGTACCGTCGATCCCGGCCGCTACATTTTTTCCCCTTCCTCCGAATTTTCCTCCTCAACCGGCGCAGATCCCGACCTCCGCCCAACATCCTCCCTCCTTTCTTCCCAGCGTCGACCTCGGCGCTTCTGCAAGAAGTGCTCCGCCCCCAAACCCCTGCGCGCCCACCACTGCCGCCACTGCGGCCGCTGCATCCCCAAAATGGATCACCACTGCCCTTGGACAGGCAACTGTGTCTCGATGCAGACATTCCCTTACTTCCTGCGCTTTTTAGTCTACACCAACGTCTCGCTGTGGTACTTAGCCCGTTTACTCTGGCAGCGGGTCGCCGGGATTTGGGCTTCACGGAAGCTGCCTGCTTACCTAGGCCCCTCAGTACATGGTTTGGTGGGCGTGACAGTTTTGGGGCTAGCAAACATGGGGACGATGGTTGCGTTGGGGATATTGCTGATTACGACGGTGAAGGCGTGGGTGTGGAATTGTACGATGATTGAGGAGTGGGAAGTGGAGAGGCATGAAGCGGTGCTGGCGCGGTTGGGGGGCGATGATGAGCAAGGGGAGGAAGATCCGTTCTGGGGAGATGATACTGCTGCGCTGAGGGCGAGACTGGAGAAAATCGAGTTCCCCTACGATTTAGGAGTGTGGAAGAACATGTCTCAGGCAATGGGTACAAGGAATGTGCTGCGCTGGTTTCTGCCGTTCGGTGGTGGCGGCCCAGTAGTCGACAATTCCAATCCGGGGAAGGGAGCTGGATGGGAGTGGGAAGAGAACGGGTTTAATGACTTGCCTGGTATGTGGCCGCCGCCTGATCCGGAGAAGATGCGGCGTGAGGCTCGTGGTGGCTGGCCTGCTGCTGTAGCGAGTCAACAACAACCGCGCACGCTACTGGATCAGTGCCAGACCGCTGAGGAGATCAAGGAGGCTTTCAGGAGACGACAAGAGGAGGATTTACGGAGAAGACAAAAATACCAGGCGTTAGAGCGCAAGGGCATCATCGAAGAGTTGGAGGAAGTTCCCGGTAAGACCAGCGGGGAAGGTGAATGGATTGGCGAACCAGCATGGACAAACTCTGAAGGAGAACGTCTGTGGGATTATGGCGTAGACGAGGGAGCTGACGAGGAGGATATGCCCTTGGCCGAGCTAATGCGCAGAAGGAAGGTCTCAACACATAGGAAATACGATTGAAATTGGAAAGCAAGCGGTTACATTTTTCAGCTTTATTATCAAATCTTATATCACCCTTCCCTCAGTTAAACTACGTATGACCACAGACTTGAGGGTGCAGCAACCACGACAGCAGTAAAGCCATTTAAAGCAAACATCGCGCTCTTCGTTCTATTATCACACGCATGCAAACGTTCGATCCCTAACCACTCTAGAAAGGTGCCACCTCTCACCAATCGTCGTCATCATCATCATTCTTCGCCATCGCCTTCTTCCTAGCCAACAACGCGTCCGCCAAACTCCCCGCCAAACTCGGCGTCGGCGTCGGTGTCGTGCTCCTGCTCGCATCCGACGGCCCATTCAAGCTCATGCCCGAGTCACGTGCCTGCAAACCGATCGGCTTCTTTGCTGCCACGGGTCTCTTGGCCGGGGGCGTTGGCGCTGGCGGCTTCGCCTTGGCAGCTGCCCCATTGGCAGCAGGAGGGGGCGGCGGGGGACGAGGGGCCGGGGCTGGAGCGGGTGCTTGCTCCTCGACGTAGGCGGCGGGAACCCAGGCGGAGGCGTCGCCGTTTTTGGCGAGCCACCAACCTAGAATGGCAAGTTAGCTTTCATTCACGATATTTGGGGTACTTTGATAGGGAAAGGGGCTTACCGTTATTTTCTTTCTGCAGGATCTCAATGATCTGCCCGGCCTTGATAGTCAACTCGTTCTCGCGCTGACCGGTGAAATCGTACAGGACCTTGGCCATGATCTTAGGCTTGGCAGCTGGAGGGGGCGGGGGAGGAGCCCGAGTTGCTGAGGGTTGCCGGGTGTGTGAAGGGAGGGCTGTCGTTGTTGCCGCCGCCGCAGCAGCGGGCTGTGGAGTAGGGACCGGCCTAGGAACACTAGTGGAAGCCGTTGTTGTTGACGAAGGCAGAGGGCGGGGATTGCGGTTGGCCGGGATCCTAGATGGCCTGCCGCGTGGACCGCCAGGTTTGATGAGCTTGCCTTTGGTGATTGGCCTTGGGGGGACGGGCTTGCCCTTGGGGGTTGGCTTAGATACCGAGTTGGCGGGCTCGCCTTGCTGGGTGTGAACGGCGCCACTCTTGTAGAAATCGTGCTCTGTCGGGGCGTCCTTCAGGACCTTGACAATCTGCATCTTGCCGGGCTTCTTGGCATACTCGATGGTATCAGCAATCTTGAGGTTGAAGCCTCCGGGCATGACCCTCTTCATCTGCGTGAACATCTCGGTCTTGAACACACAGTTGAGGAAAGGATCCGGCTCCGTCTGTGACCCAACGCCCAGCGAGAACCAGTCGTCACGGCACGTCGATGTACCAATGAACTTGATAGCCCCCAGGGGGATAGCACGGTCGACCACGATCTGCACCTTATTTTGCACCAGCATCTGAGCCACGATGTAGTACTTGCTGTTCGTGACAATAAGAATCCTTGGACTGGGCTTGCTCGAGCGGCCAAACTTCGCCTCAAGGATCTCACCACGGCAAGAGAACACCGCCTTCTCGTTGCTGCTCAGGTTGATAGCCTTCCGTACTTGAGCGCCAGGGCCTTCGTTGGCGTTGATACCAAGATAGTCACCCAAAAAGCGGCGCGAACCGAGCAAACTCATACGCCTGCGCTCCTTGCGACCACCAAGAATCTTATGACCTTCTTCGCGCAGCTGGAGATACTCGGCACCAACACGCTTCTTCCTCCAGAAGCGCTGGATTCTGGTGGCTGCTTCGGCTCTGTAGGCGAGATACGCACGCCACATGCGCTGGATACGCGTGGCCATGTTGTGCCAGTACCTGTCACGCATGTGCTCGAGGGCGAAGAGGGTCTCGGGAGACTTAATGAATGCCTTGGTGACACCCAGCTGCCACTCTTCTTGCGGAATACTCGTGTCCTTAAGGATCTGCTTGACAGCATCTTCGTAGGACCCCTCCCAGATGTATTCACCAGCATATGATGTCGCAGGCGAGAGCAGGAAGAAACGTTCAACGAACTTCTCGAATGACTGACGGTAGGCGAAACCCGCGCGACGGATTCGCACATTCTCTTGCAGACCGAGATACTTGATCTGATGGAGGACGTTTGGCTCATTATATTCGGTAGGGGACTTGTTCTCGTTGGGCTTGATGGTGCGGATGTAGGATGGCTGGCACTTCATAAGGGTATCCACCAGGGCATTGCAGGAGGCTTTGATCCTGTCGCCGGCAGACGGGGGCTGCTTCCTGTTGCCCTGGTCAACTTGATGGGGAAACAGAGTATGTAAGAAGCGGTTCTTGCTCGACTGAAACAGGTTGAGAAGGCCCTTCAGGAGCTGGTCCTTGTTCTTGTCGGTAATGCCGTCCACGGAGTATGTCACATCACCGGCGTAGTGCTTGATGATAAAGCTACCTTGACGTGGGGTGAGATGCGCATTTGACATGCCGTTGATCGTCTGCATGAACGTGCGGTCGCAGGCCGCGGGGTCGGCATGGGCAGTCTTAGTGGCATCATTCATAGCAGAGAAAATGCCAGGCGGTCTGACGGATTCGATGAGGTCGCAGACAATCTTGTTGTCGAAGAACTTAATCGGTGTCCACTTAATCTTCTCCCTGGCATACTCTTCTTGTTCTGCCTTCAAAGTCAGCTGAATAAAAATCTGTTGTAGTTTCTCATTCACATAGTTAATGCAAAGCTGCTCGAAGCTGTTCTTCTCAAAGATTTCGAATCCGTAAATATCGAGAATGCCGATAGAGTTGGCCGTGGCCTGCCGTGCCCGCAGGGACTGGTTTATCCTTTCAACGATCCAGTCGAACAGATTGTTGTAAATAGCCTTGGCTAAGGCATCGCGAGTCGCCGTCGCTTGGGCCACGTTTGCGGGAGACTCAATAATTTCGCCGCTTCGCGGGGTCAAGATGCGAATGGTAATCGCATGGATCAGTTGGGAAGGTTCTACCTCGAGGAGATAGGCTAAGAAATCAACCACGGACTGGTCCGACACGGCGGCATACCCGCTGTCATCCTCACGGAACACCAAGTTACCGGTCCAGAGGATGGCAGCGAGCATTCGGAAGATATTGTCCTGCTCTTCTTGGGTGAGACCGATAACCTTCATGGCATTAAGGGTGTCTTGGAAATCGGTGAGATCGTCGATTCCGTCGACATTGAAGCACTTAGATTTGCTTGTGTAGAGGTATGTCTCGGGTTGTTGGACGCCGAACATTTCGCGGTAATGCTGGGACGCGCCCTTGGTGAATTGGTAGAAGATGTGGAAGTTGCGCTCGTTAGTGATCTGGCCCACCACGCGCGACTTCTCGAGGAGGTAGTTGGTGATGTCGGCACCAACCGGCTCGCCCTGTGCATTGAAATGGATCTGCAGGTACTTGCCGAAGCGCGACGAGTTGTTGTTGCGTAGAGTCTTCGCATTACCAAAGGATTCAAGGAGAGGGTTCGTGGCCAATACCATGTCCTTGATCTGCTGGATATCACCCGACTCGCCGCCCGACACATTCGCGATGTACTGCATGATGCGCTTCGCAGCCTCGGTCTTGCCGGCACCAGACTCGCCCGAGATAATGACGCATTGGTTCTCATGGTATGCCTTCATGTTATAGTATGCAGACTCGGCGATGGCGAAAACATGGGGTGGCATCTCGAGTCGGTTCTTGCCCTTGTAGCTGTTAAGAACCTGATCGGTATAGATCCCCAGGTCGCGGAAGGGATTGACCGACACCAAGACATGGCCGATATAGGTGTAAATTTCTCCAGCCTCGAAGCGCTTCTTCAGGTTCTCGTTGATGGCTTCATTGGACACGGTTCGCAACAACGTTAGGTCGGAGACACCAATTTCCTTCTTTTTGGTGGTATCGAACGTGGCCTTCTTCGGCCGCTTCGAGCTAGAGTCACCGGCTCCGCCGGCAGCGCGCTCTGCTCGAGCGGCCTTATCTTTCGCACGTCGAGTTATACCCTACAATGCGATCGCCATCAGAAACTGTCCAATATGTATCGGAGCTTTGGACAGCAGGCGAAAGTCGTGCGACTTCAAAAGCAATTCGAGGGCGGTCACGTACCATGGCGGGACTGTCATGGATCTGTAAACTCCCACGAGCCGACAGCGATTGATAGTTGCCCTCGCAGTTGAGAAACTTGGCGCTGCGCAAACTCGCTGAGCGGAAAGCCAGGAAAAACGCAGGACAAACGCGAAAATTTGGGATGAGCCCAGCACGGCAAACCAGCAACCACAGGATGCTGCTGCTGTCAGTTGTCGTCGATACTCTCGCCGGATGGAGTCCCCCCTGGAAGTTATGGGGACCAGCGGTGCCTGATCATGTTGGGACCCCTGTTGCTGCGAAGTGACGAAAGCCCGCCCAAATATTGGTGGGGCAACCTAATGCCAAACGCCGCCTTGTCCCGCGAACTGGAGCGCGGCTGACCAATCAGACGCCTCCGGCTGAAAAAACGCCACGCCACAGATCTGTCTAAGCCAGGCTCAGCCACATCGAGGGATCGCGATGGATTAAGGGAATCGAGCTGTTTGGACGATATCGTCATCCATCGTTTTGGGAATTAGCACCGTAGGTTGACCAGACTCTGTGAAGATACACATAGGCTGTTTGCCAACGTCTAACAGAGCCATTCAAGGTATTCTGTTCTATATTGAAGGTTTGCTTTTTCAGCTCTTTCAAAGTAATTGCTCATGTCGCTTAATACCAAGTTATCTTGAGAAAATTGTAGGCAACCAATACTAAGGCCGAGCAGCCCTGTTCAGTACAGGGGCAGCCTAGCAGACTATCAGAGCAATTACTTTCAGTTAATCGTTTGTTGTTGTTGTTGTTGTTGTTGTTGTTGTTGTTGTTGTTGTTATGGGAAGCCATTTACCTCTTGCATACTTGGACTACGCAAGCAGTTGAATGGCAAAAGAGCCCCGAGTTCAGGGCCCTATTCCGGAGTCCCCGAAGTACGCCAGGTGGGTGGTGGGGCCGATTCCCGTAGCAGCTGGGTCGTCTACTGTGTGAAAGCCGAGTCCGAGTCTGATATTCTCAGACAGTGCCCGTTTCTCAGGATGTGGAACGGACCAACACCGACCTCTGTCGCACAGGACAATTTCGAGACGAGGATTATCACTTGACTGACAGGCACGTTGAGCAAGAAGTGAGATGTCGGGTGCGACTCAATTTCCCCTAGTCTTCCGAACATATAATGGCACATCAGTCGGATGTGAAACTCTGTGAACCAATAGACATCTCAAGAGTACCTTGGGCAGAAACCACCATAGAAAGAGTGTTCTGGGACAGTGAAGTTAACAAAAGTTAGGCTAGAGCTGAAGCTGAGGGTATTCACTTTATCTCTGTATGTAGATGTGGGATTCTCTACATTGCATATTTAGCAGAGTTTCTGTTCTAAGATATGACTTTGAAGTAACGGTCTACCTGGTAGAAGAGCAGAGCTCATATATCCAGGTAGCCAGACATCACTGTGGATGCTGGTCTTCTGGACCAGGTTGGGGAAATGTCCAAAGTATCACCAGTAGGATGGACGCACCGGGAAAACAGGGAATCTATCTACCTAATTCCCATCCCATGTTGATAGAACTGAGAGTCCCGTGCTTGGGTTCCAGACAGAAAGCAGTCTCCTTGACGAGGTACAAGGAACTTGAAGCACTGTAACGGTTGGGATGGAACTGATTTAAGCTTCTTTCTCCCTTGCTTCATCACTCCGGGTTCCGACGCAGCGGCTCTCAAGCTCAACAACATGTTTTACTTCCCTAGCTAATGGAACGCAGCAGAGACATGCGAACTTTCATCAGTGGAGCTAGGCTTCACACGTCGACGCCACCACAAGGCTTGTTTGCGAGCAGAAACTACGGACCGCTGCAAATATACGGCTCAGGACTAGCGCTAATAGTTTTGCACTCACTTCCAGCCTCATATGCAAGAACCTGCGTGTTTCGGCCATGCAAATAGAGCTTTTCGAGCCCAAAGTGCGTTCAAGTCCAGGTGAAGGGTGAGCTTTGAGTTTCCTCGGTTCGATAACGAGCCGATGGCTCGTCAGTCCACAAAGCAACTTTGATCGGATGATTACTCTAAGAAATGCCCAATTAAAATGCCAAGATGTGTTGGAGCTTCGATAGCTCCCCAAGACCAAGCCCTCGTTGCACAGGCGAAATCATGGCAGGAGCTAGAAGTCTATTCGGACATGCAGAGTGCCGACGAACGGGCCGGTGTGAGAGATGCAAGTGGGGGGTTGGTACCGTCTCGAGGAAGAACCGGCACTAATCCATATCAGGACTAGGCTGCGACACCTTTCGTGGAATTACGCTATATGATTGGCCGGCTGCCTTCAGGAGTCTTTTCCCCAAATCGCTTAGCGCAAAGCCTTTCTCCAAGGTAGCGCTCCAAATCCCTTGAAGAATCCAGCGTGTAAGCGCCCAGGAGGTCTTGGCAAGGTTCATGGAGTGACATTGTGACGGACTATTCTTAGCTTTTGAGGTTACGCGGCGTCGTCATCGAGATATCTTTCCTCCCTCGGATCGTCTTTTTGATGTGTTCTTAAAAGAAAACCTCGAGGAAGAGTGACGACTTTAATTCTACAAAGTTTTCCCATCTTTCGGGTCGCCAATCTCTCCATTGTGACGGCGCACAAGCTGTCGAGCGCCGAAGGGGGCACCCTTGTCATAGACGAAACGTCGAAGTCGCCTCCAAGAAACCTAAGAAACCGTGGCACTCCCCCAGTCAAAGCGTCTCTAACATTCTTCGTCTCAACTTCTACGCGCCACCCCTAACAAAGGCCTTGTCGTTCTGATAGCGGTCTTCGCTCGGGTTACAGAACCTGACACAGATTTCGCGCCCGCGAAACTGTCTCCAACGTCTGATCTACAGGCAACTTCCTACTCAATTTGACTCGCTCCTCGAGCGGCTACCCTCGATCTCTCTACCCCACCGTGCGCTCGCTGGTGTTACCATAGGGCTATTCTTCCAAAACAGAGCCACAAACGACCGATCAAAGGAAGCAAGGTACCTGGGATATTCGCTCGAGTTGTTGTGAACGTTTCAACACACGCCCTCGTCTCCCTCCGCACAATTTAGCTCTCGAATCTCGCAGGGGCCGAGAGATAACCGACAAGGTCAGGAAGTGAGGAAGGGACTGTTTCCGCTCCTCACTTATCTGAACCCCCCTTCCATTCATTCCACCTCCACCAGGCGCTGGCGCTGGGGTACGCCGTGTCCGTGTGTGTGTGGTGCCGTGCCGGCGGGCAGGGCTAGACTGTTACATCGCTGGGTAGATTCGTGCTTGGGGGGCAGGGTCTCTCTTATGACCCGCCCATCTCCCACACATTGCTCAGCCATTCATCCGTTCTTCCCTCCCCCTATCTTTCTGTCCCTCACTCGGCGAGGCGAACGAACCGAGACTCCTCTGTGAGAGCTCTCGTCCCTGACTGACCTTCCTTTCTCCTAAGCTGCTGGATCAGAAACGTTCTTTATTTTGTCTTTTTGCTTCGCTTCCGATCGCCAGGCCCTTTATTATTCCTGCGGGTGCTGTGCTTCTTTTTGGATCTTCGTTGCGACGATCGATATATTAATCTTACTTTCGAGGGAACGAGTAAGAGTGCCACTCGCTGGCCGGGATCTTCGCTCTGCAGTCACATCGTCAACGTTGCCAACCGTTCGTCGAGACACCACCTAATTCCTGAAAGCCAGATTGATCCGAAGACGAACGACTATCTTTGACCCTGTCGCAGGTCGACGCTTGTATATTGAGTCGTGGATTAGTTGAATTAGTCGAAGGAACAAGCAGGAAAGATGTCGTGGCTCGAACTTCTGAAGAAGCAGCTTACGCCGCAGAAGCTGCTCTTCCATTTCATCTTCTGGGGGTTTCATTGGGGTATTTTTGCCTACGGCTGGTATGTGTTGGCTCATCTCGATTTTGGTTGTCTTCAGAAACTGATAGGCAATGCCCAGGCTAAAGCAGAAGAACGATGAACGTCTTGCCGGCCTCAACCTGCTCCAGTATTCAGTCTGGATCTCGCGAGGTGCTGGTCTGGTTTTGAGTGTAGATGGCATGCTCATTCTCCTGCCAGTGTGCAGAACCATCATGCGTTGGGTTCGGCCCAAGATTAGGTGGCTACCTCTCGATGAGAACCTCTGGATGCACAGGCAACTTGCCTATGCCATGCTGCTCTTCACCATCATCCACACACTAGGTCACTACGTCAAGTGAGTTCTTGTTGTTTTCCTTAGCTTCTATGGCGGCAAGCTGACTGCCACTAGCTTCTACAATGTTGAAAAGACCCAGATTCGTCCCGTCACGGCCGTTCAAATCCACTACGTCCAGGCTGGCGGTGTCACAGGCCACGTGATGCTTCTTTGCATGTTACTGATGTATACGACCGCCCATCACCGCATTAGGCAGCAGTCCTTTGAGACCTTCTGGTACACACACCACCTCTTCATCCCCTTCTTCCTTGCACTCTACACGCACACGGTTGGCTGCTTCGTCCGTGATACTGCCGAGGCTATTTCCCCATTTGCTGGCGACGAGTACTGGAAGCACTGCATTGGCTATTTGGGTTGGAGATGGGAGCTCTGGACTGGTGGTTTCTACCTGCTCGAGCGCCTGTACCGTGAGATCCGCGCCGTTCGTGAGACGAAAATTACTCGTGTTATTCGTCATCCTTATGGTGAGTTTATAAGTGTCTCGTGGTTTTACTGAACGTAGCTAACCTTGACATAGACGTCGTCGAGATCCAGTTCGTCAAGCCTTCCTTCAAGTACAAGGCTGGCCAGTGGTTATTCCTCCAAGTGCCTGAGATCTCGAAGTACCAATGGCACCCTTTCACCATCACTTCGTGCCCATTCGATCCTTACGTCTCGGTCCACATCCGTCAGGTCGGCGACTTCACCAAGGCCCTCGGCGACCGTGTCGGTGCTGGTTCTGCCCAAGCCAAGCTCTATGAAGGCGTTGATCCCATGGGCATGTACGAGGTCGCTCTCCAAAACGGTCAGAAGATGCCTCAGCTCCGTATCGATGGTCCCTATGGTGCCCCTGCTGAGGACGTGTTCGAGAACGAAATCGCCGTTCTGATCGGTACTGGTATCGGTGTCACGCCGTGGGCCTCGATTCTCAAGAACATCTGGCATATCCGCAACTCGCCCAACCCGCCGACCCGTCTGCGCCGTGTCGAGTTCATTTGGGTGTGTAAGGATACCACCTCGTTCGAATGGTTCCAGACTCTGCTGTCGTCTCTGGAGCGCCAGTCTGATGAGGCGGCGCGCTTGCCCGGCTCTGGTGGTGTCGAGTTCCTCAAGATTCACACCTACCTGACTCAGAAGCTCGATCTTGATACGACCCAGAACGTTGTGCTTAATAGCGTGGGCGCTGATTACGACCCGCTTACGGAGCTCAAGTCGCGCACAAACTTCGGCCGTCCCAACTTCCTGAAGATTTTCACCAGCATACGCGATGGCATCCTCAACCGGACTTATCTGAGCGGCTTGGAGGGCAACATGAAGACTACTGTGGGTGTTTACTTCTGTGGTCCTTCAGCAGCTGGTATGTATTCTGCTTTTTTGCGAATTGTGATGACTCAATGTTACTAACTTTAAAACACAGCCCGTGACATCAAGAAGGCTTGCAAGCAAGCTACTACTCGCGAAGTCAAGTTCCGGTTCTGGAAGGAGCACTTCTAAATGCATTCCTCCTTCCTAATCGTCAATTGTCAAGATATGCCAGGATCTCTGCGCTTCTTAGGTGTACCAGTCAACACCAGAAATATGACACAATATTCAGTCTCTATTTTCTTCTTCAACGGATACACAAGGTTGGGGATAAATTCAACCAAACTGTATTGTTTTTCCCCGTCTCATGTTTGGGAGATACCACGGAGTACATATAACTGTTTATGATAGTACGCACACTGTGAATATGAAGAATATTAGGAATTAGTCAGCTGGATCTTGTCCATGTTTTTGTCTCTTGTAAGGCAGTAATCTGACATGCTTCTTTGACTGACAATCTCGGATCGAACAGCTCCCTTATGGCGCCAATCATCTTAAGCGATATATAAACTCTTTCGCGGCAGGCTCTGAGAAGCCCAATAACGACTTTACTTGTATTCAGGAAAATGATCGACACGTGGGTCGGGTTCATGGGCTGATTAAGCTAAATACTTGCGGCGTTTCGTGTCAGAGATTGAGGATCTAGTCGCCCGAGATCATGTTAAGCTCGTCCAGTGAAAGCTGATGTAGTAGTCAAGCAGCTGACAACTCCTCGTCAATTGTTTCGCCCGCTTTGCCCCGATCACTGTCCGATTACATGAGCTGGTGTGATATGCTATTCATAGCACAATAATGGGATTCTGAAAGCTGGACTGATGGTTGAGTTTACCATTGCTGGAACCCTCCCCGAACAGTAGGATAGAAACATGATTCCCAATTCTTAACCTTAAAAAGATTCGAAGACATGATCAGGCCATGGACCGGAGCAATTGTGAAACATTGAGGCTGATTTACTCGTGGCTCAGGAGGGATTGAGGATGATGATATGCGAATGGTGCTTGCACGTCGTTTGTAAACAACAATCCCCGTTTGAGCTTGATATCTGGACCGTCCGACTGCAAACAGATAAGTCCACTTCCATACTCTAATGTTAATGTCTTGTCATTACCTATATACTACCTAGTACACACACCAGGTGTGTTGCAAATGTAGTGTATCGTGCTAAAAGTACCCATGTGCGTGTCCATCAAACACAATCGCCCAGTTTATCTCCCGTTGTCCAAATCCTCGCCAAGCTCATCTTCCTCTGCCTCATAATCTTCCGACTCTGAACCCTCTTCTAAATCATCCGCCTGGTCTGACGAAACACTTGGTGTTTGGGGTCGCAGGTCATCGATGCTTCTCTCAGGGTCTTCGTCCACCAAAACATGCGATCCCTCAACCTCACTGCGCTCTTGTTCCTCCTGATCTTCTTCCTCTTCTTCCTCATTGACCTCACCATCTGATGACCCCTTCACATCATCAGCAAATACGACTGTCTTCGCAGCGGGGGACTTCGTTTCCGGCTCAACAACATCACCCTTCCATGGCCTGCACTCCTTGACCAGCTCTCCACACCGGAGACACGTCCACCCTTCGCCCTCCTCCCTCTCAATCCTTGTAGCCAGGCAAACGAAGCAATACACACATCCACAGGGGATAGCCTCATACGGGTTCGTAATATCAGTCTGCGCCGCTCCAACAGTCTTCGTCGCGGCTGCATTCATCAGATCGCTTTCTGTCGTCACAGAGTTCTGGTCGTGATAGCAGATGGCGCATGTGCGCTCTGGCAGAAAGGAGTATTCGCCTTTCTTCTCTTCATTGCCCGGCTCGCTGGTGCTCATGATTTTCTTGGTCTTGCGCCAGACTCGGGAGAGCCACCGACGCCATTTGTTTATGCCGATCAAAGGCAGGACGAAAAGGAGGAACTCAGTGAAGGCGTGCCATACGAGCTGGCGATTAAGGTATTCGAAGGAGACTTCGCGGGCGACTTGGCTTGTTGGAGGGGCCAGACGCATGCGGAGGACGCGGTCGAGAAGGGTGCGGTAGCGTCCATGGAGGAGGAAGACGAGGAAGGAGACGAACGCTGCGGCGGCATGGACGGTTGACACGAGGGAGGTCAACTTCGACAGCCGTCGTACTGTGGGGGTAGGACCTTCTAGCATGTCGTCTTGTTCGACTAGCCAGTTTTCCCATTTTGTCCAGAGGTATCTCCCAACCACTGTGACGAACCCGTACAGAGACTTCTGCCACTTGCTCGGTGGCACGAGGACGGGGCCAGTATGGCGAGCATCTGTGTATCGTAGATTCTGTAAAGCCGCACCATATGTCGCGTCATGATCCCAAACAGTAAGCTTGAACAGGATGGCCCTCAATAAAAGCGACACCTCCGCATCCCAGTCATGTAAAATCGGATTATTCGTCCCCCCAGGCGCATTCCCGCCTGGATTAAAGTACTTCAGCGCGTCACCGACCTGGCCACGGAGCAACTCGACGAGTTCCTCATCGAGCAGCTCCGCATCGACCTGGCCTACACGAAAGGCTGGATGTGTGCCCTCCCTCCCAGACACGACATCCCACAGGTTGAGAGCCGACATACCTAGTCGACGGAGGAGGGGAGATTGGGTGGAAGCAATGCGTTGACGTAGCTGTGAAGCAGACTGTTGGGCGGCGACGCGGGCGGCCACTTCGGCCTCGCGGGCTTGTCGACGGGCAGCTAGGCGCTGCTGGGCGAGAGCGAACGAGTTTACATCGGGGGCAGCGGTGTTTGTGGTGTTGGTACTGTTATTATTGACACTTGGGCTGCTGACGAGGGCCCCTGAGCTGACACTTCCGGTCGTGGTAGCGGTAGTGGTGGTATCGGGCTTTTTTTGGTCGCTCATTGCATCGGGATGGAATTCTTTACACCTGGTGAAACTACTTGTGTTGATTCAGTGCACATCGCCGCAGGAGCGGACAGATCGCAGATCCAAGGATGAAAGAAAAGAAGGGGGTTGTGATGGAACGCGCCGCGGCGGCTGTTGGTGAACCGGGAAGCCGAGGTTGCGCGCAGCTGAATGTCTTGGCACTGGCCATGATGGAACACTGAACGGCTGTGATTCGGTGGGGATGGCCCCACTTCATCTCCTGAAGGGTGGGTCTGCAGGCCTGTTCGGTGCCGGCAACCGGGGTGCGGGACGGTAACGGGCGACATGGATCGGGCCCAAACAACAGCCGTCAACCGTCTCACGCCGTTGGTGCAGGTTATCAACTTTAAAAGATTGGGCACTTAGGTCTTTTGGGCCAGATTCTGTTACCACAGGTTCTCTGTACAATCGTTATCTCGGGAAAGATCTAAGACTCTAACCTTGGAGCTGAGGAGAACAGAGAAAGTATGAGCGAATATTTTACATCAGCACTGGTCTCATCAGCTCACTCTTGACTCTGGAATGCGTGTTCTTTCCAGTCCCATCTGGTTGTGTGTTTATAAAAGTGATCCAAAGCATGGAACGCAGGTGAAGACAACAGAACGACAACATGTAAAATACAGCCGAGCATTACAAAGTTAACGTTGCTTTGTCCGAAGTTTCGATCCGCTCCCGTAAAATACGTAATGCCCCAGGCAACGTTGCCCCGCCAGCAAAACCCCACCAAGAAGCTCTCAAGTGAGCCCAGGCAAGCAGGAAACACTGAAGTTTCATCGGCTGGCTGAATTAACAAAACAAAACAAAAAAAAAGTTCTCTCAAGCCTGTGTTCTTCAACAGTTGCTCAAAGACATACTGAGTGCGAACAGCACCAAAGCAGTAGCAACTAAGATCTGATACCCCTTCCACCGAATTGTGAGCCCGGCGGCAGGGCTGCCACTTGGACAGAATGAACTTCGCCATTGAGGTCCCAGGCGAAGCGGTTCCTTTGGGCCCTGCTGAACTGATTAAGGCCTTGAGCGCTGCCTCTGGATCAGGAGACAACGCACAAAGACAGTCTGCCGGCCAGCAGCTCCAGGCCTGGGAAACCCATCCAGATTACTATCCGAGCCTCCAGGTATGATTACCTCTCTCATCATGCTAGCTGGAATCTTAGTTGCTGACCTTGGCCATCACTTTTCACCCGACTCTAATACAGCAAATTTACCTTGACAAGTCTCTGGACAAGCAAGTGCGCTTCCTGGCCATCATTCTCCTCAAAAACGGCATTGACAGGTACTGGCGACGGACATCGAAGCACGCCATCACTCCCGAGAACAAGCAGCTCATCCGCGCTCGCCTGTTTCAAGGTTCGATTGACGAGGAGGACAAGGCTCTATGTCTCCACAATGCGCTCGTGACGGCAAAGATCGTCCGGATAGAGTACCCGGATGATTGGCCAGATGCCTTGCCCATGCTCATCAGGCAAACGGAGATGGCGAACTTCCGTTCCCCTGTACAACTGCGGGGTGCTCTCACCCTCATGTTGCGCATCGTCAAGGAACTGGCTACAGCGCGTTTGCGTAAATCGCAGACTGCGTTGCAGGCTGTTACGCCTGAACTTGTTCAGTTCCTTGGCAAGCTGTATACCGCAAAGACAGCCTACTGGTTACGTTTGTGGAAAGAAGAAATCGGCGATGAAACTACCGCAGACTATGCGATCGAGAACAGCCTGCTGGCTCTCAGGATTCTAAGACGTCTGGTCACAGTGGGCTATGAGCAGCCTCATACAGACTCCCTAGTCTGTAGTTTCTGGTCACTCTCGCAGAACCAGTTTGATGAGTTCCTGAGCGGGCTCACTCCGGACTCACGAATGACAGTGCCATATCAAGACCTGGTCGGCAAACACCTTATTCAGTTCACCAAACTGCACATCGACATGTCCGAAATGCACCCCGCTAGCTTCCCAGCTCTACCAAATACCATAACTCTTGTCAGGGCCTACTGGAAGTTCATAAAGGACTTCTCGCAGGTCTTTGCGGAATCTAGTGGCATCAGGCAGTCATCAAGTGAGTCAGTTTCTGGAAATGCGAAGCATGAAGGTCCAATTGGAGAGAAGTTGGCTCTTAAGGGACTTTTGCTGCTTAGAAGCTGCATCGCAACGGCTCATCGCCCAGTTCAGACCTTCAAGTATCGAAGCCCCGAGGTCAAGGAGCTTGAGAGACAAGCTGTTAACACCATTAAGGAGGAGCTTCTTACAAAGGATATGTTGTTGGACATGGTTCAGGTCATTATCAGCAAGCTCTTTGTCTTCAGAAAGTCTGATCTCGAAGCTTGGGAGGAAGACCCGGAAAACTGGGAGTCCCAGGAGCGCACAGAAGGAGGTGCTTACGAATGGGCTATCCGCCCTTGCGCTGAGAGGCTATTGCTCGACCTCATCACACACTACCGAGAGCTGGGGGAACCTCTTCTCAATTATTGCCAAATGGCTACAAACTCGGATATGGACATTATTACCAAGGAGTCCGCGTACTGCGCTCTTGGCTGCGCCGCAGCAGTCATCCACCAAGCTTTTGATTTTGACTCCTTTGTGCGCAATAGCTTGATCAAAGACGTTCAGATCCAGGATCCTCTGGCTAAACTCCTCCGTCGGAGAATAGCCATTTTGCTGAGCCAGTGGATATCCATTAGGGTATCCCAAGAGACTAGGCCGATCATCTACGAAATTTTCCGTCATCTGTTAAATCCTAACGACCAGCACAACGATGAGGTCGTGCGTATCACAGCTGCTCGACAGCTGAAAGTCATAGCGGAGGATTTCGAGTTTATTGGCGAGCACTTCTACCCCTTCGCGTCCGATACGTTTAACCTGCTTGTCGGCTTGCTCAAACAGGTCGAGGGCGACGAGGCTAAATATGCCATCCTCGAGACCATCCGGGTCCTGGTCAGCCGGATGGAAACACATATCGCCGAGTTTGGCGACGCAATTATGACGACGCTCCCGCAAATCTGGGAGTCTGCCGGCAGCGAGGAATACATGATTAAGCAGTCGGTCCTGGCAATTACTTCGGCACTGATCCTCTCGATGCGGACAGCTTCGCAGCGGTATCATTCCATGATCATCCCTCTGCTACGGGAGGCCATGAACCCCGAGTCACCTCTGCATTTGCACTTGATCGAGGAGTCAGTTGAGCTCTGGAAGTCGATCATGTCGCAGGCCTCGCCGCCACTGAATCCCGATCTCGTTCAGATGTTCCAGCTGGCGATTCCACTGCTTGACTACGACTCAGAGGTGACCCTCGACTGTCTGGAACTTGCCAAGGACTACATTCTTCTGGCGCCACAAGATGTCCTAACTGATGCCTTCCGTCGGCCGACTCTGACAGCTCTTGCCAAGATCCTTGACCATAAAGCTCGTGAGCGGTCACAACTCGCTGCGAGATCCATCGAGCTGATCATCCGCGTCGCCGAAGCATTTGGTGGGTCACAGGGTGTCAACGTAGTTGCTCAGGATCTGTTGGAAATTGGCGCCCTTCGCACCATTTTCGAGGGTATCCACAGCTCTTGGGAAGCCGACCAAACGACAGGTCCGAACAAGAAGCAGAGCAAGATTAGCACCATCACCGAGACGGATTACTTCATCCTCCTCGCCCGCATCGCCCTCGCCGATCCAGCTGTTTTCGCCAATATGCTGACCAGCTTCGGTAACACCATCGATCAGGTGTGGTCGTGGCTTAGCCCGCGGTGGTTTGCCAACTTTGACTGCATGGCCGACATCGAGCGCGAAAAGCTTTCCTGCCTGGCACTCACTCGTCTCTGGGAGCTTCCCAACCCCATGCAAGACCTCGTCCTCGACAAGTTACAGGATTACATCTCCATGTGGACGAGCGTGGTGACCTCTTTGGCAGACGACACGCCCGATACAAAGGGAAGGGATAGCCTCGTGTGGACGGAGGTTCCTAGGACGGAATACGATACACCGAGGGATGTGTGCGAGAACGAGTTTGCCGCGAAAGATCCGGTGCATACGGTGTCGACGTTTGAGTTCGTGAAGGCGAGATTGCAAGATATGGTGCAAAGGGTTGGGGGCGAGCAAGCGTTTGAAGAGAATTGGGCGATTAATGTGGATCGTGATGTGTTGGCTGGGTTCCAGAGGCTCAATCAAGAGTTGGGAAATACGATGGGATGAAATGTTAGCTAGACAGCAAAGTAGTGTCTGTCTCGACGGGCGTGAGAGCTTGGATGGAGCAAGTCAGGTATCTGACTGATGTAAGGAATTGGATGTTCCTTCCTGAATATATATGTACGGGGAAGTGTTCGTTACAACTCTTCGTGTGTTCTCTCATTCAGTAGAGGTGTCCAGATAGAACGTGGGAACAGGTGACCAGTCGTTGCAACTGTGACACGTTGATAAAGCTGCCGAAACCCCGCATATCACGACTTCATGCCTTTAATCTTTTGTCCGCCAGTTCATTCCTAGATACAATGCTCAATTCAAACTATTCTTGAATCCAATCAACAGTTTTATACGAACCATACCCGTCAGCTGCCAGTAGTTGTCGAGTCGAATTCCTGGAAGCCGTTGTGGATCATAGGTCCACCAGATCGAAGATCGGGGACTTGCCCAACCCCAACCCATGAGCCTCACCTACCCCACAGCGTGTTCCATCAGCTGTGGGGTAAAGGTGGGGGCGCGGGTGAACAGCAGAGATGTGAAGGGCTGGGCGGCTTGGGGGTCACAAGAAAACAGTCGGCGTGGTGTGGGAGAGAACCAACAAAAACGCAGGCAAGTAACCCAGACCGAAACATCGAGCTTCTAACGGCGTACCTGAACCGCGTCTCGTGGCCATCTTCCCTACTTTTGTCTCCAAAACTCGGTCGCGCAAAGTCGATCGATATCTTTCATCCCTCGCAACACCAAGCTGAGCACCAGTCTCCCAGTCTCCGCTCAACATCAGATCATCGGACGAACCATTGACATGCGCGCGCCATCCTACAGATAACATTTGCCATCATCGAAACAAAATCCGAACCGACGACCTCTCTCCTCTCCCAGTTCCTCCCCCCATACGCGACACAAGCCTTGCATCACTGGCTATACAGCATCTCATCCCGCTCCTGCGCCTTTCCACGATTCGACTATTCAAAGCCCGTTCATGCAACCACCCGTTCGCATCTAAAGTCCCCCTCCCCCCATACACACTTCCTCCCCTATCAGACCTCGACCCTTCGCCGCCCGTGCAAGGACGACTTAGATGGGCCTCACCCAAAGTAAACCCCCTCCTCCTTCTCTAGGGCACAGAAGACAGCGCTCCTCCAACCGCTCGAATCACTACTCTTACGATCTCTTCTCTACCAATAACAACGGCCGCCGCGGCGGCACGCTGCTCTCTTCTTCCTCACGCAGCAATTCTCAAAGCCAACTCCCCAATGTTGTCCCGACTCTACCTACATTCTTCTCCTTCCAGCAGGGCTCCGAACGCGCCCAAAATGCCCGCCCTTACCTCGCCGAGTCGACACCCCTTCTGGGCCGGTTTCGGGCTATGCCCCCGCGCCCGGTAGACGGGAGCCTTAGTGGTGCGAATGGGGGTCGACGTGTGTCTGCTTCTTCGTCGTCGGCGGGGAAAGGACCGCAACACCCTGCGAGCGCGAATTCGGTGACTTCAGGCCTGGCGGAGCCCGGTTGGAGGGGGAGTGTGCATGTCGGGTATGGCTATGGCGCGTTGGTAGCGGCTGTGGCGGAAGAAGAACAGTGGAATGATGGTCTGAGTGAGAGTAGTGAGGATGTATCGGGGGAAGAGGCGGTGGTTGTGCGGGAAGTCAGCAGCAGGGGCTGCTGCTGTGCAGGGGATGGCAGGTGGGGGAGGAGGATGGGGAAACGGTTGAGGAGGTTCTGGAGAAGACTCGTGTACACCTGGGTTGAACCCAAGGCCAGTGTAGTGAGGAGAGTTGTTGATACCTGGTGGTCGAGATGGGGTGCGCTGGTTGTGTTGCCCGCGCTGTTGGTAAGTTATGTCTTGATCATGGGCAGTGGGATATTCAGAAATACTTACTGGTCTGACAGGCTGTTGCATGGTGTGCAATACCATTCCCGCAGTATCCCCTCCCAGATAATGACGATCGAGGGCCCCGGCCGGGAGAGCCGGGGTCGATTCCAGGACGCAAAGTACCTGGTCACGGGGCAGCCAAAGTACAAGTCAACTTCTGGTTCTTCTTGCTGGTCTACTACAGCCTCTACAATCTCACAGCTCTCATATGGATCACCAAACTCTTCAACATATACTCCCTCAACTGGTGGCCACAGTCTTTGGGCTTCCCTATCACTGTAGCCCTTATAGCCATCATCTCCATTGCCGCTCCTATCCCCATCTACCTAACCCCTGAAACCAAGTGGCTGACAGTCCACAACACGGCCTGGATTGCTTGGACCTTTGTCATAATGGCTATCCCCGTTGCCATAGCCTTTTTCATTCTCATGTCTAATGAGAGGCATTTAAGCTTGAGGCATTCCCTTTCCGAAACCCAGCGCATCTTCACATCCTCCTGGTGGGCTGGAGAGCCTGATGATACAATTTCACGACGTGAGAGACGGCAGCGGAAGGCCCTTGATCCTGCTGCTTTCGACCCGACCCTGCCTGCCTCCGGCGTCGGGTTTTCCGAAGGCCGCTCACACCGTTCTACTCTGCCTGTCCGACTGCACCGTCGCTGGCTACCAGCCAGTTTCGTCCGTTTCATGTGGTTCTGCATGGCCCTGTCCATCGGCTTGCTTGCATACCTGATAGGAGAGGCCTACGCCGAAATCTACCTGTCCACGCTCCCCCATAATAACTGGGAGACGATCGTGTATGTGTATGGCTGGATCTCGACGGTGCATCTGCTCGATGGTCTGACGGGCTGGATCCTTGGGGCTAATGAGGGAGAGCGGGTCGGCAGCTATCCCTTGAGTTTTATCTTCAAGCTGTGAGTGGCATCTGCCCAGCTTCTAAGTATCATTACGGAACGTATGCTGACTTTTTATCCAGCTACTTCATGCTCACCTACCAAACCTACGTCCGCGCCTTATATGCCCGCCTGCGAAGTCCCTCACAGTTCGTCCTTCTCCAAATTCTTTCCTCAACAGGCCTCATCATCGTTACCCCTCTCCTCATGTCAGCCACCTTCCACTGGTTCCTCACCTTGATTGGCGCCACCTCCCAGAGTTACGGCTCCTACCAAAAGATCTGCGTCCGCAACATCTTTATCCGCTTCCTCGCCGAGAACGCCTCCATGCTGGCCTTCCTCGGCAGCGTGGTGGTTCTGCACTTCGGCTATAACAAGGACGTGTACCCGTACTTTGCCTTCGACGGACTCGACGAGACGGATGGTTATGATTTTAACTTGACGTTTTATGCATCCAGTATCACATGGGCATGCGAACTTGCCGCAAGCTTTATTGTCGCTGGACTCATCCGCTGGATCTACAAAGTCAATGTCGTCACAGAGGGAAAGCTGGATTTTATTGTCTGGCCTGAGCTGCTGCCTACTTGTGTGGCGGTGATGTTGCACGTGTTACAGAACATGTTATTCTCGATCATCCGGCTGCAATTTCGGTGAGGGTTGTGGTGCCGAGGGGATGGTTTGCCGAGACCAGGGAGGGGGGGGGGGGGAACATGGGCAGATGAGACACTCGTCGGCGTGCTGCAGCTTTGTGCAGGCGACCGGGTAAGCTTATGGGTCGCAGATGCGGCCCGATTGCCTTATCAGTGGCAAATTACAGCCAATAGGTCGCCTACGAGTTGGCTTCGGGGCAGTATCCGATCCTGGGTTGGACTTCGATATGTATCGAAGTGCGTTAAAGCCCATACAGATATGGGCCGGTTTGCCTTTAGGACTGGATTTTTTGCCGTTGTTGGAGATTCGGTTAATCACGCTACCTCATAACAACGCCGCTTCTTTCCCATTACCGTTTTCATTCGAATGCTTTCCTTTTCCCTTTTACCCTCTCTTACATGATGGACGACTTAACGACTTGATAAGACATGATAGGACTGGCTACGCGATACCCTCTCTGTAATCTATTAAGGGCATAGCATAGCATGCAAGCATTGTTAGAGTAGATTGTAGAGAAGGAGCACTGTCTAATCAATCACTATAAATGGGCTGGTCTTCTTGTAGCGGAGGGGTAGAGAACATGTTGGCTAACAGAAAAATCCCACGGGATCCTCCGAGTTCACTCCCCTACATATTGTTCTTGACCACCCTCTATTCCATAACCACACATCGTTTCATCGAAACGACGGTAGGGTGTACTCTTGCCTCAAAGCCTTTGCCATTCCCAACCAGTGACTCAATATTATCACACCAGAATGCTATCCAGCAATCACCAAGGCTCACTGGCATATGATGACCAATGAGATCTCTTTTTTTGTCCCTCACCGATGCGATTCCCCCGAGATGCTGCTGCTACTGTTCTAGAAGCATCGGGGGATAGAGGCATCCTATGCAGCAACAGTTGTTGTGATAGTCCATGCAGTGTCACCGTACCTTGGAGCGGGATGTTTGGGACTGGCGAACCCACGAAATGATAATCTTGGTTAGGAATTCCCTAGCTTTTCCCTAGCTAGATTGTGTTGGTTTGCAGATCGTTACTAAAAGCAGTAGTTTATGCTCCTTATTTAACAGTATGTTACGGGTGTACACATTCCCTAACTCCTCTTCATCCAAAAGGCCAATTCCGGAAAGACAGCCGCCTCCATCCCTATCCTCCTAAATGCAGATAACGTCCCCCATTCCAATTGTCGGGCAATGCAAGCCAAATGATACAGGCCTCACCCCATGCCCATTCCCACCAAAACACTCAGCATCTATTGCATGGCTCATGCATGGACTCGATCTCGAATCTGCCAATCTGGGGTGCCCCGACCGTGTGCAGCCCCCCCCCCCAGATATGCAGCCGATCCTGCAGGGAGGTGCTCGCAGAGTGTTGACATAATCTGATAGGAGGGTTCGAATGGTATCAGTTGCGTAAGGCGTGGCGATCTGCGTTTCTGGAAGATGGATATGAATATGTGTTTTACTGATGTGTTGTTGCTTTGATACGGTCATCGTAGTTCACCGTGAAGCCGGGGAATAGATATATCAAACGAGAGGGTTGTCCAGGTAAGCTTCAGATCTGAATGTTCAATTAGAGACACACCAAAATGGGGTAAGAATCGGAAACTAGGCCAGGTCTTGTCAAAGCAGATCAACAAAGAAAGCTACTATAGAGATTAGGGGAAACAAAAGACATGGAGCCTTCGGCAGAGGGAAACAGCACCATTGACTTGGCGTTTGAGAATGTACGCAGCTCCGTTGATAGAATGCTCGCACAACCATGAGGTCTCTATAAACACCAAAGAGCCATGCTATGTAAGAGATATCAAGACCTTTCTAGTAGTTGTGCTCTAGTCCCAGCGTGTTGGAACATGGCAATAACGGTAGAATTCTTGAGTGTTGTCAGGAGTTAATTCCTCTTGAAATCCTTCGTGTAAATGCTGCTAGAGGTTAGCGAGCTCAATACTCATCTACCTTCAAGCGCATACGGGTCGAAAACAGGTTTCGGAAAACAGTGTGACGCTCCTTATGAGACCTGGAAGAGTCCATTTGTCGAACGCTAAATGCGCGCATTAACATGGTGGTCAAGACAAAATCTCAACACCAAACTGTTCGGCCTGCTCCGTGCTCGGCTTGCTGGATTGTATTGGCTGCTCTGATCGGCCAGTTTATGCAGCTTCAGCATGACGAACGGTGCCCAGCAGACGCATCCGAGAAAGATGCCTGGAAACTAGCTCACACCAGGTCTACCATATAAAGAAGCAGGTACATAAACACATAGGGCTGATGTGACGAGGACGCATCAACCAAACACACCTGGGTAAACTCGAGAATGAAATCCGGATCGTACCTGACTGCAGCAGGACAAGCGCAGGGGGGTAGCCCCTCTCGAGCTGAGCTGTATACGAGAAGCCGGTAACAATCACTATTCAAGAACGGGTTTAACAGCGACCAGTCGTTGAGCTGTTGGCAGCCTGCAACCTGGACAGCAGTGACTTGGCCTCTGGCCCATCACATCTCCCAATCCGCCATCCGCGGCAATGGGAGAGGTGCGTCAAGGCCGTGATTTTGCCGTGGGGGTGTGGGAACGGCAATTGGCCATTGTGATAAGCCAGTGGATGCGTTTAGTGGCACCATGATGGTGAGATCAGTGAGTGGAGCGAGAGGGAAACACTTCACTGCTTTGTCACTTCGTTACAGGCGTAACGGAGGAGGCTGATCGACGATGTTCCGCGGTCGTATCTCATTCTCAGCTGAGCGCTGTGGTCTTTGGTCTCCGTAATCATTGCAGCTCGCAGCACGACTGGGATCCAAGTACGCCAAGTCCAGTTGGGCGTGTGCCAAGTGTGAAAGCGTGAGCGGGTCTGTGAGAGTTACATAATCTCGCTGTTAAGCGTTACGAGATGTGCGTGGCCTCATTCAACCAGGCATTACCAGGCATTTCTTGACACGGCCTGGATCCGGCGTGCCTTTGGGCCCGCAAGAGAAGAGATGTATGAATGAGCAACAACTTTAACGAGTGGCGATAGAGGCCAGAATTCGTCGCCAATAAGCCCCGAGCTGGAAGGTCTCCTTAGATCAGAGAATACGTGTGTGAGCTGGCATCACGATGATGGTGTCCAGTGAGAATGGCGGCTGTGAGTTTGGCTGCTGCAGAACCCCAACTTGTGGCTTGCAGATTGCCCGCAACCGGTAAGAAAGCAACTAGCATGGCTTTGCGGGCACGCCGAACTAGAGATGGGTAGAGATGGGGCAGGAGGGATGATGCAGGTAGTCCAAGTAGAGATGAGGTGAAAGTGTTGGACTAAACTGGACAGTTCATACAGGACAGCGAAGATGTTTTCGAGCTATGCAAAGAGCTCATGTTCGTTTCCACTTGGGCTCTTTATTGGGCTAAATTTCCCCTATTTTCATCCTGATTCTTGCCCTATCTTGCCCCGAGATAATGTTATCAGATTCCACAACGCTCGCTGCCTGCTGTAGCTTCCAGAAGACGGTGTCTGCCCCACCTTCCATCTCGCGTCTTCGTCACCTAGGCGTAGCATCCTTGTGCACTTGCAATGCCCACTGGGTATTTCGACTACCCGTGGATTAGATGGCAATTTCAAGTAATTCGGGAGACAGGTCTCGAATCAACCAGAATAAAAGCAAAATAGTAGCACAATAGCCCTGATGAAACATGAAATAGGCGCAGATCAGGCCCATCTTCCAGAACTTCAAGCCATATTTGGCAGTTCAGGGCAGGCAGCTATCCCGAAACAGCAACTCGCTGGCGCTACACAAAACGCCCCTTCGTGCTCCGTGACGGGGATGTCCTCCATCAGAAGTTGCGTAAATGGCCCATCCATCACCGGGCCGGATTGCAACACACATCGATGGTCTTTTCACAGGCTCCACTGGCACTTGTTCTGCTTTCCAGGAGGGGCCGTGTCAGTTTCCAATTTCAATTTTTTTGCACCCTGTAGGCTGTGAGCCTGTGACAGTTTGACGGCTCCGTATCCAATTCGCTCGCGGCTCGTTTGCCTCCTTCCATCCACATCCACTGCACCTCGCACCTCGCACCTGCTCCCGCTGCCGCTGACACCACCAACCGGCAACCAGCCATTCCCATTCCCGCCTTGTCACCTTGTCTTGCGCGCACCCTCCTGGCTGCTTCCAGCTGTTACTGTTGCTGCAATTTTTTTTTTCGCAATTTTTGCGCTCTTTACTGCTACTACAAGACACGACATTTGTGCCTGCCTGCCCCTCCTCTCCCTCTCTCCTTCCTTTTTCTCTTTTTCACAATGAACGCTCTCGCCAACGCCACCAGCTCTTCTCAGGCTGCGTCTAAAGCCTCTCCTATTAGCACTGCCGCAACCAACGCCAGCGCCAGCGATGCCCACGAGAGAGGACAGCCCGCCGCCGCCGCCGCCGGTTCCTCCGAACTCGCCCGTACAAAGATAACTCTACTGGGTGCCCTCAAACGCTTCCCGGACTTCCCGATCCCCGGCATCAACTTTATCGACATTCTCCCGCTCTTCCAGGACGTTTCGATCCACGCGACGCTGCTGCGCGCCTTGGAACTTCAGGTGCTCGAGCTATTCGGCGAGCAGGCGAAACCCGATGTCATTGTCGGCCTGGATGCCCGCGGCTTCTTGTTTGGTCCTTCGCTTGCCCTGCGTCTCGGCGCCAGCTTCGTGCCCGTCCGCAAAAAGGGCAAGATGCCCGGCCCTTGCGTGACGGCCGCCTACGAGAAGGAGTATGGGACCGATTTCTTCCAGATGCAGGAGGGCGCTGTGAAGCCCGGCCAGCGGGTTCTCATTGTCGACGACATTATCGCTACCGGTGAGTGTGCTGCCCATCAGAAACGCAATCTTTCGCTGTGCCCCGCTCCGTCTCTTCACCTGAAAACCCCACTATCGGGCGTTGCCGAAGCCGTTATCAGACCCTTGTCAATCGGGTCGATCGGGGCTTTTTCTCCCGAGAACCTACATCCCTTGTCATCGTTTGAAAATTACAGCACTGATGGTAATATTACGTAACGCTAATGTGTTCCCAACAGGTGGTTCTGCTGCGGCTGCCGCCTCCCTGGTCAAGCAACTGGGCGGCGATTTGATCGGCTATCTGTTCATTCTTGAAATTCCCGTCCTTAACGGCCGTTCCAAGCTTGGTGACGTGCCCGTTGTCACCCTTCTCGAGACCAACGAGTAAAAGAACGCAAACACTTACGTACGACTGCTGCGGACGGCTCTCGCCTACGGCGTTGCTGACACCGTATTTCATTACCACCTTCCCGCTTGCAAGGTCTCAACTACCACCGCCTAATGACTCACTAAACGCACGTAGCAGAAAATTTTTCTCGGACGGGATATATGTTTTACTTAGGCGTACTTCACGAGAGCCTAGTTCTTTTAATAAAGGCGGACGGGGAAGGCCGAGGCTCAGGCTCAGTGGTTCGGTTCGGCTCTGCGACATTTCACTTTCTTCCACCCCTGTGAAAGTTGTGTTTTTCAAGGGCTCGGATGAATGGACAAGTTTGGGTTTTCAACCCTGTAATGAAATGAGACGGGACGGATAATGCACTACCTGGCGTTATGGAGGTTTTCAACAAATTTTTTTTCTCTTGTCAAGGAAAGAGGATACTATTTGATGGGAGTAATGGGATTGTGTGGGTAAACAGAGGGAGTACAATTGTTTCCTCTGACAATTACTTAGTACAAAGTTTGTGACTTCTTGACAGTCTGTTAAGAGCTATGCCCCGGGTATCATATACACAACAAAGAGTAGGCACAAGTGACTGATGTCTGAATATTGGACACAAACACTTTCGAACATTGGTATCCACGACAGCAGGTTCAACCGTATGTACACACAGCCTAGTCCTAAGCCAAATCTTCAATATTAAGTCTGGTATCCCCATCGTATACACAACCTCAGAGACACATACGAATCATTCTTAATCACCCATCAACACCCCCATCTCCATCATCAACAATGATGTTCTTCACCTTTACCCCCGAACTCTCAATATAATACCTCCTCTGTATCCCAATAGCACTCGCCACACTCAACTGCTGATACACCGTCTCTCCGCCCCCAACCATCACCATAGCAATCGGATGCCGTCTCGGCATCCCCCCCGGTGTGTGTTGTATCTCATCCAGCAAAGGCCTCACCAATCCACTTTGCCCTTCATGCTCATCGTCTGACACAACCACGACCAGTTGAAGTGATTCCTCGGATGGCGTAAATGCCGGGATATTGGCAAGTTTATCACTGAAACTACACCCTCCGCGACGAATCAGAATTACCTGGTTCTCCCTTGGCGCCGAGTCAGGTAATGGACCCGCGCAAGCCTCACCTGCAGCGTATATCGTTTTCCAGGGGAAGAGGGACTCGGGTACGGGCCCGAAGACGGGGATCGGGGCGCCGGAGGGGGAATTGCTGGCTGCTGGGGGAAGGGGGGCGGCGCCGATGCCGGTGGGGAGAATGGCTGTTTGGTTGATCACCACGTTTAGGGGGAGGTTGGAAGAGGGGTCGGGTGAGGGAGAAGTGAGGTTAGAGAGGCGGGCAAAGAGGGATTTGACGAAGGAGCTGAGGTCAGGGAGGAGGGCGGAAAGGTTGGCGGGGTCGGGGACTTCAGAGTCGGAGGATTGGTCTTGCGGGAGGTCGATGGCACTAGCTGTATCGAGCGTGTCGAGGTTATCAGGGTGCTCCTCCGTGGTGGTATCATCGAGGAGGTTGACTTGGTGGAGCTGCTGAAGCTTCGCAATGACGGGATCTCGGACCAGGTTGAACCTTGGATCCGACACATCACCGAGAATGGCGCGGTTGATCACGACATACTCATCCCGTCCGAGGGGTATTCCGTTCAGCTTTGTCACTCGCCATTCCCGTTCACCCTCCTCGACAAGCTGCAACGTAATCTTTAGCCCTGATAAACTCAACACCCGTATGCGGTCTGTAGAAAGGCGCTCCAGATTTTGGCCAGACAGCATAAAATTGAATGCGCTTCCTCCTAGGACTTGCTGTGTGTTGGACGCAAATTCGAGAGTCACCTCGTGCGGCTGGTAGACCTTGGCACAGGTGCCGTTGCTGGGAAGCAGCTCTGGAGGAAGAGTCCAGGGATATAAGGTGTAATTGGACTTAGCCATGTGCTGACCAGACATCTGGCCGCCATCTAAGGCGTGCTTGGACGTAGTAAGAAGATGCAGGTCCACCATCCTGGCTGGATGATAAATGTCATCCCTGGCAGCAATAACTGAGCCGGACAGCGGAGTGATGGAGGGCCGAGGAGGGCATGAGTTGGTGAAGCCCTCGCCCTGGTATACAGTCAAGGCCTTTTGACTGGACCTCGGTGAGTTGCGAGATCTTCTTGCAGATTTGGGCTTCGGGAGAATCAATGGATGGCCTTCGGTGGTGAAAACGAAAGAGGCGTCTAGTTTGTTGAGGGGATGGTCATCATCGAACAGCAAGTACATGTACTTGGTGGTCTCGCCGAGGAAGAAACTCTCCATTCGATCACTCTTTTCACCGCTGAGAACATTTTGAAGGCCGGCCCAGCCACAAGGAGTCCAACAGCGCCTTGTGATATCCCGAAGCACCATCTCTCCTACGTACAGGTACCAGGGATCCTTGGTGGCGCGATACAAATGGTAGGTAGATTCGATGAACTCGGGCCGCAACGGCCACCAACCTAAGCCGCCTTCGACTGTTTTCTCTCGAAGAGACCATCGCTCGGGTAAGGCTGCGTATCGCGTCCAAATGGCAGCATAGAGCAAGTTGGTCTCAATTGCCTCGTCCACTTCTCCAGCCAAGACTAGTAAGCCGGAGTAGTAGGCGCCGAGACTGTCGACCCAGTGTGAGACCAGAGAACCGGTCCATAGGTTTACGTTGTCATAATGAGGGTGTTCACGCTCGCTGTATAAATGTCGCTTGATAGCCGCATGAGCGTGATGCCAGGCTTCAAGGAAGGACTCGGCAGAATTCTCGGCATCGCTCAACGGCTCGAAAAGAGTATTGGGATCCATCCAGTTGACATCTTTGTGCAGGGGAGAGGGATGAGTTTGGTTTGGCAGGGCATGGCCGGAGAGAAGAATGTGCGACTTCAAGGCGTACTCGAAAAAACTATCGGCACCAGCACCGATGACCGAATATGTTCCTATCCAGTGTCCTTGTTCTGCATCGACACCGGCGCCAATTAGGCCGATTTGGCTCTTGCGATACCAAACAGCCCAGAAGGCCCTCTTCGCCGCCTGTTCGAACCGTGGGTCACCGGTAAGACGACTAAGGACAGTAAACTCGAGAACTAGTGAGCCAGCGCCGGCACTGCAGGTCTCCGTGATTTCAGGAGGGCCTTCTGTGGTACCTTTGGCTGGCGGGTCCTCGTGTAGGGGGGAATTGACGTAGAACGGGATGCCATGACGAAGGTTGACACGTGGATATGGTAACCCGGTCTTCGTGTAGAACGCGGGGAGAAGCCGTTGCGCCAGATCCAGAGCCAACCTGAGCAGCTGGCCATCATATGTGAATCCATTCGGCCAGGGGATTGGAGGTGGGTTGAACAAATCGTCCTCTTGACGAAGTGGTTGGTACCCAGTGATGGGCAGTGCACCGATAGCGAAAAGGTGAGCACTCAGTAGACCACCAACACCACGAATGACGGTTTCGAAGACCTGAACTTTGCTGTCTAGGTCGAAACCTCGCGCCCGTCGCCCAACCCCTGAGGGACCGGGGCGACCGTCCCCGTATTGCTCGACCAAGGCTGCGACGCCATCTTGGAAGTCTCTGAGAGCCTTTGGGCCAGTGCCACTATCTTCAGCAGGAGCAGAGGCAAGAATAGCCAGGGTCGAGAGGCTGTCAATCAGAGTGAGCGAATAGTTGCCCAGGACATCGTTGAGCTCAAAGTTGCGAGGATTTTTCAAATCTCGAGTTAGCGGGGTGCAAGATACAGGTCGGAGCTGGTTATGAACGTCGGTCAGCGTCCAAGAATCTAGCCAGCGACAAGGAGTCAGAAGACCGCACCTCATCCTCAGGGAAGGCAACTTTCATGTAATTGTCGAAGCCATAGTAAAACATCTCGACAGTCTCCCGCCGTAAGGCCCTCACCCGGTCAGGGCGCATAGCCGCTACGACGGGGATGACAGACCATTGGGGCAGGAACAGGGCCAGAGCGGCCCATGCCCAAAACAGAACATGGCCAGCCAGTATCAGTATGTGCCACCAGCTCCGAGATGGTCGAATGATCACAGAGTCGCGGGCGCCGGGCCGGGAGTCGCCGGCAGCCAAGAAACGGCAGCTCATGCCGGTCGGGCATCACCTGGGCCAAAGCGAGGACCAACGCCACATGTGCCTCCGGATGGATGCTGCCGCTGTTTCGAGTTATGAAAAGGGCGCCAAAGCGACGAGGAGGGGCCAAGCTAAGGATCGGCTTGGCAGAGTTGATGGGAGCACAAGCGCGCGTCTAAGCAGTCGGGACAGGCCTCCAAGATTCTCCGTAGCTGGCTCCCAAAGGCAGGATTCGATCGCTCAAAAGTCAACTCGGAGGGGCTCTTTGATTGTCCCGGTTGCTGGGACGTTCGTCTGCTGGTGAGCTGTTTGCTGTCACACGGTTTACACAGCCCGTGCTGACTAAGCGTAACTTCAACAGTTCAGTTCAGCGCAGGAACAGTTTCCTACGGTTAGGGACCTGGAAGGAGCTGGCTGTCTTGTTGCACTTGCACTTGGCGATGTCCCCAGGTTGCGATTTGCGACGAAGCTGGCCTTAACCCAATGGACCCACTTTCCCCATTGCTTGGCGCAGCGGCTCTGCAGGCGCGAGCTCCCATCTGATGCCAAGAGCCAAGGCGCAGGTCTGTCTCCACTGAGCTGTTCTGGGACATCAAGGTCGCGTCTTCGGTCACGATCACGGTTAAGGTGAAGGGCACTGCCTGCTGCCAGGTGTGAGGCGAGATTTCCAACCCGGGTCCACTACTTGCCGGGCTCCCACTTCCCGCGGCCGCGTCCCCCGGATCAGGAACCCTGCTGTCGTTGCGGTCCCAGCAGGACTTCCTCCGATGTGCTTGTCACGCCGCACCCTTGCCAATCCGTTGGGGAATGCGCACGCACTCGGCCAGTCCCGTCATTCGTATTCCAAAGGACACAACAATACATACGGCACGGCCCCTCCGAGCCTCAGGAGGGTTAACATGCGCTGCTGCCTGTGTGTTACCCTGAACGTTCCAACGGCGCTCTACTCTGGATGTTCTGGTTGGATGCAGGCACCCTGCGACGAGCGACGGGACACAAGGGCCCAACATCGGGCACAGTATCAGCACCTGATCTCGTTGCTTGTTCTGCCGATTCCACACTGATCTTTTTTGCTCGACTCGCTGGCTCGCTGGAGTCCCGTTCATACACCAAGGGCATGGACATGGGGCCAGCTCCTGTTAGTTGACCCCGAAAGACACCAATACGCCCTCCCGACCTCTTTACCATGTCCATGTCCATTGACACGACTGCTGTCCATTCCGACCTCTTCTGATATTTTAGATCCACGGCTGAGGTTAGCTTTTATTGGCAACTTTCCTTGTTACTCGAACTCTTTCATTGCCTGCTGAATTTGTTCAGAGATATCTTCGCCCTCACCATTCATAAAGCGGTGCTTGATCGTTGTGGTAGGCATCGCCCTGCAGGGACACCAGGTAACTCAATCCAGGAAAGAAGCCTCTCTGGCTCAATCTCCAGCCACGGAATACAGCCGAACGGACATATCGGTGAAGAGCCCGGGACATCTTCCCCGCTGTTCAGCTCATAGGCCCTATATGCAAATCCACGGCCCCGACACCCCTGAGCTTGCCCAAGTTGGGTTCAGTTTCGGGCCTACTCACCCACTTCTCATTCAGCCAGATTTACCTATCCCGCTCGTCCAGACATTCCTCTTGACCGAACGGCAGCTGTCTACCCAATAAACGACGACCTCATGCGTCCCTGCCTGCGTGATTCGACCCATAGATGCGCCTACGACCATGGGTTTTTGATTATCCGAGATGAGCAGACGTGATGCCATGACAGTCTTCACCTTCACGGTTCGATTTCAACGTCCAGGAACCGAGCTTTGAGTGATAGGTCCTTGATGGAGAAGATTATTCCAGCAGAAGGGTATGGCGTCTGCAATCTCTGTAGATGCAAAAAAGTCTTGGTTTGCCGCAAACCTGGAACCAATGCCGTGGGGCGGCCTTACCCATGCATCTCGGCATCAGTTCCGGCAGCCATGATGGAGACTGCGGATGAGAGCTCGATAAACAGTGTCTACAACAAAGAAGGCATCAGATTCAGTCGAGAGAGTTACCATATTATTTGTATCTGTCCCAGAGAAATATGCCTTAGGATGACGAAACTGAAGAGAAGGCAAGTGGAAAAGATGAGATGCTTGTCTCAACTACCAAACGGGAGCATTCAGGTTGCCGTTTCCCAAGCTCCTGTTCGGGCCAGTTGCAGTTGAGTCCCCAATCACACGGGGAACTCCTACAAAGGTCAAGCAGAGGGCAAACCAATTTGCAATGCTGCCACCCTCCAGGTTCAACTACACTACACGAAACATGGCAATCTAAGCTCACATACCATCACGTTTTCCTTGCAAACCGTTGCCCAAGATATGTGATCCTTTATCTATCCGCATGCGGCAGGAAAAGACGGAGAGAATATCTTCAACAGTCAGGCGGACGTGGGTAGATCTGTCAATGCCTAGATAGTGTACATCCGGGAGAGGCATGTCCTATCATGTCTGGTGATCCTGACGGACAGACTGAAATCTCACCGGGACCTTCCACGCGCATCTAGTCTTAAAACGCGGGGAAGCAAAGTAGGCCTAATATTGCACCATATTCCCGTGCTTCCAAATATCCCCGTTTCGGTCCCGGTGGTCACCGGCTGGCTGGCTAATGGGCCCCAGTGACGTGTCTCGTTATTGGCTACGGCTGTGACACTTGTCTACTATGTAGTGTCGATATTGGATATCGCCGATATCCCTAGGAATGGAGCTCGAACCGTTAAGCAGTTGCTGCTTGGAGGGTTGTTGTGGTTTTAGAAGCTCTGTCCATTGACAGGCAGGTGACATCACCGGCGATCTCTTGCCCTCAAGCCAGTTATTTACCCCTGGGACGCATAGGCAAATACCGGAATACTCTCATAGTTTGTGCCCTTTCCTTAGCCCCCTCTTATCCAATAAACAGAAACACACCCACACGAAGCCCACCAGTTGGAGGAAAACAAGTAGAACCATGGAAGCTTTACACTTTTGCTTGTCAAACATCGAACGTTTCAAATTCACTCCTGTGCCGCATGTTCTTTGGGTGTTCAGAAACGTAGAAAAGAAAGAAAGCATCTCATTTCCTCATCATCACGTAAGGTCCATGTGTACACTTCATCGGAACTTGAATCTCTCATGTGATCTAGATCTCGTATGCCTTATCCTTACAGCCTTATGGCCCACAACGAAGACATAGAATTTCTGTTTAAGATGCAGGGTACAATTGCTTACATTTTGGGCTGAGGGAAGCTGTTTTGTTTCAAGCTCTCGTGCTACGGCAATTGAGGCACCGAGCAAAAATGTGCGTATGTAGCAGTACGGAGCAGTCGAAGGACACAGGGAGAAGGGACACGCTTGATGATGTAATCGGCTTTTTTAACTACTCAATTCGTAAAATTTTTGAGGCTCCTCAGAATGCCCTTGAACTCGAGTGTATGATCTTGAGTTTGGTCACGCAACACAGAGTGGTAAGAAACTCAAGTTATATGGGGGTATGAATCTAACCGTCGTTGATCGGAACTTCCCTAACCCAACTGTTGACCCCTCTTGCGCCGCATACAATCGGGAGTTTATCTTGTATTACCCCAGAATACGAGCCTTGACTAAGTTTGGGTTTGTCCTCAAAGTATGTTTTCATAACAAATCCAGTCAGCTCTCCTCAAAAATCCATGATACGGAATATTGAGCTCGGCGAGGTCCAAATAAATCGGCGATAGCGATCAAAAGCCCTGAGCTTGCGTTCATCTTGCAGTGCGTTACCACATGCACTCCTCTTACTTGAGTGGTCAGTTCTGACAGGATGTTACATATGCACTTGGCATCGCTGCTGGTAGATGTGTGCTTTGTTACACAATCTCCGGAGATCTTTGATGATCTGGATCCGCGAGACGTCGGCGTGGCTGTACGTCACCATCAATCCGCAGATCACAGGACAACTAACAAGCAGCCTACGCCGGTTTCAAGATTTGGATGTCACCTTTGCACTTCAAATTGCACTGAATGTAGAAACATGGAGAAAGAAATTACGGTAAGAATTAAGAAAGCAAGAATTAATTGATGGATGATTGGCGTTCTGCTTTTCAATGGGCAAGATTCCAGTTGACCCTGAGACGTGCACGGTGGAGACAGGATGGTTGGCAGTAAGTTGGGGTCTCTGGGTCAACGCTCATCACGATACTACAGACCCGAGCAAAATACATGGCCTCTATTTATTAGATGTATACCACACTAGAGCTGCCTATATCCTTGATTTCCCCTCTTCTTTGTCCTCAGCAAGTCCAAAAGGGCTAATCGGTGACAGAGCCAACCCGAACGACTCTTGAAAACCCTGTCATGACCCCATGAGAAACGTGCTTAGGCAGTTCTTCGCCTTCCTCAATACCTTGATAAATAGATCCACACTTTGTAGATACCTAACAACCAGTCCAAAACGCCATTGCCACATGAGATTCCCTACTTATCCTAAGGAGGAGAAATCAGGGGGTACAGAAAAAGCAATGAAAAGTCTCTCTATGAACAAATACAAAACTCAAAGAAAGAAGGAGATGCAGAGAGCATGTGTGCTAGATGACTCGGGTTATGCAAATAGCCAGTGACTGTAAAGACTGTTTTCCCATGTGAGGCTACCATCTTCCCCTTTATGACTTGATGGAAAAACAAAGAGATGATATACAAAGGACAAAGGAGTGTTCGGAACCATAAAATGTACTCCGGAGGAGGGCTGGTAAACCGTAAAAAAAAAAAAAGAAATGAACCGCCGCCCAAGTCATTAACGTTTCCAAATCACATCCAGAGAAATCATGGTATAATCTCTATCCTCATACTTCCCAGCCCAAATTACCATGCTATTGTTGCACTGCCTGGGCTGTTGGTACCCCATATGGAGTTGCGTTCCTCGAAAGTTGTTGCATCAATTGCTCGCAAGCGGCCTGGCGCGCAATTCGCTCACTACATCGCTGTTGTTCAGTCAGAGCTGCGGTACTAGCTAGCCCATTTGGCTTAGCTTGTTGGTCATAGTTCGCATTGGTACACGGCATGTCCATGCTTTCAGGGGTAAAGTCACGCTCTTCCTTGATGCCGTGGGAGTTACGTCGGCCATAAATCTGGTCGAGGATGCTGTCATCAATGGTTTCGACATCTGACGTGAAGGACGCTATCACATTTGTGGAGTCTTCGGGGGGAACCATGTGTTCGAACGGACGGGCGTGTAGTTGTTGGGGGTGAGCGACTAAGTGGTGAGGGTATGTATGGTGTAAGCCGAGGCCGTTTCTCCAGTCGCCGACGACGCTGGGATGCATTCCGGAGTGCGGAGGGCTGGCTTGTCTCCGTGTGAGCTTCTTGCGTCGCCGGAATCCTGTCTTTTCGTCTAAGGTCTTTTCCTCAAGTCCCATTTTGATGAGCTTGGCCTCGATATGCTGGGGTTTCCAATCCCAGACTCGGCAGCCCCCGTTCTCTTTCATGCGGGAGATGATGAGTTGATATCGGATCGACTCGACGTATTCGAATGCTTCCCTTAACCGTTGTTCCTATGCCTTCATGTCAGATGTGCTAGGCACTCCAGGCGTCAACAAATCAGAGCATACCTCTTTCTTTGGCCAAATCCCATACCGCGCTACAGCACGCGACACCTTCATCTGCAAACAAGCCTTCTCGAAATTCCCCTGAAACCGCTCGGAATACCTCGCCTTCATCTCCTCCCACATACCCTTGCCCCTCTCCGACAAATATTCCTTGCGCAGCTGGAAGAGATACTTTTCCTCCTCGGGTGCTTCTGGATCCAACTCAAGCTCCTCTTCTGGTTCATCCTGGTTGCTATCTGGGCTCTGTCCAGGAGAACCATTCCGCGGTGTCGACTTCGCCGTGCGCGAGGCTTTTTTGGACGCTGCAGGCTTTTTGCGAGGTTGTGTCTTCCTTCCTGGGCTGACCTCTGCTTGAGATGGGTAGGCTCCAAGGAATTGAGAGGCCCGGAGATCCTCAATCGTGCCGGCCTGGGGGGCCGAATGCGGTCGGAACTGGGGAGGATGCGTTTGCGGTATGGCAGGAGCTTGTCCGTCGGAAGGCATACGCTGATGCTGTATAGGATGAGGAAGGGGCTGTTGGCCCAAAAACACCCCGTTCGGGACGACGTCGACGTGGTAAGGGTAGTCGGGCATTGGATGGTGCACATCGTTGTCATTGCCCCCAGACACCGCGAATGAGCCAAGATAGGGATCGACGAGTGGCGGGACCTCACTCTTTGGTGTTGATGGATGATGGTTTGCGTAAGGGTTGACGTCAAAATGACCGCCTTCTGTTGCTGCCGGGTTCACGGTCATGGGCGAAGAACTCCCGCCGTTTGAGGGTCCTTCATAGCCGTAGTACAATTTAGATGTATTAGGGGGAGTAGGTACTTGCGAAACTGGGGGCGAAAGTGTCTGAGAGTGGTAAGTCCTTGGATTCTTAGGAGGTCTTTGTGAGAGCGGAGGGCTGCTAGCGCTGGAAACAGGGGTGAGCAGAGAAGGATCAGCAGCAGCCGGATAGTTGAAAGAGGAAACGGCAGAAACCTGTTTGGGAACAGCGCACGGTTAGATCACAAGTTCTCTGCATACTCATCGCACTTGCCATGTAGAACATACTGCGCTGTATGGCGACATTTCGGATGTGGAGTATGAAACAGCAGCGGGACCAGAGGAGCAGACAGGCATGCCATCAACACCCATCCGATCGGAGTGGTTAACTCCTGGTGCTAGATACTGGGTGCTTGTCATGCTGATGTCGATGTGTAGGCGCTTGAGAGTCCTTGTAGGTGGAGTGCTGAGAGTACTAGGGCTGCTGCTGCTGGTGGTGTCGCCTTCCAAGTCGGCGATAAGCTTCTCACAGTCGAGGAAGTCCTCGATCAGCGGCGAACCGAGGTTGTCTTGTCGGTCTGTATCCATCATGATGTTTAGTCGACTGCCTCTTTAGTAGTGTTTGACTTCCGTTGGCCCCGGCAGATGAGCGTGGAAAGCAAAAGATGAACAGTGGGATGAAGATGCAACAGACAAGAGAAGATCACGACAAACCTCAAAATCCAAAATCGAGCGGCCGAGAAGCTTTCTTATCAGAGCGGATTTGTTCGCTCTGTGATGACTGACTCCTGTCGACGAAGGCGTCTTACCTTACGAACCGGTTTGAAGTTATCTGACTGTCTGGCAGTTTGTGGGGCAGGATTGCGGCGTAGGAAGGGTCTGAGACAGATCTCACGGGAAGAGCTGCCAGAGACCTCGCTATCTATAACGACGAGAAAAGCGTAAGAATGATAGAGACTAAAGTTTGCCAACGTGACTGCAGGGAGGGTGCAAATGTGATGTGTTGTAGGGACATAAAATAGGGTCCCATCATGCCATGTGGTCGGGAGGGAGCTAACAGATGAATGAGAAAGCCCAGGCTCCTTTTTCTCCCTCGACAAAACGGGGAAGTAGCTGACCTTGAGCTGGGTAGGCAATACAGCGCCGAGTGGCCCACGTCCCGAACCGCGTTCTTCCTCTGTGTGGATCCCGTAGGGAAGGCCTCGAAGGTGGTGTGTTGCCAGAACAATGCCAGGTAGGGCGTGAACCGATAGACAGATTGACACCCCTCCTCCCCCCCCCAGCATCCGGGCTGCCGTTCCTTGACATCCTGCCGCGGCTTGACTTGCAACATTAAACTGTAATGTACCTTGTCCTCCCCACAATTACGCATGTTAGCCGCCGTACAGAAGGCTGATTGTATGGGGCAGAGCAATGTATCATGGCTTTTCAACTACAAAGCCACAAAACTGATTATCATATCTCTCTCTAATACCATCTACATGGCACTCCGAACAGGTCATGAGGAGCTGGCCCGCACTGCCCGGCGTCTGTTCTCGCTGGAGGCCCTCCGCGTGTAAGAGGCGCTTTGAATGCTCCCGAGAACAGAACGGGAGCAACTATGAGTTGCTGTTGGCCCAATCTTCGTCCCAACGACTTTCAGTTTGATACTGGCCCCATCGGCTGCCTTGACTTCAGTCAAACTTTGCTCTTTTACCCTTCTAATGGAACAGATATTTCGCTAGAAGGTGACCGAAGAGTCCAAGTAGGCCTTCTCCAACCTCGCTGGGCAAACGGCTGCCGGCTCCCAAGAACAAGACTTTTTAACGGACAAGGAGAGGCCATGACGCCGAGATTGGTACACCATCGCCAGCGTTGCTCAGTGCCGCTCCTGATAGATTGGATCAGGCAGGAGATGTTGCATTTGCTCCCTCGGCCAGGACTCGGCAATGCACGAAGGAGATCCAGGCGGCGAAGAGCATCAGAGGAGAGCGAGGACGAAGTCCATTCCATGCCTGGGCGCAGCAGTGCGTCCCCTGCGGCAAGAGCTCATCGTCGAAACTGTATGTAAAAGGTACAGAAAACGAAGTCTTGCGCTTGGGAGGATAAGCTCACTGGAACGGCGAGTAATGTTGCGCCCGCGCCACACAGACGGGAGGACCCTGTGACCCCATGAGATAGCCGCTCGTCAAGCCGTGCAGTTGGTTGGCTTTGTAACCAACTCAATTGCGGGATAGATGCTTCAAAGAAGCTCCCCTCGGCAGATCTCGATTGTGCCCGGCAGGAACATGCAGACTGGTCGTTTGCAATGTGCCATGCCATTCCTGGAGCAGCGATCTATTGCCAATGGCATATGTTGAGTTCATACGAGTCCGTCAACGGACAAGTTTGGAGCACAAAACACACAGTACACAGACCATCCGGGTCCCCATCGACTCTTTGTCCTCCTTTGGCCGAACGACAATGCTCTCCGATCGCCGAGCTAGCATGGGTCTCCCGGTCGAACCACTGCTAAATTTGTGCTTGGAGCTGTACAGCCCGGAGGATGCAGAACAGTCCGGCGTAGCTCGACACCTTGTCTATCCGGAGGTGGCGGGGAGAAGATTCCAAACTGCCATGGTTACTCTGCTTTGGTCACCTTGTGGACTTGTCAGAAGCCGCGGCCGCACAACCCGGCCAGGCGGATGGACAGGCTGACCCAAGAGGAAGGGTAGGAGAAATCGCAAGACCGATTTGGAGGATGAAACAGCTGTGCCCGCACGCCTGGATCCACAGTGTCCATCAGGGGAGATGCAGGATGCTGGCATGCTGCTGGACCTGGACTAATCCGTACCCAACTCCCGCTTACCTAAGGTAAGAGAGCCACATGCGCGGCGCGGATGTGTGACCTTACTGCGAAGCTACGAGTGAGCACGTTTCCAACAAGAGGTTTCAGGAGCGTAAATAAAAACGAAAAGAGAAGGATTGGTCACGACTATACCGTGCACTACAGCTAAGTGGTATGTCGGCACAGTAATAGCGAGTTGCTGTCTGAGTATACAAGCATATCGCCTTTCCGAACCTTGACGTTGGTTTGCTTTGCCAGCCTGGAGGTAAGACTAGGCACCAAGACTAGCCTCTGTGGCTGCAGCCAATCGCAGCGAACTCAGCCGCCCACTCGGGCCGTGCTTGTCTGCGTGGGGTTCCGCTCCACCCCGACGTGGACGGTCAACATGACCACGATAAAATTTCTCGTGTCTTCTCCCGGTGAACTCCTCTCTTCTCTGTTCTCTCCTTTTTTTGCCCTTTTTGAAGTGATCCTGCGTGGGTTGCTCTGATGGAGTGACTTTGATTTGCCTTAAGCATTGCTCCATACTACTCTACCACAGTACGGATCAGCACACAGACGTACTTTCCACATTGTGGACCTTATAATGGCAAGCCACAGCGACGCATCATCGACCATTGTCCGGCATCTGCAGCCTGCAGCTACTAATGTATTACTTGGCACCATTGTTACCAGATAAACCGCGGGAAATCTCGCTCATGTGGAGCGAACGCCGACCGGTGAATCAAGCGACAAAGCTTTTGGGGAGGGGACTTCTCTCCGAAAATCGTTCCTCGGCATGCGACTGGAGTGCCCCTGTCCCAGACTTATTCTTGCGCGATGAGCTTATCCTCCAGCTGGAAGTCTATCAGCGAGGTAAAAGAAGAGCTCATACCACAGCACAACTCTAGAATCTGCTTGGACTCACTTTCCTGTACAGACTTCCCGAGATCAGGCATATTTAGGGTTCGAAACAATATGCGAGTGTGGCACGAAGTCCTTTCGGGGTCACTTGGGCCAGTGATGAGGAGGCGCAGAGTGCAGGTGAATGACCCGCGCTTCGAAGTCTTGGCCGTCTCTGATTGGTGTGTTCGAGCGGGGGGGTAGCTCGCTCAACGGCCATTGGTTACCGTTGTACCGGTACCCTAAACCCTCTCTGGACAGATTTGCCTGCCGCTGCAGCGACGAGCGGTCAGGCGCTGCTGCAGTCTGCAACTTGAGAGGAGCGCCCCAGGCAGTAAGTTCTGTGCGGAAGTCGGCGATAAGGCTTACAACCATCACCCATTTCCCGCTCAACTTGCCGCTGCGCGCTTATTGCAGGGAGTGATTGGCCACCACGACGGCTGCCATGCAACGATAGACCAACTTTCACCCGGCAAACAACCAACACTCGAAAGCTTTGTTGAACAACAGTGCTCAACACCGCTTGTGATCGCTTATAGCGGCAATGTGAACGCAGGGACTGGTTCCTGGGGCAGCCGATGTGTGTGTAGGGTATCGTAGCAAGGTGTTGTGAGATTTACACGTCTGAATTGACAGGATACAGCAGAACAGGTCGTTTTACGTCGGATATCTACCCAGAGACAAGACGCTCCCTGCATTCAAATCATGCGGCAAACTATTTTCATACTTCGCCACCATACAAATGATATCCTTAATTTTCGTCAAACTGTAGCTGACGAAGGAAGCTCTTAGAGACTCAACCGGCAAAATAACTGTGCCGCTGTATATCTAAGGGGCTTGTTCCTGACAGCAAAAGATATCAAGTTGTACAAAGTTTCGTGATGCATCGATATATCCGTTCCTATGATCTCATAACCCAGCCAGAACCCAGAGCCTTCATATTAAGCGGCACACGGTTTGTATCTCAATTGGCTTCGTCTCAGTACTCATGCGTAGGCATCATGTCTACAAGATCTTATGCTTGACTCATGCTCTCCCAACTTGTCTCGAGGAGAATTTCTTTCTCCGTTAGATCATGGAATTTTTACTTCATGTCTTTCCTTGTTGATCACCTTCAATCCGGATTAGGGTCCAAAGCTAACTGAACCCTCGAGCAATTCTTGAATTTCCCGTCTTAGATGGCACGATTCCGGCGCTATGATCCGATCTGCCGATCTAGACCCGCGGCACACATCACACATCGGCCGCGCCCTAGCATCTGAACTTAACTTTTGGGCTACTTCGCCACCCTGGTCACCGCGCGCAGGCAGGGTCCTCTCTATGCTCTCTGTAATATACAACATTGGAATTAAAAAAGGTCATTCTACATACTATTCTCCCATCTAGCCGCCATCGCAGTCCCAGCAATTCGGAACCGTTGCTTCAGGTTCGCATCGAGCCCGTATCTACGCCATACAGCAGCCTGACACGTCACACTAGCAAGCTGGTAGGTACCTACGAATGTAAGATGCACTTCCGGTTGACCAACTGTTCTTTGCGACATCATTCCGCACACATCGTATCATTCCTCTTGATGTAGCATTCTTTTTTTGCTGCTGGTTCTAACCCCAAACTAAGGAAAACTCAAAACGCTGGTAAGTCCATACTTTGAAAGTCTCTCAAGGGTGGGTGGTGATGCTCCCACTCACCTTCTCTTCCCCACATCCCCTCGGGCCGTCTTTTGTTGCGCGCTCGCAGCTCCTATTTATCACGCGATAGGCACTAACGATGCACTCCTATCCCGATGGAGTTCTTCGAGACGTTTTTTTCACGAATGATAGCTTCGTGCTGATCGTTGAATCAAGTGGGGCCCAAACCGTTCTCTCTATGGGGACTGGGCGCCGCCACGCACCGACGCCCGATC